CTAATCTCCCCCCCCCCCCCCCCCCCCACCACAGCGGCGCCGGGGCACGGCACGCACGTCGCGGGCACCGTCGGCGGCGTGACCTACGGGGTGGCCAAAAAGACCAAGCTGTTCGCGGTCAAGGTGCTCGACGCCAACGGCTCGGGCACCATCTCGTCGGTGCTGGCGGGCATCGACTTTGTGGCCTCGGACGCGGCGGCCCGCTCCGCCGCGGGGGAGTGCCCCAACGGCAGCGTCGCCAACATGAGTCTGGGCGGGGGCAAGTCGACGGCCATCAACAGCGCGGCGGCCGCGGCGGTGAGTTCGGGGGTGTTCTTTGCGGTGGCGGCGGGCAACAGTAATGATGATGCCAAGTATTATTCGCCGGCGAGCGAGCCGACTGTGTGCACGGTGGGTGCGACGGATGTGGCGGATGCGAGGGCGTACTTTTCCAACTATGGTGCCGGGGTGGATGTGTTTGCGCCCGGTGTGGATGTGCTGAGCAGCTGGATTGGGGGTGTCGATGAGACGGTGAGTTTCAATTCCCGGGTACCCTCAATGGCGGGTTGGGAGGTGGGAAACTTAGCGACTGACGCGGAAACAGAACACCATCTCGGGCACCTCGATGGCCAGCCCCCATGTTGCTGGCCTCGGCGCCTACCTGCTCGGCCTGCTCGGCCCCAAGACGCCTGCTGAGCTGTGCCAGCACCTCAAGGACACTGCCACCGTCGGTTCCATCACTGGCCTCCCTAGCGGCACCGTCAATGCCCTTGTCTACAACGGCAACGCTGAGGAATAGGCTGACTCTTGTGGTCGCTGTTGGGGATGAATCTGGCTGTGAAGGTCTGAGTGTGTGCTACTGTTGTCAGACTTCGGGGATTGGATACCCCGGTTCTCAGTTTAGTCTCTCTTGCTGTCTTTTCTTTAGACCGATGTGCGGATAAACTACCTCTACTTGCCCTCGGGTAGATCTGAATGCTATTTGTTTTGACCCCCCCCCCCCCCCCCCCCTTCAATTACTTTCACGGGAAAACAATAAATCACGAGCCCTATCACCCATCCGAATAAATTCTGAATTGGCAGTGCTGTAATGGTAACCTTGTTAAGGTGAGACCAAAAAGGTGAAGATTAAAGAATGCTGGATCAAGAATTTAAGCAACCAACCTCTTAAGTTGCTGGGAAATTTTCAAAGTCAACAAATGCTCGTTGTGGTACTTGTTTTAAAGACAAAAGCAGCGGTATTATAATGAATGGGTGTTACAAGGAAGAGAATGAAGGTGTCGTGATACTCAACTACAATGGGGAGAGAATTTGAACAACATACCGTGGGAAATATCATGGGTTCTCACAGTATATACTGTGGCAGAGGGTTTATTCGCGTTGGCAGAATGATCAGATTACATTCTCGCGGTCGCGTCAGTTCATGTCGAGTCTTTTTATGACTCTGAGCACAAGCGTGTTTGTTTCTCTTCTTTAAGGTTGTCTGGTGTGGTTCCGAGACGCGTCGTTGTAGTGTTATGAAATTATCGGGACTGTGACTACCTCAGTCAAAGACTGTAGTGGTATAAGCCCATCTGGCCCTGGTATCTCCCGTGATCTTTTTTAATTTTCATCTTGAATAGGTAGTTTTGGTTGTGATAAGTCCGAAGGTAGACGCGATCTCGCGTTCTTTTCGCGTTAGGGTTATGGGGATAGCCCCTTTTTGCTGTTACAGTGCGGGTTGTGAGTGTTGACTTGTGATAATAGCTTACCCTGCTGCCATCCCAAATGTTGACTTTCTTTGCGTCCCTTCCTGCCACTGCTTGTTTCCCACTTTCCTTTCAGCTCTCCGATTTCCCAGACTTACTTCTTCTTTTTCCCGCCTTCCCACCACTTCTTCCAACTCTCCTCTCTCGACCGCCACCACTCCTCCCACCACAAAGTTGTTGGGACCACGCCACCCTCGCTCTCTCCCTCTCTCTGTCTGCCTCTCGCTCTCTGTCGCCCTCTCTCTCTTCTGCTTGCCCTCGCTCTTTTTAGAGCCAAAAAAAAAAAAAAAAAAAAAAAAAAACACACCAAAATCCTGGAGAAGACCAGGATGAAGAAGACCTCGGGCGCAATCCCGGGGCCCGTCGACGATGAGCCGACGGCACCACCGACTCCCGCGGCTTCCGCCGCCCCCTCGACGCCCTCGGGGCTGTCAGGCCTCCACCCGGGCGATGCCCGGCACATGATTGCCGCCATCCGGCGGTCAAGCGGCCGTTCCAGCGGCAGCCAGGCAAGTCTTCCTGTTTGCGTTTGCGTTTTTGGCCTTTTGGCCTCGATGGATGTTTGTACACACCTTGGCCGTGACCTTAGTGGGTCTGGAGGGTCTTGATTTTGACGGCGGTGACCCCTGGGGGTTGTTGTGGTGCTGGTTTCAACAGTGTCTGTTCGACGCCTCATGGTACTACAAGAAGGGCGATAGGCGTGCCCATAGTTCCTGGAGTTGTGACGGCCTCAAGCCCGGGGCTCTTTGGTGGTTGATATAGCTCTTGATGGTTACGACAACCTTTGGTACTCTGGGCAACCTCTGGTGGCTGACACGAGACTTGGTTGTTGTAATCACCCTTGGCTCTGGTTATTGACGACTTGTCGTGATAGCCCTGAGGGGCCCTAGGGCGGCCTTTTGGCGTTTTAATGAACTCTCTGGTAGTGCGAAAAAAAACGCTGAAACAAGTGCTTAACGAAGAACTAGAGGGAGTTCCAGCTCCCCAAGCGCACCCTCAACCTTCCCCCCTCGCCGGCAGAAGCGAGCGCGCCCACCGAGAATCGTGGGGGCAGCACCCCTGGTCGGAATGCCGGTCAAAATGCGATGGAAAGGGGTGGGCGTGTCGGCCCAAAGAGGCAACGCCGACAACGAGGAAAGAGGAGGAGGACAACGGCCCGGCCGGTGGACCGGTGTTCCCGGAGGTGCAGCGGTTGCTGTACCGGGCAACCGACTTTTTGTCGTCCCCCGTTACGCCCTCCCGCCTGCCCGCCCAAGGGCGCCAGCACCAGGCCTCTGGTGCGCGAGACGAGACCCCGGCCGCGACCAGCAGCCCCATGCCGACCCCACCCCCCGGCTCCCACCCCCCCGCGCCCCGACCATCTGCGCCCTCCCCCGCCGCCCGCCTGCTCAAGATCGTGATCAAGGGTCACCGCGCGGGCCCCGCCGCCACTGACCGGCCCGCGGCGGCCGAGAACCAGCCTCCGCCGGGGAGGAAGACCGTGCCCTCGGGCGACGGAGAGGCAGTTGCGGCTGCTGGTGAGGAGCGGGCTGCGACAGCCCAAGGGCCGAAGAGGCCGACGAAGATCAAGGTCGTCAGCCGGCCCTGGTCGTCGCTCGCTCCTCACAGAGCCGGCAACGGCAACTCTGGTGGGGGAGACGAGGAGGTGGTGGAGGAGGCGGACAAGCCGGCCCCCTCGCACGGCGAGCCCGGCGGTGCTTCGGTCGCTGCCCGGACCGGGGCAGCAAAGGTCGGTAGGCCCCGTGGCAAGAAGGGTGCTTCCGCGTTGGCCCCCCCGCTTTTTGGTGCCCCCCAGCACCAGAACCAGACTCTTGGCCTCGGTGAGCCCGGTGCTGCCGCGGGCAACACCAACGCCCCGGCGCCAAAGCCGAAGAGAAAGCCGCGCGCCAAGAAGGACGCCCCCCCGCCCGCCGGTCCGCCGGCCACCTCCCAACCCCTCGCCGCTTCGTCAGGCCCCTGTGGCGAAGCTCCCAAGCCCCGCGGCCGGAAACCCCGCGCCAAAAAGGCCAGCGCAGCCGGCGCTGGCCCCTCGACAAGCGCCCCCGGGCAGCCCAACACTAACTGCGGCCGTGATGAGGCCAGCTTCCCCCCGCCCGCCGCCCCGAGCCGCGCCGCAGAGCAGGCCCAGGAAGCCCAAGGCCGACGAAGCCCATCTCAATGTTTTGGGCGGGCTTGTGGGCGGTGCTTTGGTGCAGCCCAACCAGGGCAACAATGGCCCCTCGCAAGGGTTGTCAGACCAGTCCAGCCTGGACCACCGCCTCGCCGACCCCGATGCCGATAACCTCCCCGGCGAACTCCCAGAGGGCCCCCACCAGGCAGACCCCGGCCCCGAGCAGCTTGATGCCGCTCCTATCGACTCCGCACTCGATGCCCCCGTCCCCTACATCCCCCTGGACCCGATTGTAAGCCTCTTCCCGACCGTCCCTGTGTGCTTCGACGTCAATTCCCTCATCGCCCGCATCTGGTACCCCTACAACTCCCAGGGCGAGATCGACCCCCATTGGGAGACCTGGCCTACCAGGCGAAACCTACCCCAGTAAGTGCCCAGCGAGCTGCAGTGGGCTCACTCTCATTGCGTTCCACTCCATGCCATCCTCTTACCCCTATCCTCCAACCCCTATCCTCCCACCCGCCCTCTCACACCCACCAAACTAACCCCCCTCCTCCTCACAGCCCACCCCCGGCACCGGCCCCTGCGACCCCTGCGACCTGCGCTTCGAGCCCGACAGCACGCTGCCCGAGGTGGTGCACGAGGACATCCAGGCGCTGGCGCGCGACGGCACTCTGTTTGCGCGCACCCTCGAGAGCGTCCACTGGGCGCACACCGCCCTCGACAGCTGCGGCTACGACTTCGACAGCGACCCGCTGCGCGCCCCGATCCCGCGTGCCGTGCGCGCCGCCCTTGCGGGGTATAGGCCGTTTGTGTTTCCGAGGACGGGGGCCAATCCGTTTATGGGGGCGGATGTGCCGAGGTTTGGGGCTGTTGCTGCCGTGCCGATGGGGGTTGTTTATGGTGGTGGTCAATGTCGGAATGGGATGGAGCGTGGGGATCCGGCGGACGCGAGTATGCTGGGGGATGGGGTGGTCTTGGGGTGGGTGCTGCCGCGGACGATTCGCTATGGGAGTGTGTTCTCCAGGATGGAGAATGTGTTGCTGATTCCGGCTGAGTGGAGGGAGGGGGTTGCGCCGCGGGATGAGGTGGGGATGGGGGTGGAGGGTGCCGAAAAGGTTCGTGGCGAGCCTGGTGCTGTTGCCGCTGCTGCTTCTCCCATCGAGGAGATGCCGCTTGAAGGACCAGCCTACATCGACCTATCCAATGATCTGGACGACGATCTTTATGGCAACAGCCAAGCTGGCGATATCGCCGAAGAGCGGCGGGAACTTGAGCCGGAGGAGGACGCTGCCATGGACTTCGATCACCTGACAGAGTCCGAAGCTGCCCCCCAACTGGCCACCGGCATCGAGCGAACTAATGATGCTGCCACTGGCATGGACGAGAGCCTTAACGAGGGAATGGGGCTTGAAGGACAAGCCTACGCTGAGCTTGGAGGTGAACCGGAGGACGATCTTTATGCCAACAACCAAGCCGGCGACATCACGCAAGACCAGCGAGCACCCTGGCCCGAGAATAGCACTGCCATGGATGTCGATGATACGATCTATCCAGGAGCCGTCCCCCAACCGGCTAACATCCCCGACCGAACTCGAGGCCCAGGAAACAATCTCGGTAACGACCAACCCGGCGATTTCACGAGAGGCCAGCAAGTCTTCGAGCGTAATGGCGACATTGCCAGGGGTGGTGGGCACCCTAGATACCCAAGAGCTGTTCCCCAACCGGCGATCGGCGGAGATGGCGGGAACAACAGATTTGGTTTCGGGGCGAGTGAACAGAGACAATTTGGCTGGAATGGCCCGGACGATAACGCGATGCTCGGCCAACCCATCGGCCTGACCCAAGCGGACATGGATGCTACCGTCCCGGGCAGACCCAACCTCGCTGCCCCTGGCTACGATCCCAATAACCTTTACCAGCAGCCTGCAGCATTGGACGACCACTCCATCATCTCGGGCGGTCAAGCCGCGGTTGTTGAGGGTCAGCCAACTGCCTTGAACCAGCATCCCGCGGCGTTTCACGACAACTACCCCGTCCCGAACTACCAAGCTATGGCCGCCGAGGGCTATCCCGCCAACTTGAACGAGCAAGCCGCCGCATCTCAATACGGCTTCTATAACTTTGACGGCGAAACAGCTCCCACCGAGGACCAGCCCGCCCCCTGGAACGAACAGCCCGTCGCACGAAATAACAACTTCCTCATCGAACACGGTCAAGCTGCTAGAATCGAGGGCCAGCCCGCCATCTCGAATGAGCATCCCGTCGTATTGGGCCATGACCACTTCGCCTTCAATGCCCGCATGCAAGCCGCCAATGCTGAGGCTCAGCCTCCCGTCTTGAACGAGCAACCGGCCGCATGGAACGACCATTTGGTCATCGAAAACGGCCAAGCTGCGGTCATCGCGCGTCCACCGTCCCCCTTACACTACAACCTCCTTGGCTTGATTGACCCAGCCGCTGCTGTCGAGGGTCGGTCGGGCCGTTTGAACAACGACTTCGTCATCTCAAACGATCAAACCGCGAACAATCATAGCCGCGGCTATGCAAGGCGATCCCGGCGGCATGAACTACGAATTTTTCGACCCGAACCGAGGCGCTGCCATCAGGAATCGGCCCGGCGTCATGAACTACGACTTCTTCGATTCGAACCAAGCCGCTACAATCCAGGGGCAGCCCGAGCTTGCTCAATTTGAACGAGCATCCTATTTGCTTTGGAAGGATATAACAGAAATACCTGGCCCAACTTTGAGCTGACTGACGCTGAGTGGGATGCGGAACTGGAAGTCTTCAGGCTAGCTTCAGGTTTCGAGGGAAATCAGGCCTCCAGGCATGCCCGGAGGGAGTAGTCCTTCCAAGAAGCGACTTCACTCCGCCACAGCTTGGTATCATCGGCCAGAATCATGAATAATGATCAAAAGAAACTGGAAACGAGAGGGAAAGGGGCGCCAAAAAGCTTGTGAACATGGCTCGGGGAGTGAGCCTTCTGAGAAGCGACTTCACCGAGGCAGGGTTTAAAGTCATCGACTAGAATTGATGGCGTTCAAAAAAGGGGAAGAAGACAAAAGGAAAGAGAGCGGCAGGCGAGTCGTCGAACGCGTGCGGGGGCGGGTAGGCCTTCTAAGTGACTTCACTCAGGCAAGGCTTGATGCCATCAGCCAGAAGAGTAGTGTTGAAAGGAAATGTAAACGGGGGAAAGAGAGTGACAAGAAGGTCCTCTATGTTGTTGGTGGATTCAAAATTGCGTTTGCTTTTCAAGGGCGGATAAAACTTCGGGCTAGTTAATGAATGATCGGTTGCCCTAGATGCTGTGCTCCAAGTTGCTCTGTTTGGTGGTCGTCTCGGCGGACACGCATGTGTCAACTTCGCTCCGGGTTGACGGCTTGGGGTTGGTTTCTCCTTGAACTGGCGAGACCCAAAAACCCGACAGGTCAGCCCCGGGCACTGCGTTGATGTTTGGCCAGGTAACCACCATTACCTCCCGCGGCTCTGTACAAAATATCACTCCATTCGGATCCACGCGGCGGAAGAAGCCTGGCGTGAGTGAAGCAGGTTTATCAACTCATCAGTTTGCCAGACGACGTTCAAGGAGTCGTTCACCTCAACAACCCGGGAACACCACCGGGGCCTCAGCACGCCCCCTTCTGCTGGGCGAGAGTCTGGCCACTTCTACGGGCCGTAGGTGATTAAAAAATTGATGAACCGCAAGACTGCTGGCCCGCCCACGGCGTTCTGCTCCCTGAAAACGGGGTTCAGGGTAGAATAGGTAAGGTAGGATTGGACGAGTCGGGCTAAGATGGGCCGTCCCAAAAGATGGCTCAACCGCGGCCTATCACTAATAGCTCATAATGAAAACAATAAGTGGCGGACTTTTGTAGAGCCGTCTTGGCGTCTAAGGATCGTCGTCGACTCGGTCAACCAACCTCGGTCCTTGTTGGAGCGACGAGGCTACCGACGAAGACGAAGATGTGCCACCCGGGAGGGGGGGAAGGGAGTTCAACTTCCAACCCGGAACCAAGAACAACCCGGAACAGAAAATATCGCTGGCTTTGTTAAGAAGCACGGTGAAGCACTCAGCGCACTCAACCACCGAAACTTCATAAAAATAAAAGGAACTGCCATCAAACCAAGCCAGTGCGTGGTTGCGTGTAAAGGTGACACTGCTGTGCTATGCCAGACTCAGCTCGACCGACGTCTGGGTTTGACAAAGACGGGTCCACCATGCCGCTGTCATACCGTGTGGAAGGAACCTAGTCAAGGGAAGTCGAAATGGAAATATCAAAGATGCCTTGCCAGCGAAAGCCATCCCCCGAGCCCATGCTTGCCCCAACCGTAACCAGTGCTAACCCACTTTCAGGGCTTAGGGTCCTTAAGATCGGCAGGCAAATGACCCAATCCGGGATGCCTCTTGCCGAGGTGTGGAAGGTGGAGCCGCACTGCGATCATTGCGAGATCTGGAGTGCGGAAAGAAGTGGTGAGTGCCGAAGCCAAGCCTTTCCGTCATTCTCCTTCCTCCTCGAGTTGAAGCGGTCAAATCACAAAAACGGGATGGCTCGTTGTTCGTGGTCCGAAAGTCAGTCACGACTTGGTGCGCCTGCCGCGAGAGTTAAGCCCAGTTCGGGGATTTTGGGACATTCCCCAAGCCCCTCCAGTTTCCTCGGCCCCTCCAGAAAACCTCCGACTTAACACCAATAGCCACGACCAACACCATTGAAATCATGGAAAATGGAAAAGATGCGTGACCGCCCAACGCCACAACCACACCGACAACAACTGTCAAGACACGTCGCACTGCGACCCGAGACAATCTCAACTGCCGACAGCCGGGCTCCCGAAGAGGGTCGCACAAACATTTTTCAAGGGCGAGCCGAGATTCTGCGATCAAGCAGGAGCAGCAAACAACAAGCGCCGGCTGTGTTGGCGCTGGCCATGCATTCCTTTTTTGACCACCGAATTTGCATGAGAGAGCAACTCTAAGCCACCATTGGATGTTGCAACGGTTCCTTGACCCCTGCCAAGCCTTGTTTGAGAGCCGAGAACAATGCGGGTCAGGGGTTCGAGAGGTTCGAGAGGTTCGAGAGTGCGGGAACTTCGGGCTTGCTTTCCTTCCAACAATGGACGAACACGTCTGGCTCATCCGCGCCGACGAAAATGGGCAGCTAACCAGTCAGGCGGCTGTTCCCAAGGCAAGCGCCAAAAAAGCACCTTTTCGGTCGGGTCTCGCCTCTCGACTGGGCAATGGAAAACGCCACCTCACGCTTTCGGGTTCGGCACCTTTTGCTTGCCAAGAAACCAGGGACACTCGATTCGTGTTTCACGTTTGACAGCCACACAGTCCAGAACAACACCCAACCGTGATCATCGCCATTTGTCATTTTCACACAAGTGTGTAGGGTACTTCGTAGGGTATGGGCCGAAACGGGCGACTGGCAAACCCCGACAAAAGAGGCATCCAACACCCTTTTGACGGATCTGATGTCGAGTTGGGCTCCCACATCTCATCCATCTAATCTACGCCCCGCCTCCCCGGATGATGATCAGATGAAGCACCGCTTCCGGATGAAGTGCTGGCACTGATCCTGATCGCCATCCCGCGCGGTAACCTTAAGGGCCAAGGGTGTCTGGGCAGTGCAAACTTTTCCTTGGAGCTCTCTCATCCGCCCAGCTAGCTGTTTGTTGGGCAGAAGCGACTTGTTTGGGCGGTTCCCCCGGCGCCACCCGGCATGCCCCTGGGAACCGTCCGCCGCGCCCGATTAGAATGGGAGGGGTGCGGTCTCTTGTGCTTGGTTGTTTCATGCAAGCTGTGGAAGGATACCTCCAATCAGAGCCACCCATCGGCTTCTCTCAGACCCCAGCTCTGATCGCTGCCGTCGAGACCCATGTGGAATTGAGCCCACCCTGGCCTGGTGTGGCAGCCAATTTAGACGGCATATATCTGCTTGAGATCCGCATCTTGTTTTCCTATCTCCAGGAATTTCTTCCCACCCGCTGCGTTCGCTTGAACCATTACATTCTCTACCAAGCCCAGGTCTTGCTTGCTTTTAGTCATTCCTTCTTTTTTGGTCTTACTTTTGCCAGACCGCTTTCGTTCTCTTCTGATAAGACCCTGTGGGCTCACATTCCTTTTGAAACGCTGGAAGCCGTTCACCGTCCTTCACTTACAAAGCCGCGGCTTGCTTGCACGCCTTGATTTAAACCAACATCTTGAGCAACGAGCACCCACCACCCGGACGACAAGACACCATTCAGCCGCAACGATGCGTAGCACGCTTCTCTTGCTCTCCCTCCTCACCTCGCTGGTATCTGCCACGCCAGCCCCCGTCTACCCGGGCTTTAAGACTCTCTGGTCAGAGGCCTTCGAAGGCAACGCCGGTGACACCCCGAACCGAAGCAGATGGAACCTCATCACCGAGTATGCACCCCACTTTTACTATTTTACCCTTCTTTTACACCTCCAGCTCTCCTTGGTAGGTGTGATAATAGCCTAACTCCATCCCAGCGTCCGCACAAACGGCGAAATCCAAACTTACTCCACATCGAACCGTAACCTCCAAATCTCCGGCGGCGGGACCGTCCAGCTTGTCCCGCTCAAGTCGAAATCAGGGAAATGGACGTCGGCACGCATCGAAACCAAGGCGACGTTCACGCCGGCGCGCGGCAAGCTGACCATGTTCGAGGCCGCCATCCGCTTCGGCGACAACCCGGCCTCACTCCGCCAGGGCCTCTGGCCCGCCTTTTGGATGCTCGGCGACGCCGTCCACCACGGCACCGAATGGCCCCTGTGCGGCGAGCTCGACATCATGGAGACGGTCAACGGCCTGCCCACCGCCCACGGCACCACCCACTGCGGCGTCGGCGAGAAGGGCGGGCCCTGCAACGAGCCCATTGGTCGGGGCGGATCGGTTGCCCTGCCCGATAACGGCTGGCATACCTGGACCCTGCAGGTCGATCGCACGAATGCGGAGGGCGGCTGGAAGGGCGAGGTCATCCGGTGGCTGATTGATGGGAAGGTGTTCCATCAGGTGAGCGGCGCGGATCTGGGGGATGAGGGCATCTGGGCTACGCTGGCGCACTCGCCCATGTTTATGATCCTGAATGTGGCTGTGGGTGGGAGCTGGTAAGTTTCGGCTGCTTTCCTACATATCATGGATGTTCTGGTGAGGAAAAGGTTTGCTGACGGATGACTGCAGGCCTGGTGACCCGAACGCCGCGACTGCTGGCAGCTATGGCAGCATGATGGAGGTCGAGTACGTTGCTGTGTACTCGTCCTAATCTCTTGTCGTCCGTGTTGTTTTTGGATAAAAATTGGTTTTCTTTTTGGAGCGATGATACCGAAAGCGCCGGAGCTGGAAGGGCATGGGATCGATATGCACTCGGGGGTGTTGTGTCCCTGGCATATCACGGGGTTCCCGGGTTGAATTGGCTTCTTTTGGGGAGATATCATGATACCTCTGCTGTTTTCAGTCAGCAAATTCCGTTCGGCGGGTTGGCTAGAGCCATGGCCCCAACATCTTTACATTCTAGGATGTACATATTATTCGCCTTTGCTTGGGTATATGCGGCGACTTGGCTTGCCAAATTACATCCTGTTCACCACATTTTTTTACATACACTGCCTCGTGCCTTCCTCTCCTCTCTCTGTTTGAAGAGTGCGTCTTCGGGCGCGGGGGCTGCTTTCTGGATCTTCAGTCCCCAACGAAGGGGAAAAGTGAAGCACCCGTGTCGTGCACGGGTATTCGTTCCGGTTGTTCCGACAGCGACCAACAAAACTTTTGTCGAACCAGAAAACTTCTGTCCATACGCTGAAAACTTATGCGTCCCGAAAACTTCTGGACGAAAACTTTTGTACCCCTGAACCGCGCATCGAATCAGAACACAAAACCCGCAGACGCCTCTTGGACAAAAGTTTCCGCCGAGGTCTTTACCGACGTGAACCCAGCTGGGCTTGCTTCCATGAATTCGGGGTCTGGTGCTAATCATTGGCCTCGCCACACAAAATAACGGTACGAGGCTGTGCGTGCTGTACGACAACAGGGCCCCGTTGGGCCGCGCACTTTTTGTATTCCTGCGCCTGCTCCTGTTTTGCCTTGTTTCGAGCATCCTGTAGCGTGCAAAAGTTGTAAAATACCCGCTTATTATTTCCCCGCGCTGCGTCCAGCTCTTTGAGTTGTCAACTCTTACTCTTTTCCCTCCCAGGACTCCGCACTTGAAATCTCACATCAGCAAACCAAACCTTGAACCAACCACTGCGGCTGCAAATACATATAATCAACATGCCAAGCAGCCATCCGGCGCCGAGCGCTATAGAATGGGAGGCTCGAAAACCTCAGATTGAGAAGTTGTATCAGTCTGTGAAACTTAGCGAGCTCAAGGAGGAGATGGAGCGCATTGGGCTTTTCGCCACGTGGGTCTTAGTTATGCTGATCTCATAAGATTCACTCTTTCCCTAACACCAATGCTCCAACAGAGAGGCCATGTACAAGAAAAGGTTCCGTGACTGGGGATGGCGCAAGAACATAACGCACGAGCTTGCTGTCGAGGCCGCCAGAAAAAGGGCTCGGTGCGAAGAGGACGGACGCCCAGCTTCTATTGTACTCATAAACGGCAAAGAGGTTCCGGGTAGTAGGATCGAACGTCACGTCAAGAGACACAAGGCCGACTTGCGCAAACGTAAGTATCCTTGTTCTACATGAATACCTCTCTCCGTAAACTGTTGGCACATAGGCGAGGCGGATAAGGCGTCAGCACAAGCCAAGAGCAGCCTGGAGACCTCGAGCGTCGTCGTGAAGACGCCAGTCAATCACCCGACCTCCCCAACGGAAATGGCCGTCACCCAGACACCGGAATATCAGAGGATCCACTCCCATAAACCGGCACAAGAACTAGCCGTCTCCGTCGCGCCGTTCCCTCTGGGTGGTGCCGAAGGTGCCGACCTGGAACTGCCCTGGGAAAACTTCTACTACCCTCTCCCCAACGAGCCAAGCCAGTTGACTTCATCCGACTGTAACTTCGCTGGTTACGGCATTTTACCCCCGAACGCCAACAGCTACAACAATATGTCCAGTCAAAGGAACCTGGTATCCTTAATTCCCCCGCAGAATCTGCCTAAAACTCGCCAGCCGATCCATCAAGCGGCACAGGAGGGTCACATCAAAACTGTCAAGCTTCTCCTGAAAGCCAGGCTGAGTTGCGCAGACCTCGAGGGCGAAAATGGCGAGACGCCTCTCTTTCTTGCAGTAGAACACGGGCACACCGAAATCGCTAAGACACTCCTTGCTGCCGGCGCCAATCCTAACGCAGCGGACCGGAAAACCCGGAGGTCCTGCATTCACCAAGCCGCTCAAGGGGGCCACGCCGAATGTGTCCGCCTCCTCCTCACTCACGGTGCCACGGTTGATGAATCGGATACTCGAGGCTGGACGGCCTTGCTCCTCGCTTCACATAAGGGATGTGCCGAAACGGTCAATGAGCTGCTTCACGCTGGTGCCAACCCCCACGCCTGTCTCCGGATTGGCCAGAAGCGCGCCATTCACCTAGCGGCCCAAGGCGGCCATCTCGAATGTGTCCGTCTTCTCCTCTCCGTAGACGCCAGGACGGACGAGCCGGACTGTGGCGGTCCAACACCCTTCCTACTCGCCTGCGCCGGAGGGTGCGTTGACGTCGCCAGGCTCATCCTGTCTGAAAGGCGGGAGGCTACTGACGTCAACGCCGGCGGCTATCTATCTGGGAGTCAGCCCTGGAAGCCCCTCCACGTGGCCGCCTATTGGGGCCACCTCCTAACCGTCCAATTCCTCATCGACGCCGGAGCATCTCTGGATTTGCCGGCCGAGGGAGGTGCCACGGCTCTCTGGTTAGCCTGTTGTCACGGTCATCTGGAGGTCTCCGAATGGCTGGTAAAGAAGGGCGCCGACGTCAACCACGCCCTGCCAGCCAGCCAACGGCGGCCAATCCACCAAGCCGCGGAGAACGGGCACCTAGAGCTTGTACAATTTCTACATGGCCGAGGAGCTTATCTTAATAGTGGTGATGCCAAAGGAGTCACGCCATTATGGCTAGCCAGCCAACAAGGCCATGCCCGGATCGTTGAGTTCCTCCTGGAGCACAACGCGAACCCCGACGCACGAACCATCGATACTTTCCATTACCCTATACACGAGGCAGCCCATAAGGGACACACCGACACGGTGGCCGCTCTTGTCCGGCACAAGGCCCGCGTCAACGTAGTCGAGCGCGGCGGATGGTCACCGCTCATACTCGCGACCCAACAGGGCCACGGTGAGATCGTCCGACTCCTCATCGACAACGGTGCTGATGTCAATCTCGGAAATCAGCAAGGCGCCACGGCTTTGTGGGTCGCCGCGCAACAGGGGCACACTGAGATTGCCATAATGCTGCTTGACAAACTAGCACAGCCCACCGTCAGCTTGTCCGGGAGGCAACCCATCCACCAGGCTGCGCAGAACGGCCACCTTAAAATGGTGCAACTGCTGGTGGACTGGGGTTCCAATATTGACTGCCAAATCCCCCACCGTGGAGCGTTGAAAATCACGCCCCTGTGGCTTGCGTCGCATTGTGGGCACGATGCCATCGTCGAGTTCTTGTTGGAGAAGGGCGCCTCCCCAGTCATTGGGTGATAACCTCGGGTCACTGACGGTGACGACGGTCCAAACCGAAGGTTATATTCTGACTTTGCGTGTTTCTTTGGCAATCCAGAGACCAAAGCTTAACAGAGAAACCAGAATGCATCTCTTTTTTCCCCACTTGTTTTGCTGGCCAAAAGCTCACAAGCTTGAAGGATGTGGAGGAAGCCCTGTAGTTACATTTAATATAAGAGTTAAGGTGCCTGCCTACCTAGTAGGCTAATGAATTTACGAACACCTTGTTTTGCTTGCATTGCCAACTTTGTAGCCGCCCAACCCCAAACAAACGCCATACCGAAACTCGCCAGCCACTGACAAAAACCGCCAGTGCCCCCCTATAATCGTTCAGATACACATGCCACCAGATGTACGCGCGCTGTCAATAGCCACGCAGTTCCGACACTTACCGAAGACTTTTGCGGTCCAACAAAAGTTTCTGAATCCCTGTCTTTGCAACGAAACGTTTTGCACAAGCCAGCACAACAGAAAAGATAAAAGGAGCTGAGACAGCGCAGTACGACGAGGAGGTATCAGTAGGAAGCATGCCCAGATTCCACAACCACCTAACTTTCTTGTATAAAGAAGCCTCACCCCACGGCATACCAGTTCAGCTTCTTGTTCGTCCCGAATCTCACATCAAGACCCCACAATCCAACAAACCCCGTCGACCTATCCTGCAGGCCACTCAAACTCCCAGGGCTCCGGATCTGATCCACATTTGAACCCGTGATTTCCTCTCTCTGCCTCTTCCTTAAGCCACCATCATGCAGACTTCATCCAACGAAGAGGTAAGCCGATGAACGCTCCACCAGGTGTTTACCACGGCCACGAAACGCTCAGTTTCAGCTCACTGTTCTTCCCGTACTGTATGTGCTAACTCAAAGCCCATCGTCTACAAACCCAGGCCAAGTCCAACACGAGCAATACGAGCAAAACGAGCAACAATAAAAGCCAGAGCGACCCCAACAAGCCCTCGCCTGCCCTGGTCCGCTGGTTCGCCGAGAAACCGGGTGAACAGCCCTTCTCTGGTCTTGCGGGTGTTACCATTGTCAAGGGCAATCCTAGCCATGGAGAAGAAGCCGCGTCGCCGCTGGGCGTGGAACTTGAGTCTGAATTGAGCTGTGATTTAGATGATAAAAAGTGCGAGTAGGTTGCTGGCGGGAGACGCTGCGGTGGTTTGGGTGTGGGATGTGGATATGCCTGAGTTGTATAAGTAGAGGGTGTGGAGTTGAGAACTGACTTTGATGGGAACCCCTGGCCCCATTTTGTGTATGATACAAGCAGCAAGAAGATTCCTCCAGGATTAATACGAAAGAGAGGGTTTGTCACTATACCAAATGGTCGCGGTAATCTAAAATGTGGAATCGGAAAACAATGCCGTCGACTCGACTTGTCACGCAGCCACCCTAGCCAGCTTGCTCCCAAGTCTTTTTTACCCCTTGATGTAGTTGATTTCGGTCCCTTTACTTTGGCTACCAAATCCCGAGTACACCTAGAAGATGAAATCAACAAAAAAGGACCATCGGATATGAGGATCATTGGTAAAAGCAAAAGTAATCGACGTGGGCCTGATTCGAACAGACGCTCCCGAAGGAACAAGATTTCTAGTCTTGCGCGTTAGACCACTCCGCCACCACGCCATGCTTGTGGGTCGACGGAAAGAGGATCTTTGAACCACTCAGGGGTAGCCCCTGAGCGTGACGGCGAACAGGAGTGACCGTGCCCGCTGCGCGCGGGCACGCCAAAGGAGCCTGGAGGAACTTGCCGGCTGCAGGTAGGCCCCATAGCGGAGTCAACGATGTAATTGTCTTTTTTTCCATTTCATGATGGTTATTGACAAATGCTGGGAAAGTAAGGAAAGGTGGTTTCTCCAGTCAGACTAGCGTCTAATCGTCCAGTCGCGCCCTCTTTTTTCCCGCTGTAGACCTCTTGCTTCTGATTGGCTCGGGGGAGGTTTGCTTTTTTCTCTTTTTTGTTGGGGTGGTGTCAACCGGAGCGAGTTGATCTTCCAACAATTGCTCTGTGTCTGAACCGTCGTCGGTGTGACCGGTATCTTCTTTGTGGTTAGCCTAGTTAGGGAGCTGGAAGGAAGTCATACCTGAGCTTGAAATTGTAAGCACTGGCTCGACGTGGGTTGTGGTCGAGTTCGGCGGTGCTTCAAGGGTGGCCGGTGGCTCGGTTGCCTCATGATCCGGATGCTTCTGGGGCTGTGCTGGGTTTTTTTCTTTATTTGCCAATGAGTTTTGGCCGCCAACGGGCGAGGAGAATGGGTTCCAGTTCGTAATTTCTTGCGGACCGGTTGAGCGTGGTGTTGTAGGTATTGTGCTAGGTCGTAAGGGTGTCGTGTTGTGAGCGGTTAAGCTGCTTTGTCGAATAGACCCCCAGTCGTCTGGGAGAATGACTGGGATGCGAACGCTTGTGTCGATGAGTTGAGGGCCTTGGATGAGGTTTCAATCGAGAACTCCTAGGAGGCGACCGTTGCATGCGATCCAGGATCCTCTTGGAAATGGGTTGACAGCTGTTCGCATCCAGCCGGCTAACGACTTCCACGGTTGTTGTTCAACGGGAAAGATGAGGAGGACGTGGCAGACGTGGATACCTTTGTGAGGGGGGTGGTCGTTCTCCGGCTGCAAATACGAGGCCAGCTTGACAAACACTGCAGCCTTGGTGAGTGGTTCTGGCCAGGCTGTGTCCACGAGATGGAATGTATCCAGATCGACGGGGCCGGTAAGGGACACACGTGCTGATGTGCCTGGCCAGGGGACCGTTTCATCGGGGTTAGCGAGTCGCCGGGGGATAATCCTTGGATGCGTCAGCATCCATTGCGAGTCATAGTGATGGCATGGTTAAACCACTATCACGCGGCATTGCGAGGGTAACCTTCACGGATTGGGGATCGTCTGTCTCCCATCCGTTGACTGCTACGCCTTCGAAGGCAAGTTTGTTCGGGAAAAGTCGGGCGGCTATGGTGAACCATTTTTTCTCCCAATCCTCTTCCAGTGTTGTTGCTTTCGGTTCTGTGTTAAACATGGAGAGTATCACTGGCAGCCCCGAGCTCTCTTCATCTTCGGTGCTAAGGGGCCGTGGATAGAGGTCGTGGATGAAGGTGGGTTGGATGAATGGGAGGAAGGTCCCGGCTTTGAAGTTTCCCGCGCTTGTGTAGCGGGAGCCGGTTGGCAGGATCTCGCATTGGGCCAAGTCGGAGTGGTAGGTGACGATGAGGTCTCCGCCAGTCGCGCCTTGGTCTCGCTTGTTTGGTAGTGGGGGTATTGGGTAAACGACAGAGGCGGAAGAAGAAGCCATCTTGACTGCAATGGAATGATAAACAGTATCAGGAGATGATTGTAGCTTAGGTCAGAAAATCGGGATGGAAAGGACGTATTGAGTTCCTTGGATTGGGAAAATGGAGCACCGCGGTGTAAAAAGGTGGCCTCTAGCACCGGTTTGACCTCATCGCCGATGTATGACACCGCATTCTTGAGTCTCCAGTAAGCTACATCGTCATCTAGGGGCTTCATTAATCAGATCCCGTAAAGATTAACCTCTGTGGCGTAATCTCACAGAGCTGATAGGTTCCGTGTATTTTGTGCGTCAAAGAAGCAATTTGCTTCGCTACCCTTCGTCACGTAGACGACCATCGAGCCGTAGGCCTTGCTTGCATCCTTCCTGCTGAGCCAGGCAATCTTGGCAATGTTGACGTTGTTCTCTGTAGTCGTGGTTCCAGGAATGGGACGTCATGGCCGAATCAGTGCAGGCCACTGAAGCAGCTGACGAAGAAGCAGCTGACGAAAAAGCGGTTGCGTCGCTCTAGTAGTAATAGTCAACCCATAATAGGTGTCGACCCTGAACACCTCATTTTCGCCACTTTTTGACAGAAATTTGATTTCTTGGTTCGTGATTGTCGAGGATTGCGCGACGGAGGCACGCAAAGGCACGAGCGAAGCAGCGAGTCACAGGGGCCCTGATGCCAAAGTGCGGGTAAGCGGCTTTTTTGCGGCGGTTTTATTGGCCAGAACAAAGCAACAACGGTCCGTGCACCTCTACCGCCAAGACCAACTGCGAGATGCCAATTCGACGAAGCAAAATGCAAATGACGCCAGACTTCGAGATGCTATCGAGAGAAGTCGAAAAGGAGAAAAAAGCCAAAATTCTACAGTGAGAAGTCGACAGTACAGGTTAAAAACGACACCGTTTTTTAGTGGAAAAAAACTGGAAAAAAAACTGGAGAAAAGAAACTTTTGCGGGAAAAACTGGTCCGTTCCGTGCTTAGAGCATGCCATGGCATTTCCGACCTAAGGAACCTTTCGGAAGTACTCGTTCCTCGTAGGTTCCTCCAGGTACTCGTTCCTCGTACGTTCCTCCAGGCAAACCGGTCGGGTTTCGTGCTCTGATACTTCGATACTTGGAGAATATTTAACACAGCTCAGAGCTGGCCAACCTTGACATTCGCTCTTTGCGGAGAGCACCAGGCAAGTCCAACGCTTAACTGGGTTTCGTAACACGCTTCCAGACAGAACACTTTCATATATCCCCCGTTCCAAACCTCACCTCCACACCCCATCTGTCAATACTTCAAGGCCCAGCCGCCACCCTCCCCCGAATAACGTCCGCCGCCTTCTCTGCAACCGCATACACCGTCGCTTGCAGCGCCGACCCCACAATCAGCGGCATCACGCTCGCATCCACCACCCTCAGCCCGCTCACCCCATACACCCTCAACTCCGCATCCACACACCCGCCCAACCCCTCCGGTATCATCGCGCACGTCCCGCACGGATGCGCCAGCGACGGCCAAAACACCCCGCGATCCGCCCGCAACCTATCCAGCAACTCCTCATCCGTCTGCTCCCCGCCCTCCCCAACCCCAGGAACAATCTCCACCGGCCCCAGCCGCGCCATCGCCCCAGCACCCCCCCAAAACCGCCGCGCATGCCTCACAATCCCCACCACATTCGCCGCATCCACCGGGTTCTGCAGCGTGTGGTACTGCACCACCCGGCAACCCCCCACCCCCACCCCCACCTACCTGTAAAGTAACAGTCCCCCTCGAAAGCGGCTTCAGCAACGGCAGCGGCGCGGCGCCGTTCCCGCGCAGCGGGTGGGCAGGTGATGGCGGAGTGGGGGTTCGGTGAAGGCGCGGGCGAGGAGGGCGCGCTGGGCGAGGAAGCCTTGGAGAGGGCAGGGGAAGGTGCGGTAGAGAAGGGGGGAGGTGGGCGGTGGCGTTTTGGGGTGAGGAGGGCGGTTGCGAGGGTGGTGGCTTTTGAGGGGGGGTTGGTGGTGGTGGTGTTGGTGTGTAGGGAGGGAAGAGAGTAGTAGGCGATGGTGTTGCCGTTGGCGGTGGAGATGGGGCCGGTCTTGTGGGCGAGGTATTCGGCCCAGGCGGTGGCGTTGTAGGTCGCGTTGGTGGTGATGGTATCGGGGTTGGGGAAGGCTTGGTTGGCGAGGGAGAAGAGGAGGAGGGTGGTGGGGTGGTCTTGTAGGTTTGCGCCGACGGAGGGTAGGTCCTTTTTGACCTTTACCCCGGCTGCTGCTAGCACGGAAGCGGGACCGATGCCGCTGGCTTGGAGGAGCTGGGGGGTTTGAATAGCGCCCGCTGCTAGGATGACTTCTTTCCTGGCATAGACGCTCCGGGTGGTGTTGTCTGAACGTGAGACAATGCGCACGCCCTTGGCTTTCAGAGCCTTGCCGGGGTGGAATAGGATTTCCGTGGCAGTCTGGCCGGTAACGAGGCGTAGGTTAGGCCGGGTAGCGTTGACTGGGTCGTAGTACGCCGACCGCGCGGTAGAGCGTGTCATGGTGCGCGCGTCGACGCTCAACGGCGACCAGAAGGCACCCGGTCCATCCCCAGCATTGGCGCCAGGCGGTAGTTCAAGTCCAGGCTGTTCTCTGAGCGCATCCCAGAAAACCGCCACATCGGGATATTGAAAGTCAGAGATGTGGGTGCGTAGTGGCCCGTCCCCATACACACTCGGGTCCCACGTAATGTTCCATCGCCTCGCAACCTCCGGCGACGGTGGTGTGAAGGTGGTGCTCTTCCGGAAATATGGCAGCAAACCGTCCCAGCCCCAGCCCGGGTTTCCCAGTTCCTCCCAGGCATCATAATCAGCCCTGCTGCCGCGCGAGTACCCCATGTCGTTGACGACCGAGCCGCCACCCACGACGGCGGCAACCGCCACGAGGGACGAGGTGTTATTTTAACTCGGGGTTGGGAGCCGACTCGGGGCGGACTCATGACGCTCGTGTCCAGCCCGTGAGCGTACCAAGGCACAATGGCCTTCGGGTTTGTCATCAAAATAACCCCGTTCGATAACTAGCACGGTTGGCTGCGTCAAGGTCAGCGGAGGGCCAAAGAGGTGCGGAGGAAGGGACGCGGGTCCCACGCAACATACTCCTTTTGTCCTCAGTCAGCCGGGTTGGCAACCACCAATCCCCGAAAACCCCGCCTCCCACGACGACATAATCATAAACGCTTCCCATCAAGGCCGTGATGTTTCGATCCCTCCACGACAAGAAGGGCCGAGTGCCAGGCAACAGGCGAGAGCAGCAACTTGGCGTTTGGTTCTGGTCATGGTTGTGAAGCGCTGTAAGCCGCAAGTCTGCACTACACTAAAGCCGAGAGTGTAGGAAGGCGAAAAGCATGCTCCGGCTACTCGGGGAGCCTTATATGCCTGGTGCCTGCCAGCAACATTCCGGGCTATTCCTAGGTAGTCAAGCCATCATACTCTAATCACCACGTTCTGGGGCTCGGCGATGCAGCACGCTGACTGATAGATTGGTACGCATAGTGATTGGTTGCCAGGTGCTTGGGTATCGAAACTGGAAAAGGGAGGGAGGCAGGGGTAGAAGGGAGATGCTTCCTGCAAGAGTAAATCAGAACTAGCTGCCCAAGTTCTACTTGACGCTAGGTTAGAAGCTTGGAAGTTGTAGAACACGTCTAGACTGGGATATAACAAAAACTTCGATATATGACATCGTATCTTCGTCCAGATAGGCGTAGGAATCCTCTCAAGATTCGAGGCAACTCGCTATTAACACGCTCCATTGCCACTGTCGCTCATGCACCCCACGCGCGCGGTATCACAACCCATCCCAGAGCCAACTTTCACCTTTGACCTTCGTCGACCCGGCATTAAACAAAATACAGGACTCTACTCGACACAAAGCCAACAACCTAGACACCAACACCAAAATAAATCCAACACAAGGAAATCCACAATGGCGAGGGCGCCGCCTATGCCAACAAGAGGGTGAGCGGGAACCATGCAGTAGCCACCACGTCCAACTGTCTCATACCAAAACCAGAAAAGGAACGTGTACAATGCTCCCTAAACCTAGAGCGGCCAGCGCCGAACGGGGCCGCGCGGCAAGATGGTAGATAATATGAAAATAAAGAAGGAAAAAAAAGTCGGGAAAAGAATGTATGGTGCAGATACAGCGGCCTGGCTGGGAAGGGACATCCGATTTGTTAACATGTCTTGTCGAATGGGCGATGCGACTACCGGCTCCGTTCATGGGGCCTCTCGTCCCCAGGATCCGACAGTGTAGATGACCTGTCTTCAGCCAGAAAGCTCGGGAGTCCGTCAGAGTCCTACTCCGTTGCCCCAATCGTGGTGTCCGGCTCCATTGAAAAGCCCAAATCGAACGCGCCCTCTCCCGCGCCGGTGCCGTCTTGTAGGAACGAGTCGAAGTCGAAGTCTGTCAGCACATTGTCGCTCTGCATCGGGTTGGCAAAGTCCAGGTCGAAGTCCTGACCACATGTTAGCAAACCGCGAACCGCATAAACAGGGGCACGCCGGTCCTCACCATTCCGCCAGTTTCGAGGAAGTTGGTAGCCTGGTTGGGATCCGCGTGGGAGGGCGGAGGTAGAGGAGCCGCCTGTTGCTGGGGTGCTGGTGCTGGAGGCTGTCCGTTGGCGACGACCTGGCCAGCGTTCACGTTTTGGTTCTTCGCAAAGCTTGCTGGGTTGACGGGCGTGATCGGAGTTGCGGGCGTTGGACCTTCTTGAGGACCTTCTGGTTGTTCGGGGGCGGCGGCGGCGGCAGTGTTGTTCAGGTTTGGGTTGTTCTTTTTCTGGGCAGCAGCCTACGGAGAACGCAGTTAGCCATCAAGTAACGGTAATCATCAGTATGAGGAACAGGGGACGTACCTTGGCCTTGGTGGCCTTGGTTTCCTTCTTCTTGGCTCCGGCCTTGGTCGCTAGTTGCGGAGTCGGAGGCGCGGCATTGCTGACCTGGGGCGACGCCGTAGTGTTGCGGGCATTAGCGGCAACCGCGGCCGCCGCTCCGGATGGCGGAGGGGGCATGGACCGTTGGTTCGGGCCCGGACCACCTTGAACCTGGGGCTGCGGAGGCTGCCCCGGCATCTGGCCATTGGGACCTCCCTGCGGCCACGGCATCGGAGCTCCCTGGGCGCCCGGTTGTTGCGCCTGCCGCTGGGCTGCCAGCATCTGCTGCTGGCCTACCTGGCCATTGAAGGGGGGGTGCGAGCTCGGAGGTCGCATTGCGCCGCCGTTGATCTGGGCCGCCATGTTCATGTTCATGCCGCCGAAGTGTTGTGCGGCGTTAGGATCCATGTTGCCACCCATGAAGTTCATGGCGTTGGGTGAGCTGCGCGACTGGGCTCCACCGTCGGGGAGCGGCGATCCCATGTTGGCAGCGTTGGCCATCTGCTGGTTTGCGCGCTTCATTTGTTCGGCAGGGTTCGGGGAGGCACCGCTGCGCCCACCGGGGGGCGAGCCGCCCTGGAAGACTTGGCCGTTCGGTCCCGGGAGCCCCACCAGGAACACCGGGGCCGCCGGGCCCGTCGACTCGCGGCACACCGGTGGTGACTATATCCTGCTCTTGACGAGCCATCATCAGCCTCTTCTTGTTCTGCTGCTCCAGCAGCATCAACTGCATCTGATAATCCTGCAAGGCGTGGTTGCTACTGCCCGCGGCGGCCTGTCCGTTGGGTGCGCCGGGCCTCATATTGCCGGGCATCTCACCACCTGGGTAAAGCTGCATGAGAGAGTTACCGTCGGGGCCTTGCGGCACCATGGGGGAGCCCTGACCCTGCGGACCGACGGCATTGGGCATGGGTTTGTTGGGTATCTGGCTGCCATGGTGCTGCGACATGTTAGCCGAGTACGTGGCAATCTTGGCTTGTACGTGAGGAGGTGCAGAGGCAAAGGCCTGGAGCTGGTCAGGATTCAGCCAAGTTGGGTTGATGCCGTTCTGAAAGAGTAGTGCTCGTGCTAAGTCGGGGCCGCTTCCTACCTGTTGCTGGCCAGGCATGCCTTGGCCGGGTCTTCCGTTAGGCATCATACCCCCCTGGTTGGGGTTGAAGGGGGCACCTCCTTCGAGGCGCGGTCTTTTAGTGGGCGATGGCGCGTTGTCGGCCGATCCCGGAGATCCCTGTCTGGCACGATTCCCGTCCATGTCCGAAGGGTCTCGCTGCATCTGACCGGCGGTCTTTTGCTGGTGAAGCATCTGCATGGCTTGGGGACTAGAAGCGCATGGTTTGTCAGTGGGCTGTCCGGGGAGGTGCTCAGGCGTTGAGTTGACCAACTCACTTCTGGTTATTCGCCATGGCAGCTCTCTGCAACTGATTTCCGGGCTTCATTCCCATGTTCATGGCGCCGTTCGGCATTCCCCGCATCATTTGATGGTACTGCTGCTGTTGCTGCGGCATCAGATCAGGGCGCATTTGGCGAAGCATATTTTGTTGCTGGTGCTGTCGCATGTGAGATTGTTGCTACGGTCAGACGTGAGTTGCGCCCGATGACAAAATACCAGGTGGCACGTACCTGTGTGTGGTGGACATATTGGTTAACCTGTCCGCTAGATCCTTTGCCCTTCTGTGAGTTGAACATGTCCCAGAACAGACAGAACCATTCGTGTAGAAAACAACTGTCAGTCGCAGGGGTCGGCACATTCGGTGCCGGCAAGTCGTCCGGGCGCTTCTGGTCTACGGCGTCCTTGACGTCGGTGTCCATAGCATCGCCAAGTCCGTTCCCCAGCATGTTTCCATTCTCGTCACGATGCTTCCCCGGGCTGTCCTTCATAACCTTAATCTGGGGATCGGCTTCGTAGACGGCACGAGCGGCGCCGAACATGTTATAGCGGATAAAGTATTCGTAGATATATGTGTTGAGAAGGGTCCGGCTCGAGTCGTTGAGCTGCATCTGACTCGGAGGCCCAGGTTGGGGTCCGATGGCGCCGTTGTTAATCATGTTGATTGGCGTCCCCATTGGGTTGCCGACAGGCCCGCCCATCACGTTCATGTTGGGTATGCCCGCCATGTTATTCATGGTTCGCGGTGGGGGGTTGCAGACAGCTGTCCGCGCGGGGTGGGATTTTCGGTACGGGACGGGACGGTGTGATCTGATGGTGGATGCGATGAGAGCTGGTGGCGACGGGTCTTTCAATTATCGCAGAATTGAAGACGGGTCGTTGATTCGCCACCAAAGTGGCACCCTGATACGTTAAGGCACGGCGAAGCGGTAAGCGTGGGTATCGAAAGTGTTGGGTCCGATAATCAGCTGGGGGCGGCGCGACCACGACCAAGGTATGGATGGAGTGTGGGTTGTGTGCAAACGAGAGGCGCGCGACGAAACCCGTAATGAGTAGCGCCGACAATTTTTTGACAAGAGTGCGGCGATCGGGAAACGCTGCCGCGATAATGGAATGGGCTTTCGGAACAAAGATCCGAAACGAAGAAAAGAGTCGGTTTTTTTTGCACGAGACAGGTTCGAGATGCGCGACCGGGCTGGGCTCCTTGGGGGGCTGGGTACTGCTTAAAGACCAGTCCGTCGGGGGTGGGATGACCACCACCAGAACAGAACCAAAAAGCGCGAGTCGGTTGATCCGCAACAGCAAATGGGAGCGCAACCACACGGGGCTCAGCGCAATGGCGGCTGCGGTCGGGCTGGAGACAGGTAGTAGTAACGCTCGGGGCTGTCGCAACCTAAGTCCGCCCGCTGCCCTCTGGCGTTCCAGCTCGTCGTCTGACTATGGGCGCAATTGTCGTGCTCACCCGCGACGCTCGCTGCTTGACCACTCGGGGCGAAATCGGTGAGGGTCGACGGGGCGGCGTCGGGTTCATCAAAATGGCATGGCTCGAAGGGTATGGGAGATGCAAGAAGTTGCAGGGACCAGTGCGGAAGCAGGAGAGGAGAAGGGGGGAGGTCGGGGTTGGGATTTTTGGAAATTTCGGCGACGCCTGGAGCGTAATGGGGGGCGAGAACCCAAGAGCGACACGGCGATTGGGGATGGCTGCCAATCTCTCCCGGAGCGGAGCGGCTTTTCTGCGCAGTTTCTGGAACGGTACGGTTGACAACCCGCGTAAATTTGAGACTGCGCCTGCTTATGCCTGGGGTTTCGGGGATTTTGAGGCAACTGTGCAGCAAATTTAGGCCGCAATTCAGCTTTGGGGGGTCTTGGCGCCCCGGTACAGCCAATACCGGACAGAGAGAAATGGTCTGACGGGACACCCACCATGGCGAATCCTCTGCTCTAATAGGTACTTAACGAGCCAGGCTTCTCTCCAAAACTTCCAGGTTCTACATTGTGATTTCGGGGGCAGTGACTCAGAGATGGGCCGGCCACATGGCTACCGAGTTACAACGCACCGCCACGACTGTCAACGTTAGGCTCGTTGTTGCAGTGACGGCCAACAGAAGTCCCATCGAGGTTCCAGGTTGGCTCGAGGCTGACTTGGAGTTGATTTCCCACCAGATGACGACCAGGAATATTGGCCAGATCAATCAAATTCAACAAGGAGGTTACATCACAACGCCAACATAGCCGCGAGTCATTCTGCCTGTTCTCAATGGGGTTCCAAACATGACATCTCTTACTGTGTAGTGAAACCGACGCGCCAGTGGAGCCTCCAAACATGCATCCTTGTGCCACGTTTGGCAAGGATCCAGTGTGGTTGTGGGCAAGAACCTCAGATGCTTCTCAGCTTGCTTTCCAAGCGCGTTGGGCAAATCTTACGTGCGTGAATGCTAGGTAAGGATACTAAGGGCAAGAAACCAAGGTAGTTGGTTGGCGGGTTGACGTTTTTTTGGAAGAATTTCGTCCTGAGCTGCTCTTTGCAAGCGGCGCCGAACTTGTGGAATTCCTGTCCCACGCCCAAGGTTGTATCCGAGACACCGCAAGCACGATCAGCGGCCCGGTTATCAAGGTTGGCCGATTTCTTCGACTGGCCTCTTTGTGGGCTTGAAGCCTTCCTTCGATGTCATATCCTCTGCATTCACTCGATCGATCTACCCCTGGCACATGCACGCCATCGCTAGGGTTGGGCCGGCTGCGGGGACGCCTGAGGTGAGCTAAGGTGAGATGGCTCGGTAGCAGACAACAAACCCTCGCTGCAGCACATTGACTTTGGGGATGATGGGTGGGTACGACTCGTTGGGGAACACGGGAGCACGGGAGCTGGGAGATCGCAGCGCAGCCCTGGGGATCCAAGCATCCCAGCAATTTGCACCCACACGGTAACTGAACGGTCAATGAATGCAACGCCATATTGCGTACCTTGCATTAGTTAGCCGCGAGTCGTGGGGAGCAGCCGGACCGTCCACCGCCACCGACAGCACGACCCCGTTCTTCTCCAAGGATTGAACGCAATCCGCGTCTAATTTCAAGTCGAATGTGTTTTCGAGCACTCAGTGTTTCCTCGAGAGAAAAACGACGCGTGCAGCGCGCGTCACATTGCGGGGAGATTGGCCCCTCTCGTGATCGGCAGCGCGATCAAACAGCCGGGCTCGAGCCGGGGTGAGTCCGGGGAAAGGCGCCCATGGACCCACTGTTACCCGGGCACACCGAGGTGTTGCTCCTGCCCCAGTAACGAAATGCACCAAATCAGGACTCAAGTCAGCACTTAAAACAATCACGCAAATGCAATCTGGGTCCGGGCCAAATATAGCAAGATAATGCAGTCCTTGACAAAGGATGAGCCAGGTCATCTCAAATCTGCCTCCAGGAACATTTAACAAATTCCGTTTTAGTTAAGATACTCTTCGATTTGATTACCAAATATTATACGACTCGATGAAATACGAAAATTCATACCTGCACTGCTTGAGCTCCCAATTATCGTCTCGTCTTTGTTGACCAAGGTATTGTTTCAAAAATGACGGGATGGCGCTCATGGTGGCTGTGATCTTATAACCAGCCAGAGTTAGTTCTAGGCAAGCCCAACATGTATGGGTATCAGTGCCCACCCCCCAACCTGATCAACGCTGAAGTAGGTGGTTGTTGGATATTTGTGCTACGAAGACTGTTTGACAGAATGGTGGTGCCCATGAATAGATACATAGACCCCTGCCCGTCTTTGTCGTTCCCACCTCCTCTTAAGACCTGGCCGTCCCAAGCCGTTGCAGGACTCGTCCGAATTACGAAAGAAGACTCGAAAGGAATGATAAGAAAGAATCCAGATCACAAGATAGGTATCTAAGGTGAAAAAAAGACAAGGGTGGCTTTATTAACTTTTTGCAACTGCTCTAGCCTCTAGCGGGTATAAATGATCCAAAGCAGACCCAACTCCAACGGCGCCGTGAGATATGCTGAATTCTGGCCACGCTGTGCTGTAACGCCCCGAACCAGTCCGATACCCATGCAGTTTGTCTCCCACGGAACCAACTAGGATTTCAAAACGCCATCATCGTACAGCCCATCCCGCTGTTGTACCGATATCCCCCTGTAATCCAACCCAAACGTGCCAAACAACCCCCTCCTGGGAGCAGCCACCCAATGGTCTCCCATAACCACCAGGTAGGTTAGGTACCTAGGTAAGTAAGTACCTAAGTACTCAAACAGTACTCTCATACTTGATCCCCACCTCCTCCAACGCATCTAACAACGCATCGACTTGAAACGGCCCCGTCGACGGAATCTTGTCCCCGCGGCGCCCGAACATGCCTGGGTTCGCCCCCCTACCACCATACGTACTGCCCATCCCGCTATCCTCATATGTGCGGTCGATGCCCTTGCAAACGCGCGTGATCGCCGTCTCGGCGTCCTTGGACTTGCTACTAAACCTAGAATCGTTGCTGCAGAAGTCGACGGCCAGTGTCCAGGGTTGCGCGCCGCCAACGTTGGCCGGGTTCCGGTATGCTTTCCGTCGCCCCTGGAGCACGTTGCCGTTCAGGTTTGGCGTAATGGGGCAACCCCCGCACCCCTTTTCGCAGTGCAGGCAGGTTACCTGGAGGAGGTACTCGGCCTTGATCTTGTGGGACGCTATGCGTTTGGGTGGCTGACTAGCAGCTTGTTGGCCGGGGCGGCGCCTGCCGGTTGGGTTGGCGACGGTGGAGGGAGGGGGCGGCTGGATCTGGGCGGAGAGGGGTTGCGTGTATTGTTGGGGTTGTTGGTACGGCTGAGGCCGCTGATATTGTTGCTCATGTTGATGTTGAGGCCAGCGCTGGTCCCGCGGGTCAATCTTCTGCGAGTAGCTGGGGTGCTGGGCGTAGGGGCGGTTGTCTACACTGGGTGCGTGTGTGGGGGCCGGGCCATATCCGTTCTGGTTAGATCTGTTCTTATGTTTGGAAAATATGTTGCCCATTTTGGTGTTCCTGCAAGTCGAATGAGAGGATTTTAGTGCTTGTCCCTCGGAAACTCCGGCTTGGGTCGAGTCGTGTGCTGATAGAGTGTGAGGACTGCGAAAAAGGACGAGCGTGCTTCTCAAGCCCGCCGCCATGGCTACTCTTATTGTAGGGTCCGGATGCATGTTGTTGGTGGGTATTGACATGGTGGTGGCCCAAGATTGACGGCGTGCGAGCATTTTGAGATCGTGATCATACGGGCCGTGGACGATCAAAATACGGGTGTGCGGGTGAAATGGTGAGGGTCGGGTGGTCGAAGGCCTAGATAAACGGTTTTGTCTGTCAATCAACATGTGTGAGACCGTCTTTGACACCAGGTCGAAAGGGTGGCCGATTGTTCGGCCCCCCGAGGGGCAACATCAAGATATAGTATGGTTTGCGCATCCCTCCGCAGCATCACGGGGCTGATGGGTGGCGTGGCGGTGTGCGCAAAGAATGACTTGCCAGTGGCGGCGCCAAAGAGTCAAAGGCAAAGCAAAGCGTTGCACGCGGTGGTGGACTTTGATCCGTCACTCCCATGGGCTAGGGAAACGAGGCGCAGTCGCCGCAGCGAGTGGCCCACGCGCGGCCGTTACAGAATTTCGGGCTGTGTTGGCATTTTTGCTCCAAAGCCGGGCGCCAGAGACAGCGAACTCCGTCTCGGCACGGGCTAATAAGTATAACACAGAGCGGCTGGGTTGTGTTGGCCTTCAACCGTGAGGGGCTTGCGTGCGTGACGCAGGAATCCGGAACGCAAAAAAAAAGAGGAGACTTGATCCAACAATCCCACAACGATCCCACAACGCTAACCGTCGGTGAATCGCTGGCAAAACGTGAGGACGACAGATCGATTCTTCTTTTAAAGCCGGCCACTCATCGAGGGGATAATGGCAAGCTTGAAAAAATCACCAGAATAAATCAGCCACGAGTGGCGATGATGACACGCAGGTGGCATGACCAACAACCACAACACGTTGTCAACTACGGCTGGCTTCGGTGATGCGGGTTCCTTGACTTCAAGGGCACTGCACTGCGAATCATACTGAACAGAGTGCATAATGATATCAGTTGTAGTTCCGCCTCGCGGGTCGGTTGAGCCTCTTGTGGATACACGTCGACTGTCTGACTATAACCCCCAAGTTTCATCACCGGCCCGGTCCCACCGGCCGGCTCTCCCTGGGCCCCGATCTGGCGGGACTATGCCAAGTGGTGATGGGATTAATGTCGATGCTTTTCAGTATGTGCATCGCGGTATGCTGCCCTAGGTCTTGACATTCAACGTGCCAAGGTGACCACCGCTCTGTCAAGACCTAACAGGTTCTCCTTGTGGCCAATATAGCCGGCCGGCTGCGCCATATCCCCTCAGGCTGGATGCGTGGGTTTCTTCTCCGTAAGACCAAATTTTTTAGACAGCCCCATTCTTCGGCATAACGCCTAGTCATCCTCTGGCGGCAGCTCGTCGTCGATGTATCGTATCAAGCTGATGCGCATCTCGGTTGTGTCGTTGCCTCTTAGCACATCGCTAACAAACTTGGCCTCCACCTGCATCTGGACCATCTCTAGTGCTCCCCGGAGCACGCCGCACAGGATGTTGGAATACCACAGTTCGTCCTGGGCACGGCCGTCATCGGGCAGCTCGACAAAGTCGGCGAAGGGGTTTTCGTCGAAAATAAGGGAAAACTGCTTGCCGTCGCTCGTCCAGTTTGTAATGGTGGGTGTAATATTGAGAAATATTTTGAAGCCAACCTGTAGCACACCGTGGTCAGACTTCGCGAGAGGTAACGAGTCAGGCTGGAGCGGGGCGCAAACTGACCTTGGCGATCATCTCTGCTGTTTCACGGAAGTTGGAGCAGCGCTTGAAGGTATTTGATTTGGCGAGGTAGTCTTCGATCAAACGTAATCCGATATTGTAGCCCATCTTGTCGAGTTGCTGGTTAACCTTGCCGTAGTCGCTGTCGAAGTCCTTGCAAAGCTGTGCGACCATTGCGCCGTATGTGAGGACGACGAGCTCGGCATTAACTTTGTCCATCCGCGTCCTCCAGAAGTTAGCAGGGCGGTCGGCGATCTGGGGGTTGAGTTCTCCTACTTCCACACCCTAGGGGAAGGCGGTATTGTTAGCGAGAGGCACTGGGCGGAACGGAGGGGAAGGGAATGCGAGAACGTACTCTTCCCCAAGCCTCGATGCCTTGCTCGACGCCATGGCGAATTAAATAAACGCGGCCGAGACTCTCGACAATATGGGGCGGTAGGGCTATGCTCGAAGAAAAAATGATGAACGGAACGCGACGGCAAAGGCGCTGAATGTCAAGAGGAAGATGCAGTCCGATTGATGGATGGAGTTGTCCAGGCGCTGTATGTCCTGGCGGCTCCCCAGACAAGGTAACTACAAGGGTGCTCAACATCAATCGCACATCTGGATGTGGGGTTGCAGCTCGGGCCCCCCATCCCATGCACAGGCTCGACAGGCTCACTGGGCCCAGTAGCACGGGCCATCTAAAATCCAAGCAGCTCCACGGTTTCCAAGCTGGCCAAGGACTCCAACACCAAGCTGGAAGGGTTAAACATCACCACTTTCAACCTTGCCTATATCGCTTACCCCATTCGTCGATTAACCCCGGAAACGACACCCGAATAAACAATCATCACAATGTCAGAAAAGAGACCGGCCGCCGACCAGGGACAGCTAGTGGTGAAGCGGCAGAATGTGGGCACGAGTCGCGCTCTCACCCGCCAGGGCGCGTCGGGGAGCGGCGCACTCATCCAGACGGTATGCCCAACAGATCTGGTGCACATGAGGTAGTCATGTTACCCCGCTGACCACTTGTCAAAGGCCCCGAGAACAAGCGCGTTGCAGGCACCATTGATGGAGTTGTCGGGACACTCAGGGGAGATCTTCACGGCCAAGTTCGACCCGACGGGGAACCTTATTGCATCCGGGTCGATGGACAGGACAATAAGTGCGTGGATACATCTTCCCTCGATGATACAATTGGTGGCTAACGGAGGCAGTGCTTTGGCGAACATACGGCGACTGCGAAAACTACGGCGTGCTCAGCGGCCACCGCGGCGCCATCCTCGACCTCCAATGGTCTCGCGACTCCGATATTCTCTTCTCGGCCTCCGCCGATACGCATCTCGCGAGCTGGGACCTCACGTCAGGAGAGAGGATACGGCGGTACGTTGGGCACGAGGAGATTGTCAACTCGATGGACATTAGCAGGCGCGGCGAGGAGCTGTTGATCAGCGGGAGCGACGACGGGACGATTGGCATCTGGGACCCGAGGACAAAGAATGCCGTTGATTACATCGAGACCGAGTTCCCCATCACGGCCGTGGCCATCTCTGAGGCCGGTAACGAGATTTATTCGGGCGGCATCGACAATGACATTAAGGTGTGGGATATCAGGAAGAAGGCGCTGGTTCACTCGATGCTGGGACACACGGACACAATCACTTCGTTGAGGGTATCGCCGGACGGCCAGCAGCTGCTCTCGTATGCGATGGATTCGACGGCGAGGACGTGGGATATTCGGCCATTCGCCCCAGCCGAGCGGCACATCCGCACGTTTGACGGTGCACCGCTGGGGCTAGAGAAGAACTTGATCAGCGGGAGCTGGGATTCGGACGGCAAGAAGATTGGCGTTGGCGCTGGTGACGGCACTGTTGTTATCTGGGGTAGCGATACCGGAAAGCTGCTGTACAAGCTGCCCGGGCACAAAGGCACGGTGAACTGCGCCGAATTTGCGCCGGGTGATGCCCCTCTAAGTTGGTACTCCCGATTCCTGCCCCCATGTGATTTTACTGACTGATCATTAGTTCTTTCCGCATCCTCCGACAAGACGATGCTGCTGGGCGAGCTTAAATGAGACATGTTGCGGGTCCTGGCAAGTTAACCGCACCGTCTGCGGTCCAGAGGAGAGTACGCCGGCTTGAGGGCCTCCCCAAACGCAAACCGCTAGCGCTGCGAGCAACGGCAGTGTCGCCGAATACTGGCGCAGGCCTGGTCCATGATGGATACGGTCCCATGCCATGGTTATGGCATTTTGGATGCGGAGGCTTTGTTCTGTGGTGCACTCAATCGAACCGGGACGATGAGCGCGAGTCACGGGATCAACTTCCTCCTGCAGCGCCACGAAGCAGAGTAAAAAAACAGGGGTGTGGTAGGAAAGTTACGGACATGATACCCAATCTCAACGAGATTCCAACAGAGTCTGACCTAGTCTGGATGATCGACCTCGCGAAAGAGATTCGCTTGCTGTCCGCAACTGCCCAAGACAACACATAATTCTAATGACTCAGAAAGTCCGGGAAATTTACTCTGGACGGATAAATATTCCAGTTTTGCCCTCGCATTGTCTCTCCGAAAAAGTCGTTTTCATGTCGTGGTCGAGAGTGACCCGTTATCTAATTCGCTGTCACCCAAGCTTCTGTGTGCAGCCTGAAGCACGGAGAAACAAGACGGGCTTGTAAAAGGTTCAGGGGGCACCTGAAACGTGGTCGGAGCCCCACCCTGACTTCATGCAATCGTTTCGTGTGAGCCAATGATTCGGGTGCAGCCGCCCTCTTCTGCCGGTCAGGGGTTCCTGCATCTCAAGATCTCAGCTGCACCCTGTCGACGAATCGTCGGGATGAGGGCGGTGGGAGGTTGAGAACGACTGGTTGGGCTGGACTGGACTGGATGCAGGGACGACGTCGGCTTGTTAAACGAGTGGATGAGGTGGACAGGAACGAGAGGAAAAAGAGCAATTATGGGGGGAAAGATATTCTCTTGCTTGTCGTCCTGGTTGTGTGTTGTGTGATCGAATTGTCCGGGACAGGAACGGACGTTGAGACGCGGCACCCTCTTCCGCGATGCAGGGGCGGAAGCGGCGTGGCATTCTTTGCCCTGGACCAAGACTGATTGACAGGACCACACATTGAAGCACTCCAAGAAGCCTAAGCGTGCTTCAACCCACCCACCAAAAGGAAAAGCGGCCAGTGGCTTGCACTAACGTGTGGCTTCAAGCCCCTGCATCCCGAGTCTCACCATCAACCCCCTCTCGTCGACTCAAATCGGTGGGCGGCCTGCCGTAGCCTCGGCTGCCCTGCCGACACTTCACTTCTTCTCCCTCACCTCTGATCTGTGCTCCCTTGCCAGGGCTAGTGTAGACTTGGAACATCCTCAGCCAGTCGACTCCCCGCGAAGGCGATTGGGCACGATCACCCGCATACGCCGAAACATAGCACGGCGCTGTGCCCGCCTATGGGTCACTTTCGTTCGCCTCGATTCCCAGCTCGATATCTTCTTCCTGGCTTTTAGTCACTCTTTTCTTGTTGACGGTTGTGGGAACCTGCATTAGCACCGGAACCACCGCGAGCAGCTGTTCGTTGCTCTGGTCATCCTTCTCCAAATCAACGACCTCCCTCGTCCCTCCGTTGGCATACAAGACGGGGCGGTTTGGTTCAGCCGTCCATCGCCCTTTGCTATTCTACTCTTGAACTTTGCCGTTCAGTTTTCTTCAATTCTGCAAAACAAGGCTCTGGGAGCCCGTAATTATTGGACGGTGTTTCTGCTTTTTCCACTGGTTTGATACCACGACGAAGCTGAAGGAGTTTATGATACCCAGCACGCGCATTCGCTTTTCTAGCAGCCGTATTTTCTTCGACACCTCCCTTCTCTTGATCGGCCGTTTCTTTAAGGCCTAAAAGAACCAACTCGGCCACCGTCGCTACTCGGCTCGCGCTTTGGATCAGACGGGCATAACAACCCAACGAGATCGAAGCTGGAATTCATCATCGACCAGAGTCACGGGACAGACTCGGCTGAACCGCAGGAAAAAGACGAGGTGCAGTCCCACGCGGTACTCAACAGCATCGAACGCAGCATGCCCGCACTCTTTCCGGCATAGCAACATCAGAAGCCACCTGACTTACCGAACAACAACAATACCACCTAAAAGATGAACCGCTTCAACTTCTTTCAACCGCCCCACGGCGACGGGGGCAACCAACAACAACGACGACCCCTACGACGACCGGGCCCCGCTCTCCCCGCGCGTCGTCCCATCATCCCAGGACACCACCACCCGCACAACCCCCAACATCAACATCGTCCTGCACCCCTCCGACGACCTCGAAGCCAACAACACCCAGACCACCTCCCCGGCCGCGGCCGCCGCGACACGTGAGATGGCCGAGCGCACACGCGCCACCCCCTCATCACGCTTCCTGCACCGTTTCCGCCCAGCCATCCCCTCCTTCTTCAGCACGGCGTCCTCCGCCCACCAGCCACAACAACAACAACAACAGACCCCCCCCAACAACGAGATACGGACGCCCTTTTTCGGCATTCGGCCCCACCAGGCAGCCAATTAACTCGGGGCCGACGGGCCTTGCGGCGGGCGCGACCCGACACCGTGCTTGGATTATAAACCACCCGCAAACTACAACCAGCACCACGACAACAAACCGCCCACCACCGGCGAACTACGACGACGACGGCAACTCCTCCTCAGGAAGAAAGAGGAGGAATACCCAAAGTCCCAAAAGTCCTGAATTCCGCCTCGGCGCGCGCGACCTGCACCTCCCCGGCACGCGAGCTGCACCTGCCCGAGCTGGAGCGCACGTGGACGCAGGGGTCCAACGGCCCGCCGACGCGGCCGGGGACGGGTGGAGCAGCAGCGGCAGCGGCAGTGGGGGGTGGGGATGGGGCGGAAGCGGGGGGTGTGGCGGCGCCGGAGCCGGCGGTGGTGCGTGCGCGGAGGCATGGGTCGTCGAGGTCGGCGAGGGAGGGGCGGTCGGGTGAGGGAGGGGAGCATCGGGAGAGGAGGAGGCGGAGGAGGCGGAGGCATGGGGAGGGGTCGTCGGAAGGGAGTGGCCGGTCGCGGAGTCATCGGTCGAGGGAGGGGGAGAGTCGGAGTGAGAGGCGGGAGCGCAGGGAGAGGAGGGAGAGGAGGCGCGGGGCGGAGGGGTCGTCGCGGTCGGAAGGGTCGTCCTCGAGGTCGTCGCCGTCGTCCTCGTCGTCGCGGAGCAGTAGGACGAGAAAGGGGCCGCCGCCGAAGCACTTCCTCTTTTGTTTTCCTTGGATCAAGTCGCGGCGGGTACGGTCGCAGATCCTGCGGTGTTTTGTGTCGGGCATGTTTCTCGCTCTGACTAAGTCCATCTGTAAGTGTGCCTCGGAGAATTTACCCTACCTGCCCCCTGAAGAACGGATGCTGACTGCGCAGACCTCGCGCTGTCGCTCACCAAGAACGTCAACAGCAACGAGTTCACCATCCTGATGATCATCGTCCTACTGTTCGTCACTATCTTCTTTTGCCACAGCCTTATCCGCCTCTGCATGCTGGTGGCCAAGGCGCGCAAACGGGCACAAATGGTAGAGCGCGGGCAAGCCGCGCCGGAGATGGTGGGCGCTGGGGGCTACACGGTCCCGCGCGAGCCCATCCCCGTGGTGCTGGCCAGGGACGAGGAGGTGGCAGGCATCCAGAGCGAAGCCACCAAGACTGGGCCACCGGCATACGGCGTCTGGAGAGAGAGCGTGGTATGTGCTTACTCCCAGGCTGACACCACTGAGGTACCCGAGCTGTACTGACCGTCACGACAGAGGGTTGATCCCAACCGCCTCTACTGGATGCGCAACCAACACCCGGCGGCAGCCGAAGAGGTGTCCGATCTTAGTTCGAATGGCTCCGGGACGGGGAGCACAGACCCCACGGTGAGTTCGATGAGCTCACAGAGCAGTGGGCGCGCGCCTGTTCCTCGCCCGCCGTCGTATTCCTCAGATGATGGCGTGAGCTACGTGGTCGAGGCCCGGCCGAGGTCTATGGCACCGCGGGCGAATGCTCCGCCGGTGCCGCATCCGTCTCAGAACGGCATGCTGGGATCGTGGTTTTGAGCATCGATACTGAACACGGAACCGGGGTTTCGGGATCAAACAGGCAAGGATGGCCAGGAAGGGGGCACATGCGCATTTTCAGCGCACAGCGGGATTTAGCGTGTGGGTTATCATCGCCAGAAGCGTACCCGGCGTACGTAATTGCGTAATTGTAATCGCAAGTGGTGGCCACCCATTGTTATTCTTGTTCATTGTCGCCATTGTGGTCATTGTTCGGGACCCTTCCGATGATCGAGGACGGGGAGTCGGCAATTGGCCGGGATCAATGGAAGGCCCGGCCGCCGAGTTCCGGAGCACGCCGAAGCAAACCCGGTGCTGTTGCAGGGTTACCCTGAATTCGGCCGACCCGTCGAAGCGCCCCTCAGGTCATCTTGGGTAAATAACAAATGCACGCTCCAGCTGCCAGCTGACAGGTCCAGTCGTCCAGTCGTCCAGTCGTCCAGTCGCCCAGCCGCAAGAGGAGTTCCAAAGCCATCGTGCATGTCCCGACGCGCGGGACCAACCCTTTGTGGATGCGAGATCACCCTTAACGTGCCCGTTTAGGTGTTCCGGACCGTGTTGCCTCGTGTTTCCTGCCTGGACGGGTTAAGTTGGCGTTGATGACTGCGGCGCGGTCGGTTGGGCATGATTGGGTAGAGTGAGGGGGGTCGTGGCCGCAGGGATTGTGATGCAGCGGGGTTCAAGCCCAGCATACATGAACCCACGGGACCTGCCACAGAACCACACACAGCCCAGAGACTTCATGCAGCCTCCGGACCGCAAACCCAGCGCCCTGGGCGAGGTACCTCTCCACTTGGGTGCAGACTGTGCCGCCGAAACAAACAATGCCGGGCGAACGGGCTGCTTGCTTCTCTTTTCGGTCTGTTTTGAACATGGCCAGAGAGCAGTACTTTTTTATCACTTCGTCCGAAGATAGCAAACGAGAGAAGTCGAAACGGCGCCCCGCCATGGATCCACAGCAAACAACGGCAGTCGTGTTCGGTGAGACCCGAAACCAAAATTCGACGACGTCTCGGACCGGGGCAGGGCGCTGGCGACAGCCGTTCTCCGAGACATCCCCACAGCCTGAGCCCGGCAGACAAATGTGCCCGTGTGCGCAGGCGCGGGCGCAAATGCGGGTGATGACCTTATTTCCTCATGCCGACTTCGCCCCGACCGAGAGCTAAGAAGGGAAGGATGTGGATGGAACGGGGCCCAGGAATCAAGGAGGCAAGGCAGGTGCCGTTTGCAGTGTGCGATCAATCCAGATTGGAACGAGTCAGGGGTGGGGCCAGTCGCAGCGCAGTTGTCCTCCGCTTCAGGAACTCCTTCGCGAATTGGAAGCTGTAACTGGATGTGGGGGTGGTTGTGGTGGACCAGAAGGCACGCCAAGGACCAAGAATTTTAGCCCTTAGCGTGCCCTGGAGCTGAGACTCGAACCCGTCCCCGGGAGCTGCAGCGGGGGAGACCTGCTCACCCGCCGTGTCCGCGCACCCGCGCACCACCCACTCTGGCAGCTGGCCAGGAAGCCAGATGTGCGGCTGCTTATGGTGAGCGCTAGGAAGCAAGGACCGTCATCAGCGCTCCACGTTGGCCCGAAAATTGAAAGCCGCCGTCGCCGCCCCTCGGCTGAGATACTTTAGAGGTACTTCGCTTTCGCCCGAGATGTGGCGCCAAGCAACATATCCAGGCGCATTCCCCGCCTAAGGCTCGCTGCCTGCTCCTCATTCCCCCGGTATGGCAAGTCACTCGCCAGTCACTCGTTTCCGGCTTTTCACTCTTGCCCGTGCGGAATGCCAGCACGGAAGCTGCGCTATCCCTCCCTTGCCCTGACTGCTGCTGTTGCCCGTCTTTCCTCATTGTCCCGCTTATTCCGTCTCCCTCTCTCCTTCTCCTCCCTCCTCACACCAGTGTCCTCTGAAACGAACAAGCAAAATCATCTTTTGGGTGTTGTTGGAGGTAGTCGGATACGAAGTCGGAAAGGAAGAAAGGTTGAAGCTGCGGTTGTCGGTCCAAGTCATCATCAGTTTTGTGGGAAAGGTTCCTTTTGGCTTTTATTTTTTCGCAGAGGTCAGTACCCATTCTCGATGCGCTCTTACTACCTTTAGCATCACGACTCCCTCCGTCTGAGAAAAAAAAAAAAAAGACACGTTTGCATACGCACACATCGATCCACTAGTGAGAGGCTTGGGTTTGCAGGGCCAACATACATGGCCACATATGGGATGACGGCGGAGGCATTCCGAAGTACAGAAAACAGGGTCAGATGCGCGCATTATGGGACGCCATGGCTTCGGACAACAACACACTGATCACAACGGTTTCTGTCTCCCTCCGGACCGCTCTCTATATTCTCCCGTTCCAACAACGTGATGGCGCGTGGTCGAAACGGGTTTGGGACTGGCCGTTTACGCGAGACGTCATTTCCTCTCCAGGGAGGCGGCCGGACGTCGGGTCGCACAATCCTGTCCCGACGCTGCGGAACCTGGAACCTGGAACCTGCCTCGCATGCGGCGCAATCACGGAAGCCTTCTGTATCACCAAACCGAGCAATCACCTAAGGCGAATATCCGAAGCCAACAGAACACCTGCCGCCAGAACCATGGCCACGATCAAGTCGTTCACCAGGGACCCTACGTCGCGGGTACTGGGTGGCGGCGCACACAATAACAACAAAGACAACAACCCGCGCTTGCAAACGTGTCAGCGGACAAACATGACGGAGGGAGATCGGGTGGCCAACCCGGGATAGCTTGCTAACGCGCCTGCAGGCCCCTATCAGTCAATATGTCGTCAGTTTCTCGTCGGGCGTGCTACAAGTGCGGTGAGCTTGGCCACCATGCCGAGGCCTGCGCCTCGCCGCATCGGCTCTGCTACAACTGTATGTCTTCCCTCTGCCGCGGCCGCTCCTTGGTCAGTAGGTGCATGCGCTAACGTCAAGCGCAGGCAAGCAGCCAAACCACGAGTCGAACGAGTGCCCGATGCCCCGCACCACCAAAGCGAAGCAGTGCTACCACTGCCAGGGTCTCGGACACGTCCAGGCCGAGTGCCCTACGCTCCGTCTGAGCGGCGCCGGCGCCGGCAACCGGTGCTACAACTGCGATTCTATTGGCCATCTGGCTGTGCGTTTTCCCCATACCGACACGATCATCTGATTGGGTACTGACGTTCGCAGCGCAACTGCCCTAACCCCCCTGTCCCCGGGGCTGGTCGAGGCGGCATGGTCCCCCGCGGCGGCTTTGCTCCCGTGCGGGGCGGATTCGTCGGCGGACCCCGTCCGGCAACATGCTACAAGTGCGGCGGCCCGAACCACTTTGCTCGCGACTGCCAGGCGCAGGCGATGAAGTGCTATGCCTGCGGCAAGCTCGGCCACATCTCTCGTGACTGCACCGCCCCCAACGGCGGCCCACTCAACACCGCCGGCAAGACTTGCTACCAGTGCGGCGAGGCCGGCCACATCTCGCGCGACTGCGCCAACAAGGCCGGCCCCATCGGCGAGATGCAGCCCGAGGTCGAGATGGCCGGCGCTCCGGTCATGCCCCAGCCTGTTGCCCCTCTCGCGCCGGTTTCCTAAGCCGGCCTTGGGCTGCCACACATCGGGGAGTTGGTCAAGTTCGGATTTATTTTCTTCGGCAATACACGGCTTCCGGTCCACATACCCTCTCCTTGGTCTATTCCCACTCTGGACACGGGATCAGGACGATACGACATCGGGTTTCTTCCAACGGCGTTCTCGGTTCCGGCTCGTCTCACGATTGGGTTCATGGTTTACTCTTGTCTGGACAACACGATGAAATGGAAAACAAACCCTCACATCTCCTCCTTGGCAAGCACTTTCTCTTCGATAACGATTGTTTTGGTCAGGATAAGTGCAATCCGAGCATGATTTCGGTTGCATCTTGAGGCATTTTTCTTCCCTCTCTTTTCTCATCTTTTTCCCTCCCGCTTTGTTTCATTTTTCCATCGCCTCCATACCTAGACGCTATTTGGAAACGAGCAACTTTCAGAGATACCCCCCTCGGCGCGGAAACACGATTCGGACATTGTTGTCGAGGCTCTTGGGCACTTTCAGCCAACACACCGGGCTCGGCAAGGTTGTGCCGTGGCGCGACAGCGTCAGGCGGGCAAAGGGCACAGGGGCAGGCCAGATCGGAAGGGGCAACTTGATTGGTTGGAAGGGTGTGGTGCGTGGGAAGTGGTTGCGAAGCTGTGGATGGTGCAGGTGGTCGGCCCGGCGATGTAGAAAGGAAATACATCACTCTTCGGATCGATTTGATGGTTCATTCTGGTGTTTGTGGGATGGTGTTTTGGTGTTAGGCGCCTTCTTGGTCTTGGGCCGCCGTGGTCCCCCTTACTAATATCAAGCACAGCCAGCACTCACGCCTCTCCCCCGGTGCCACATGATGAGGCAAAAATGAACAAAAAGAGCAGACAACTAAGTTGTCCAGGGAGTTGGTATCAGGTTTAGCCTGCCTGATACTGGAATCGAACCAGTGATCTTTGCATCTCTAGGCGGTACGAGTGCAACGCATTACCCCTGTGCTAATCAGGCTATGATCGGATTGTGGTGGAGAAGGTGTTAAGGAGCGGGGTCATCGTGGGGCGTGGGAGCTTGCTGTCTGCTTGGCGGTGAAGTTGTGAAGTGAGAAGGGTAGGTTGGTGTCTTGGGTGTATTGTCGGAGGTTGTTGGACTAGAGTAAGAAGTGGGTTCCCTGGCAATATGGCCAACAGATTCGTGGTTGTGGTTTTCCGTTTTTGTGTTGACTTGCATAATCTCGGCCTAAACTATGGGTCCCTCAGGCGCTCAGGGGTAACCAACAACGTATCTACCATGTTGTTTTCTAGCACCGGTGGCACTTGCTCTAAGTGCTATATTCGCATAGGTGTTATCTGACTGGGACTGGTATAGGTCTCACTTGACCTAGCTTCTCATCTGACGAGTCACGAGACGGATATTATCAGCCGCATGCGCGGCCTACTCCGAGTCTAACGGGAGAGACCAAGACTCAATTCAAACGCTCTTAAGCAAAAGATATTGTAATCCTTGTAATTCATCACTGGGAACTTTCAGCTTCAGTTTTGGGTCCCAAAACCCAAGAAATCCGTGTGTGGGAGGTCATCATCCAAGAGGGCTTTTCATACATCAGCTTCAACTACATTTGCGCTATCATCACAAAATAAACCAAGTATATGTATTACCAATCAGTTGGAACACCAGTGTCTAGGCAACTAGGAATCTCAACGCCCCTTAACGACAACGCGGTGCCAAAGAAACAAATCTTTTGATTCCCCAAGTTATCCGCAATGCAGATCACACCCCTTTTACCTCTTGGCCGGCGCCCACTGGCCAGAAAAAACAGTGCGGCCACAGCTTTCAAGCGAATGAAGTAACCCAGCGGCTGATAGGTCGATGCACTACTGAATCATTGCAAAAGATTCAGGTCAGCTGGAGCTCGGCATCGGACTCGTAGACCCACCAGGATGAGGCCCCTGAAAGTGAGGCTCGGCAATCTATGCCCGGGATGTTTCGAGTGCCACGTTCATGCGCGGATAGTGATATATCACGCCAACTATGTATTTAACTTTTAAGCCGTCTACCGGAAGAAATCGATCGGGGTACAAGACTACCGAGTCTTCCACACTCGGAACGGTCCGTGACCAGTGCAGCCCCGCATTCATCTGTTTGGTTACACTCAGGGATCGTCATCCAAACAAAATGACGATGCCCGTGTCACCGCCGATCATCCATCCCTGGATGCAAGGCCAATGACGCCCAAACCCCGAACCCATATAATGCGGAGGCATGTCTCGAGCCCCGGCCCTCGTTTCTCAAGGCCATTGTTCTATCTGGATACGAAAAAGTAGTTATCCAGATTCAATCCTGTGTTACGAATTGTAACAGAGCATTGTAGCAGACAGGCTACACTACATTGAGCCCGGCCACGATGAAAACAACGCGGGCTCGCGTCCTCCTCGCGGGACTCCTCCCTTCGGTAGCCGCACAATCGTGCCCCGACTACTCCGACTACTCCAAATCTCGCCACGAGCCCTTCTCCTCGGGCAAGCATGCCCTCTCCTCGATGCGCCCTGCAGCCGACTGCCGGACCTTCAACTCGACCACCGTCGAGACCCTCCTCGCCAACATGACCGAGGTCATCTCGGACCCGGACCTCTACCGCCTCTTCGAGAACACCTACCCCAACACCCTCGACACCACCGTCCGCTGGCGCGGCCACGCCGCCGACAACCCCGACGAGGAACTCGCCTTCCTCATCACCGGCGACATCGACGCCATGTGGCTCCGCGACAGCGCCAACCAACTGCAATCCTACCTCCCGCTCCTTGAGCCGGACGCCGCCCCCAACGACCCCACCTCCATCGCCAGCCTCTACCGCGGCGTCATCAACCTGCAAGCCCGCCAGATCCTCAGCGCCCCCTTCTGCAACGCCTTTCCAACCGCCCCCGGAAAGCGGCATCCCCCCACCTTCCAACCCCGCCGCCTCCTCCGACGCCGTCCACCCCGCCTACGACCCGACCCAAGTCTTCGAATGCAAGTACGAGCTCGACAGCCTGGCCGCCTTCCTGCAGCTCAGCGCGTCCTACTACGAAGCGACGCACGACGCGGGCTTCTTCGCCCGCTTCGCCTGGCTGCGCGCCATCCGCACCCTGCTCGACACCACGAAATCCATGACTGCCGGCACGTACGGCCCGGCGGGCGAGGTCCTCCCCCCACCTTACAGCTTCACGCGGCTGACCACGCGCGCGACCGAGACGTTGCTCAACGATGGGGTGGGCGCGCCCGTGAGGCGGACGGGGATGGTGCGGAGTGCGTTTCGGCCGAGCGATGATGCGACGACGTATCCGTTTTTGGTGCCGGCGAATATGCTGTTTGCGAGGGCGCTGGCGGGGGCGGGATTGATTGTTTCGGCGCTGGAGGAGGATGGGGAGGTGGAGGTGCCGGAGGGGTTGGCGAAGGAGATGGCGGGTTTTTCGGCCGAGGTGAGGGCGGCGATTGTGAGGTATGGGGTGGTGACTGTGCCGGTGCTGGGGGGGAATGGGACGGAGACGGAGACGGTTTATGCTTATGAGGTGGATGGGTATGGGTCGGCGGCGATTATGGATGATGCGAATGTGCCGTCGTTGTTGGCGGCGCCGGTGTTTGGATACCTGGGGAGTATTGATCCCGTGTATCAGCGCACAAGGAAGAGGTTGTTGAGCGCGGAGGGGAATCCATATTTCATGGCGGGTAAGGTGATCAATGCGATTGGCGGTCCGCATGCCGGGCCGGGGATGGCGTGGCCGATGGCGAGTGTGGTGAGGATTCTGACGTCAGAGGATGATGAGGAGATCGAGGTGGCGTTGAGGGAGTTGGTGGCGTCGACCGACGGGCTGGGGTTGATCCATGAGAGCATCAACTCGAACGATGCGACCAAGTGGACGCGGCAGTGGTAAGCTATCGCGGCCTGTTCTGAAAATATGAGTGTGGTTAATAAGGTTAACTAACAACTGCTAGGTTCTCGTGGGCCAACGGGCTGTTTGGCCAGATGATTCTCGACCTGCGCTTCCGGAAACCGCACATCTTGCAAAAGAGCTTCCAATGAGCGTTGTACTGTGCAGTCACGGACAACTAAAAGATCACAAAAGACTTCCAGACGCAAAACTCAAATGTGCTGACTCGCCATCCTGGCGTTGTTGATTCCAAGTCTATCTCATGATGACCAAACTCTAACATCTATGCGATGCGGCGCCCGTGTCTAGGTACGAGCGGATGCGTGTGCCCGTTCATCATTTTCGAGCCTAGTTCCCAAGTCCGGTTGCATGCCAGCAACGAGTGTGGATGAGGCCCGTGTATCCATGATCCCAACCCAAGAAATGCCGCACAGAAGAAATGCGGTGATGCGAAGGAGGAACAGAAAGGGGAAAAGAAAAAAAGTAAATACAGCTGAAGAGGAAAGCCAAAGAATGGAATACGCAGTGGTATCAATAACGGTGTCGTTCAAGTCGTGAAAAAAAGCATTTGCGCACTCCGTCTCTCTCCCTCTGCCTTTCCTCGACCGCGGTCAGGGCTTAGGCCATGGTCAGGAAGTTGTCCTGCACCTCAAACTCGGGGGTGCGCCCCTCACCGACCGCCTTGAGGGCGGCATCATCCAGGGGCAGCATACGACCGCCGGCCTCCTTGCGCGAGCCCAAGCGGGACATCTCGCGGCGGATACCGTGGTTGACGGCGTCGAGCACCGTGTCGACCAGCTTGCGCGGCTTGTACTTGGGCTCGGTACCGGGCTGGTAGACGCCCGTCTTGACGAGGATGCTGTACCACTCGTTCTCGGAAATGGCGTCCATGGCGTTGGTGCCGCGGATGTCCGACTCGGGGGTGTCGCCGACAAAGTACACCGTCGCAGGCGGCTTCGTCTGACGCAGGCCGTGCTGGGTTGCGCGCCACTGCTGCAAGAGGCGGGTGGCAAATTCGAAAGTGGACACCTGCGGCTTGCCGAAGGCGTGCGTCTTGAGTTTCTTGCCACCCGTGGTGTCCTCGAAGACGGTTTCAACGATGCGGCGCAGCGCGCCCATGCCCAAGCGGGCGTGTTCGTGAGCTGCCGACCACAGAACGTCGTTGTGGCTGAAGTAGATGGGCGGGCCTTCGTCGAAGGTCTCGGACCGCGTCTCGAGCCGGCCACCCTTGGACTGGGCGATGTCGAGGATGATTTGCAGGTCCGACGCCCAGTCGCGCGAGTCGGCAAAGACGAAGATGGCCTCGATCACAATGTCCGAGAGCTTCTCAGCGCCATGGCGGGCGAGTAGGTCCCGCGAGTTGGCGTGTTCCGCTTCGGTCAGCTTGCGGAACGGGGCAGTGTGCGCGTTGGCCTTGAGGATGTCGCCAGGGGTGACGACGTCGCGGAAGCCATATGACTCGGCCACATCACGGCACTTCTCACCCTCGCCGCCGACCACAAGCACGGTGCCGTACCGGTCGGCGAACTCCCTCATGGGGGTGTGGCCGCAGATGAACTGACCGGGCGAGACATCGATCTCGAGTTGTTGTGAGAGATCGCGGCAGCGTTCCGTCTCGAACTTGCCGCCGCCGTTGGTAAGGAAGATGTACGGACTGGGGTCAAAGTTAGCTTCTGGTCTAGAAGTAGTCGGTGGAGTTATTGCGGAGTGATGTTGACTTACACCTTGACGCCCCACTCATTCTCGCCGTTGAGAACCTTCATAGCCTCGACGGCCTCGGGAATCGGCCGCCCGCCGCGGATCAGCACGCCGTCAATGTCGAAAGCAAAGGCAAAGTTGTCGGCGACATCCTCGACCATGGGAGTGATCGGAACGGTCGTAGGCGTGGCTGGGCTCAGAGGCGAGGGCGACTCGGCCGGCACCGAGTAGGTAGCGCTCACGTCGGTGGCAGAGCTGGACGACGACAGTGATGGCGACAGCACTTCGTCTTCACCGGGCTCTTGCACGCCCATGGCGTCGAGCTTCCTCCGGGCATCATCGAAGGCATCAGCAAAGCTGCTGCTCGACATCTGCCGGGGGCACATGGAGGGCCGCTGGGGAGGGACTGAGAGAGACATGATGGAGTATATTCGTCAGATCGAAGGAATGACTAGTGTTTGTGTTTGCAGGTAAACCCGAAAAAAAGGAAGGAAACTGTGTTTGCATATCCGACTCAGCGACGGCAGCTGATGAGGGCTGAGCTATTGCGAACATCACAGACCATGCGCCCGGGGAGCCGCCCCTTATATAGACCGAAGCCATCTACAAGCCGTTCGCCTTCGATAACAACGGAGGAACACATGGTGGTGGGGCCCCTTGCCGTGCAATCAGCGCTTGTCGAGACGGCACAAAACAGGGTCCCATCCTGGCCCCTGTGAAAGTGGTGGATACTAGGGAGGCGCGGGGGAGCACCGCTAGTGGAGATGGTATTTCATCATCTCACTGCCTTTCGTCTGAAATATGTGAAGGCAGGGGATTGGTCGTCTCTCTCGAGCATCATCTCGAATGATTGTGAATCCCCGTCGGTCTTGTCAGAGGGTCCTGCAGTCCGCATATTCATGACATCCATGGAGCCATAGCACCCACTCGCCCCGGGATCCACCGGGCGAGGTGGTGAGAGAATTCTGCCACCCGCTGGCTCCATTAAAAAAAAACACACCCCACCGCGGGGTATCAAAGGCTCAGTTAGGGTCCAGGGTCCAAGCATGTGGGTGGTGAGTGAAGGTGGTGTGCACGGTATGGCAGCGGTGAGTCGGGCTGCTGAGGAAGGGGGGGTGGACAGTGCGAGCCAAGTCGGATAAGGCGGCGGGAAAAGCGGCGAGTGAGCCATCGAAGGCACCAAAGAAGAATGGAAGGCGGCAGCGGGCGGCTCCTTTGGTGCTCACCGTACCATTAACCGCGCACAGCGAGGGTGCGTGGGGCTCCAGTGGACGCTATCGACGCTCCCATGGTTCCGACATTATGAGGCGAAACTCTGATATCCTGAGAAGGAGGTGCGGGTGAAGATCAGGAACGACGGCGAATTGGGCGCTCGAACGTGGTCTTGGTGTTTCCTGTTACTGCCCGTCGTCAACAAACTGGCACCAATAACCGCGAAGGGAAGAGTTTTCTGGTTTTGGCCTGCCAGGAACAGATCTCACCTTGTTGCTTGGGCACTTTCCACGGTGAAACACAGTGTAAATGCCGCGCTTCCAGGGTCCTGCATACGTCCATACTGTGAAGCGAACGCCCGGAAAACACGGCGGCGGTTTGGGCGCCAAGTCGCCGCGTCGGCTGCACTGTCGATCCCATGACGTCAATGGGGCTACGCCAGTGAATGAGCTGTTGGGCGGAGTGGGACCCGGTAGCGTGAGAAACACTGTGAAGTATCCCCGACGGGGGCGTCACCAGCGGTCACCAACGAGAAGCTCTGAGGAGGCCCCCTTTTGCCTGCCGGACAACAGGCGGAGACCAAGCTTGTTGGCCGAAGATCTTGGCCCGTCCTATTCCGTGCCGGCCTCTTCCGTGTCGGGTCCCCGGTCGGCACCGTGTCCATTCTGCCAAGCTGCGAGGCACCGCATGCAGGGACTGCAAGCTGCCATTGGAGGGCTGCCAATCAATTCTCACGGACAGACGGGACACATTCTGAACTATCGACAGTGCTGTGGGCACAGTGGATCATTGTCAGGCCATCCCATGTGAAATGATGGTCCGAGGCCTCCAGGAATAGCACTCTTGGGGTGTCCCGTCTGTGCCCGTCCGTCATGTCAGACCGTTGCCTGTACGGGCAATATGTCGATCCATGTTGTGAGACGCCAGCTTTGTCAAGGGTTCAGTCAGTGAAACGTTGCCTCCTGTGAGTCGCAGAAAAGAGAAAGAAGAACCAAGGCAGCGACGCGGCAATTCTGACGACCGGCATCGAGTTCTCGTCATGGCGCGCCGGATCGGGGACGGGCAGACACGCCGGCCTGAATGTCAAGAGAAAGCGTGTACATGCGTGTCGGCCGGCGTGTGGGCTAACCAAAATGCCACCCCTCGCCGTACGTTGTTACCCCGACGTTTTGTTTATGCAGCAACTTGGCGTCGTCACGGCTTCATGTGGTGCCAAACGAGGACGGGATCACGAAAGGGCGGTTTTCGTTCTCCGTATGCTTTGGAGTATGGATGGTGCTCTCCACCTCCGAAACAGATCGGCCGAGGCTCCAGTGCCCAGTCTACTTCCCCGCGATCTATGCATGAACGAGAAGGAAATTGGCGTGATAAGGATGGGGATTAGGAGGGGCGGGATGGTGGTTAGCCGGCCCTACGACCGCGGCCGATGTTGGAAGGCCGTGATGTGCGATGTCGAGAGCAGGTCGACCTGCCCGATCTTGATCAATACCCGAGGTTCTCCGCCTTCTGTCCTTCCAGGCTGGTCCTTGGACGTTTTGAAGAACAAATCAGGGATGCAATGAGAGGGGTCAGCGGTGGAACCATCTCTTTTCTCATCCCCAAAAATTACCCATCAACGGCCCATATCTCTTTTGCAGATCGAGAAGCCTCCCCATGGGGAAGTCGCCAGCCAGCCGGCAGCCTCCACCGCCGCTTGCCGTTTCTCCCGATCAACCAGTGCTTCCTCGGCGCTCATATCCCAGAATGTGGACACCTCCGCCCGGTCAACCCGTAACCAGCCCTTCCAGTCGGCCGTGACGGCGACCTTGGCGGAGGCCGCAACGGACGCACTGCCCGAGGGATTCAGCCCACCGCCGATGACAATCGTGCCCCACCATTCCCGGCCGCGGCTCCGGTGTGACCCATAGAGCATATACTCCTCAATGGAGCCGACACAGTCGGCGATGTGCGTAAAGTTTCCTCGTGCAGCGCGTAGTACGTGGACATGGTCTAAGTCAGAACGCTGAACGGCCGTCTTGGGTTTCGGCTCGAGGATCATGGAACCCGTAGCGGCGGCCCCTTCAATGGGTGTTGCGAGAAGCCGCAAGGGGTCGAAGCGTCCTTCAAAATCGACAATAGCCACTGTCTTTTCGTAAGGTGGTGCGATTAGGGTGGCCACTAGGACGTAGATCAGCTCATGAGGGCGGCCGGTCAGTGCCAGCGGCACCGACTGAGTCGCTCGAAAATGGCGATTGACGAGGTCATTGAGAGGATCAATTGGAAATATCGGCGGCCGTACAATCGATGTGGGTATATTTCCAGCCTTGTTATCGTTGGTGTTGGGGCCTTGTAACAGACTCGACCGAAGGGAAGCAAGGACCTGAATCGGGAGCACGTCAGGAATTTTATCAAGTCGGGATTTCATCCATCCAATCTTTTAACCTTCCATCGCGATCAAACTAAAATCTCCATCGCCGCCAGCCCACCAGCCACGTACCTCGTCCAGGGTCGTCTCTTCAATCTCTCCGAGCACGCGAGCACCGACACCTGCGGCGGTCGTGCCTCGCATCGTCTGCTTTCGGTAGCCGTTGCACCCCGCTGTTCCGATGGCGCCGCCCTGCCCCAATTTCCCAGCCCGGCACCTGTCGGCCGTCGCTCAAATCGATGCCGATGGCAAAGTCAGAAAAACAGAAGATGGCCGTCGGATTAATCTGGCACAAGATTGCGAGCTATTCAGCCTTGTGCAATACGAGTGCATCGTGCGGCATCCCGAATTAGTTGACAGTCCGGTGCAGTGCTGGCCGGTGCAGCGGTGGTTTCGCCGGTAGGTGCAATTCTTGGCTCCCCTCGGATTGGCGGCAAGCCCCGTGCGGGTCAAACAGATCTTTATTCTGGTGTCGTGGAATTGGTGTGCTGATGCAGAGTTTTAGATGCCAGGACAAAAAAGGCAGCTTTACGGCAGAAACGACGGCTTGGGAAGGAACGGCGGCGGCCACTACCCCGACAGAGGGTCTGCAAGAGGGGCACGCCGCACACATCTTGGCTACTGCATCGCAAGCTGCCACAAAGAGCAATCGATCTGGCTGAAACATAACTCTTTCGCTTTTCCCTGCAGTTTCCAAATGATGCCGTCCTGTATGTTGGACCGTGATACACATCGACGCAAGGAAATGGACATGGATCTGCCCACTGACTCAATTGCCGGCCCTGTCTATCCGTATGATACACAAGCAATCCCCACGCTCCCAGGCCTTCACTGCACAGCCAGAATCCATCTTCTCGTCGTGTCGTCTATTCGTCCCTGCCCAATCATCCTGCTCGAAACCCTTAAGCTCCTAGCTTCGCGGCGCGCTGCTCCTCCAGCTTCTTGTAGAAGTTGTCGCGGGCGTCTCTCCGCGGCACGTGGTAGCCGTACCTAGGACAGAATTAGATATCGACATCATGGGCGGTCGGGGTTTGGGTTTATGGGTCGCAGTACCAGAAGGCGTTGCCAAAGACGAGCCCGAGACCTGTCGATGGTTAGTCATCCCTCCAGAACTGTGGCCTAGATGCGACCGTGGTTCGGGGATCATTTCGAGGGAACTCACCGAGGGCAATTCCGAGATCGGTGATGAGGCCCCGGCGGAGCATCTAAGACCAACCAACTTGTCAGCTTTTATTCTCACAACTTTCCCCTCGGGTAAGCGGGGCAGCGGCGATTGACGGTCATTGGGCGGACCGAGGCCTGGGGAAAACACATACGCCGGTGATGGGCTTGACGGCCATTTTTTCGGTGTTGGTTTGGTGCGTGCGCGGTGAGCGGAGAGGTTCGCGTGGGCTGTCGGCAATCGTTCGTTGCGGTGTTTGACGACATTCGGCTTTCGGCTTCGAATTGGAGCTTCCAAGCATGGCCTGATGTTCGAGCTTAGCTGCACGTGATCTCATGGCACTGGCGATGTGGGCTGTATTATGTAATCCGAACTTCGAAACCGCCCAATGCAAGGGCTCACGAAGCAGGAAAACTCCCTAAACTTTCAATGCACTTCCGAAAGATGCGTACAGCGGAAACAGCCATTTGTAGAGTAGTTCGCCTACCTAACAGGCGCCCTAGTATTTATTCATCAAATTCAACATTGGTGCAGACCAAGTCTGAGTCCATCATGCCTCCCTCCTCTCTTCTGACTCTTCTGGCATCTCATTCCCACCTAACAACGCAAACGGCATGCTTACAGCCATTTTTTGGTTTAATAGGTAACTTACAAATTAACAGAAACGAAGACATGAGGAGGAAGGATACCGCCAGTCCCATCTACCCACTACACTACACCACCCCCAATGGATCCATTCGAATGCTTTCCCTTGCTCTTCCCATAATCTAGCAATCATCGCGACGAACAATGACATTCCAGTGGTCAGGATGGAACACCTGCCCAGCCACCTGTCTCGCGCCCCAGGCGTTGGTCGCACACCGGCTGATGATGTAGCTGACACCATCAGCGATATCAGCAAACGCATTAAGATGGAGTTCATCGGTCCTCTGTAATGCCACACTGCGCGTTAGCCGTAGTCAACAAACAACCACACACCACCCGACCCCCCAAGAAAACACCGGAAAAAAGAATCCTCCCAAAAAAGACTCACATCATTACAAATCCACACCGCGGCGTCATACGAGCAGCTGACCCGGCTGCACATCCTCGGCCCCGGCGGCACGCGCACCTGGCCCATGATGCTACGCAGGTAGTCCAGCCCTTCCCAGTAGGCGGCCATGTAGGCGTAGGGCCACGGCCCGCCGCAGAAGAAGTTGCCGCCGCTGAAGTCGACGGTGCGCCGCGTGACGGTAGAGGCCTCGTCCGTGACCGTGTCTGCGTCAGGGGCCGTGTTTGTGATCTCTACGGTCTTGGTGGTGGTGGTGGCGGTGGTTTCGGCTTGCTGCTGCTGTTGGAGCTGGGCGGTGAGGGCTTCGATGGTGCCGTTGAAGGTGATGGTGTGGCCGGGCGAGGTCTCGACCGTCCATTGGAGGTCGCTGAATTGGAATTCTTGGGCGGTGGGGCTGGGGGCGGCGAGGGCCTGGGTTTGGTACTGCGTGTTAGTCCTGCTGACCTGCTTCAGGCTGGGGGTAGGGATGAGGGCGTACACCCATGGACAAGAGGGCGGTGGTGATAGCGGCGAGCTTCATGTTGAACGAGCGGTGGTTTCCGGTTGGGGAGATCTGATAGAGACTGGGTGTGTAACGGCCTTGGGGCTGAGGGATGCTGGTGGCTGAAGAAGAAAGAGCCTGTCGACGACGTAAAAGCATCGATACTTATAGCCCACAAAACAAAAGCCGGTCTCGGATCACAGCCTTTGATGTTGATGTTGAAAGAGGGGGAATGATCGGCGTAACGTGTGACTCGGGCCGCCAGCCGTCTATTCACACCCTCATCTGTCTCTGTCTTCAATTAACTCGCTCAACGACATTGGCCACAAGCGGAATGTTCATAGGGTTTTTCTGCGCAAATCTGAAAGCCACCAGTGCAGCAGTTGTTGTTTGCTTTGCCCTCAACGGAACCTTGCTCTAAGGCGTGGGTATAAATAGACGACAACGCCTGCCAGAATGGGGTTTCAATAGATCTGAATACGGGGGTAGTAAAGCAAACACCACAACTTCGTAGGCTTTCCACGTAGATATGATTCATGACTCTAACCTGAAGAGAAAGTTTCCCCTTAGGTATAAGTCAAAATCTGGAGGTTCCAAGAGCTTCATATTGAGGACTGTAAAGTTCAGGTACAGGAGAACAGCGGGCGAGAGAGAGGGTGAGTAAAATTGCTTCGGTCTGTTTGGAAGAGTTCCATATTCGGCCACCTCCTCTGTGCTCTTTGTCCCTATTTTGTTTCATCACAAGTCTAGCCCCTACAGTGCCTGGGTACCTCAACAACCACGGTGGCGTTTGTTGTTTCAAAGGGTGGTACGAGTACCCCTCCTCGTGTAACTCTGCCCATTCTCGCCCCTGAACAACACCAGATTAACACGGCCACTCCACGAGCGAAATCTTCGCCTGGTATTAAAATTACGAGGGAATGGAAATGGGACTGTTAATAGTATCAGTTCAGAAGCAGATTATTGGCAAACGAATAATACCCAGATACCTATCTACACTCGTTGGTAGACTTATTCAATGTTACATGTTATAGGAGGGCCCAGCAGCCTCAGCTCAGCCAACGGCCCCCAACCGGTCACTGCCCTCGGCAACGCCACCTTTTATGCTTACATTTTCTTCTTGCGTGAGTCACACAGGGGACAGTACCTCAACCATTCTCCAATTTGCTTCGCTGCACTGCCTGTCTTCACTCATCCCTGATCATTTCAGTAGACCTTTGTCACCGCTTTTCATTTCCAAATAACGCATCAAGATGAGCATCAATTTTGCCGCGACTGAGGAGGAAACCATTCAGTATTGGAGAGAGATCGATGCTTTCCAAACACAGTTTCGACTTTCGCAAGACCGGCCAAGGTTCACCTTTTATGATGGTCCGCCGTTTGGTATGTAGTTTCTCTAATGATACCGTCAAGCCGCTACAGCAAATTGAACGGAACGTGCTGATAGTGTCTATAATAGCGACAGGTACATTGATCCCCGATCCACCGCAAATGTGAAACCCCAGCAGCCCATCCCTCTCTAACTACCACCTTTCCAGGATTACCGCACTATGGGCACCTCCTCACCTCTACCATCAAGGACATCATTCCGCGGTACTGGTCTATGAAAGGGTACCATGTCACTCGCCGCTTTGGTTGGGATACCCACGGGCTTCCCATCGAACACGAGATTGACAAAAAATTTCGCATCTCTGGGCGTGACGCCGTTATTCAGATGGAATCGAAAAATATAACGATGAGTGTCGGGCCATCGTTATGAGGTATGCGGCCGAATGGAGACATGCCATCGAACGCTTAGGGAGGTGGGTTGATTTTGACAATGATTACAAGGTATGATGGTGTCTGGTACCGTTATGTTTCGCTTAGAAATACTGACCCCTAAGTAGTCGATGGATCTCAAATTCATGGAGTCCTGCTGGTGGGCGTTCAAGAAGCTCTTCGACGACGGGCAAGTTTACCGAGCCTACCGGATCATGCCCTACTCTACCGCCCTCTGCACGCCGCTTAGCCATATGGAATCGAGGCAGAACGAGAAGACGACTCGAGATCCTGCCATCATGGTGTCCTTTCCTATCCTAGGCGTCGAAGGCAAGGAGGACGCCTCGCTCCTTATCTACACCACCACTCCTTGGACACTCCCTTCAAATCTGTTCATTGCTGTCCACCCCGACTTCACATATCTCGAAATTCTCGACGAGGCAACCGGCCGCCGGTACATTATGCTGCAATGCGGCCTGTCCATGCTCTACAAAGATCCGAAGAGAACGAAATACCGGGTCCTCGGCAGGCTGACTGGCAAGTCCATGGTTGGGTGGAAGTATAAGCCTCTGTTCGACTACTTCACTGCTACCTTTTCGGATTGCTTTCAGGCGATTGCTGCAGATTACGTCGAGGCGGACCAAGGGACCGGCCTCGTGCACCAGGCGCCAGCATTCGGCCAAGAACCTTGGTTATGATGCGGCGGTGTCTGCTGGCTTCACCACACCCAGCCGCTTACCGCCTTACCCTGTCGATGATGAGGGTTGCTTCACTGCAGAGGTTTCGGCGTATGTTGGGCAGCATGTCAAAGCAGCCGACAAATTTATCCTCAGAGACTTGAGGTCGACTGGCAGTCTAATCGTTGAAAGCCACGTTTCCCACGTTGACAAGTTCTGTTGGAGGCCAAATACGCAGCTGATCCGGCGTGCCGTCTCTTCGTGGTTTAGGTATCAAAGTCACAAACTCCATTCCAGATACGTTGAATAACATGGAGGAAACTACGTGGGTCCCGCCATTTGTCAAAGAGAAGCGCTTTGCCAACTGGGTTTCAAACGCCCATGATTGGAATGTTTCCAGAAACCGTTATTGGCGGACGCCGATTCCTCTCTGGGTCAGTGATGACTACGAAGAGATCGTCTGCGTGGGCAACGTTGAGGGACTAAAGGAACTGAGCGGCTTTGAAGGGCCGCTGGACGACATCCACCGGGACAAGGTCGATGGGATCACCATTCCTTCAAAACGTGGGAAAGGTGTTTACGTCGAGTGGATGAAGTTTTTGACTGCTGGTTTGTCCTCCCCTTGTCCCTTGTTAATACCGCACTAACTCTGGAACAGGTTCGAATCAGGGAGCATGCCATACGCTTCAAATCACTTCCCCTTTGAGAATAAGGATGAGTTTGCAGAGGGCCTGTTTCCAGCGGATTTCATCGCAGAGGGCCTTGATCAGACTCGTGGCTGGTTCTACATCCTGACCATTCTTGGAAACAAGCTATTCGGCAAATCTCCCTTTCGAAACGTTATCGTGAACGGCCTTGTTCTCGCCCAGGATCAAAAGAAAATGTCCAAGAGCCTCAGAAACTACCCTGATCCCACCATTATCATCGACGAATATGGGTCCGACGCATTGAGGCTATATCTCATCAACTCTCCAGTCGTCAAGGGAGAATACATCCGGTTCAACGAGTCTGGGATCAAGGAAGTCGTTTCTCGTGTCCTGTTGCCTCTCTGGAACAGTTATCGTTTCTTCCACGAACAAACCCTCCTATACAAGAAGACGACAGGTCAGGACTTTGCGGTGCGCGCCGTGTGGGACAATGGAGGGCCGCAGAATGTCATGGACCGGTGGATCCTTCCCGATTGTCAGAGTCTGCTTCGCTTCATGGAAGAAGAAATGCGAGGTAGGTGACCCCTTGTTGATTGTTGGGCCAGGCAGAGGTACCTATCCAGCCTGGCGTCGAACAAAGTTGCCAGGTTATTGCTTGTACACGGTAGTGCGACGGCTGTTGCAAGTGATCAACAACCTAACCAACTGGTACATTCGCTTCAACCGCAAACGTCTTAAAGGCGTTGTGGGGCTCGGCCTCGACGATACCACGGCCGCCCTAAACACGCTGCTGCAGGTTCTGTTCACCCTCATGCGCGCCCTTGCTCCGTTTGCGCCCTTCATCACCGAGCACATCTATCAGCTCCTCCGACCACAGCTGAGCGTGGTCACGGCTCAGTTTGAAGACGCAAGAAGTGTGCATTTTCTCCCCTTCCCGACCGTCCAGGAGGCGCTGTTCGACGAGGTCATCGAACGACAGGTCTCGGCGATGCAAAAGGTAATCCAGTTAGGGAGGTTGGCCAGGGAACGGCGCAATTTGGCGCTCAAGACGCCGCTGTTGTCGCTTGTGGTGATCGCCGACCGCCAGCCCTTGGCCGACATCGATTCTCTCAAAGTATATGTTCAGGAAGAACTCAATATCCGTGACATTATTTTGACTGACGAAGAGGAGAGATACGACATTCTCCTCGAAGCGAGGGTGGACTGGCCGACTCTGGGCAAGAAGCTGAAAAGAGATGTTGAGCTTGTTCGCGGGGCCCTTCCAAGCCTTACCCAGCCACAGCTCAGGCAGTACCAGGGCGAGAAAAGGATTACCGTTGCAGGTATAGAGTTGGCAGAGAACGACCTGACCATCGTTCGGGATTGGAAACGACACGGCGAAAGCGGATGGTCCCCAATGGGAACCCGCCTTCGCGGATGACATGATCGTTTTGCTCGACGCTGCTCCACACCCTGAACTGGTGGATGAAGGAGTAGCCCGGGAGATGATCAACCGCATTCAGCGCTTACGCAAAAAGGCCGGCCTGGTGCCTACGGACGACGTCCACATGCGGTACCGTGTTTTGGCTGACCCAGATAAGATTGGGCTTGATCGACTGGTGGCTTCTCAGCAAGACATGTTTGTGGCCGCGCCCAGAGGCTGGCCCGAGAAAGCACAAGAGAACCCGAGCGAGGGCTCTCTAATTTTGGAGGAGGAACATTCCGTGGGCAGTTTGGTCCTAAAACTACAGCTCGCTCGGCTTGAATAAGGCCGTTCATTTGTTAGTTGATACGTAGTAGTAAGTAGCCGAGGTTCAAATTCATCAGACACCCGTATGTGGATTGCAAAATGATTGCTCAGAGGCCCCTGAAGACCTCATCCAATGCGTGCGACGCGACCAAGAGCTCCATCACTCTCCAGGGGAAGATAGAAAGGCATCGAGGTACATAGATGGACGGCGTCCAGCCGTAAGTTTGCCACCCGATTGGTCTTGGTAGGGGCAAGTTGGTCAAGGAGAGCGGCAGTAAACTCTTTAGCCAGATTGTGTGGCACGAGGTGGGAGCAATCGATGGATTGGGAAGACTGGGGTTCAGTTGTTCGAGAAGAGACGGGAGAGAGACGCACCTCATGCGGGGGATAATACGCATTTGGATAGCCTCTACTCAGGATTCCTTGAGTGCTAATGGGGGGTTTTCGGCCCTTCCTTGGGTTAACTAACCGGGTGTTCTTGTCGTAGGGGCCATTGGGGCATGATCAAGCTCCTTCAATCGGGACGCAGTACACCACTGAGAAAACAATCCACCCCCTGAGCATCAACCCGCATCCCTTGCGGCATGTACGAAGTGCATACCTAATTAGTAATACCCAAGAGTTGCGAGTGCGCGGCAGTGCGGGCCTGCTCTTTGGTATTTCTGTGTCCAGGGGGTTTGACAGGATAAGAGTACGGTAGTTGTGATTATGAGGAAACTCTACTTCGTAGAGTGGATCTTGTGGTGAGAAAGATGCCGGCGCGGACTCCAATATTGGCCCGAGGCCGACCCCGGCAGGCCGCTGGTTGCGATTAAGAAACCCAAATATGTACCCGAGTCACCGTGATGCTAGCTAGGGCATTGCGGCATGATTAGAAACGTTGGTATTCCCGGCCAACAGCCCGCATACCGAATCTTGAAATCCTCCGCAATAGCCGACGGCTGAATCCTAATTTCTTAGTAACGATAGGTTTAGCAAATCAGATTCCCTTCGCTAACAACATAGTTCTCAAGGATCACAACATTTGCCAAGCGGCCGAGCTAGTCCGCTGGGTATGAGTTAGCTTACCTACTTGGGTTCAGAGAGGCACTTCCGGAAGTTCGATCACAGCGTTAGAATGGGGGATCTGGGGCGTTGAATCCTACCGTGTACATCCCATTCCTTCCCTACAACCCTCTCTCGCGCTGTTGAGCTGCAATTGGGTTGATCCTCCTCTGCAGTTCCCCAACAAGGCCCGATGCGTCAAGACCCGCTTGTGTCTCTCCTTCACTCGTCTAGTCAAGGTTACACGCCACATCCGCTGTCGGCCTCTCAGTTGTGCCGGCGTGGACTATTTAACCTGATAGCCCCCGAGTTCTTTAGGAGACAGACCAGAGTTTCAGAACCCAACACCACCAAGTCCACCCACAACAACAGCCTAACAAATCTTACCCGCATCTCCTCGAACTCCTCATCCAAAATGAAGTTCCAGCTCATCTCCGTCTTCCTCACCGCCCTCCTCCCCCTGTCGGCACTCGCCGCACCGGCCGCGGGCAGCGCCGACGTCGAGGCCCAGGGCGAGCTCCACGCACGCCGGTGCCCGGCCAACGCCAGCTGCTTCAACGGCCGCTGCCACTGCCAGGACCCCTGCGAGGGCGGCATCTGCGGCTCCTACGACTGCGGATCCTGCTAAATCGGTCACCCCAAATCTCTTGGTCCCCTGTCTCGGAAGATGTGAGTTCCTTGTGTCTTGGCTTGGTCCCTTTTGTGTTTTTCAAGTGCTAATGTGGTTGATAGTTTATCGGAACCCAAGCATGACGGGTACGGGTGGAAGGATCTTGTGGGATGCCGATTGAGGAACTCTATGTAGGCGAAGGAATGCTAGAAGTCATCGAAGTCTAACTACCTATTCTACTCGCTTGCGTGTCAATGCCAAATATATGTGGCATATCGCTACAGTGGTCTTTGCCGATCATCATACCTGATTGAACATAGATCTGGAGGCCTCAAAAGGCGAATTACCACAGGAGTCAAGATTATGACATGGCGTGACTGCTACATCGCTGTATCGAAATCAGGTTTGTCGTCTCTAGGTCCTAGACAACATGAGGTAGGTAGCTTGCCAAGATGATATGAGTCCGAGGTTAAAGTAAGCTTTAGAGCGACGTTCGCATTTCCGACCGGGCCAATCGAGAAAGAAGATGAGATAAAGGCTAATTATGAAGGGAACTTTAAATTCTTGTGACTTCTAACAAACAATAACTCCCAGGTTTCACAGGCTACATTGCTTAGTATGATGGATCTTTCCGAGCGGTGTAACAACATCCCCAACAAGGACGAGACAAATATTCACTAGACCCATACGCGAGCGGAGCACGTCAAGTTTGCGCAATGCCACCGTCAACAGCGACCTCGCTCCCAGTCATGAAACTACTGTCTTGCGACGCGAGAAACGCCGCCACCGCTCCAATCTCCGCCGTATCAGCCATGCGCCTGAGCGGATTGAGCTCGGCGACCGCCTTCATGCCTTCCTCGCCCAGCGCTTCCACCGCGAGCTCGGTCGCCGTCGGCCCGGGAGACAAGACGTTGACGCGGATGCCGGTGCCCTTCAGGTCCTCCGCCCAGGTCCGCGCGAGGTTGCGCACTGCCGCCTTGCTCGCGGCGTAGGCGCTGAACGCCGGGAACCCTGTGGTACCGGAGCTTGATCCGGTGAGGATGATCGAGCCGCCCTTGCCCATAAGCGGGAGCGCTTTCTGGACTGTGAAGATCGAGCCCTTCACGTTCGTGTCGAAGATCTCGTCGACGTGCTCGGTGGTGATCTGGCCTAGCGGAAGCGGGCTTCCCGTCCCAGCATTGGCAAAGACGATGTCTAGGGTCCCGCGCTCCGACTTCACTGCCGCGTAGAGCCGGTCGAGGTCGGCTAAATTGGAGACTGAACCCTTCACTGCCCGGGCGTTGGGGCCAAGGTCGGCCACAGCGGCGTCGAGGGCTTCCTGGCGGCGGCCAAAGATGAAGACAAAGGCGCCCTCTTCAGTGAAGCGCTTTGCTGCGGCGAGACCGATTCCAGTAGCGCCCCCGGTGATTACGGCGGTCTTTCCGTTTAGTCTGGTCATGACGGGTATCGTTCTTTGGCGTTGTACGGAAGTAGGGAACTGTTGACTGGAGGGTGTGTAGTTTTTGTGTAGTAGTAGGTTATTGGGGACTCAGCTTAGTGAATGTAGGCAAGTGTCGAGATTGGTTTTCTCGAGGCTCATTCTGCTAAAGGGCATGACAGGCGGTAAGAGCTTATATAGGTAGGTATGCTCCGGCCCCGAAGCACATTTTACTGCCTCCTCCCCGATGACAAACGGTTTTGGTGACGACTGGCTGTTACTGACAAATGGATAGAATCGCACTGACAAATGGCTTCGGGTGACCAATCCAACCATGACGAATTCATCACTCTGCTTCTATATTGCGCACTCTGCAAGGAAACCAAAACGGTAAACTAGGGAGGCAGTAGCTGTTTTTGAGTTATTTGAAGAAAGATCCCTCCTTTGGGGTTTGTGAACCTGCAAATTGTTCTCTTGAGATTCAGCAAAGACGGATACTAAGGTAGGTAGGATTCATGGGGGCGGCCATGCTTTATAGCTCCGATACGATGAAATACACAGATATTTGTCAGACAACCATTGCCGAAAAGAATACGCGCTTACCTGCGTGTTTTACCCACAGACTGGTAATATTCTAAAAGTAATTTCCTTGGCATAACCACGTGTGAGGCTGCATGGCAGATTTGATTCCGTTCCAATCGAGCTCGGCGCATTCAAGGCAGTGCATCCCGTGGGTGCGTATTACGGGGATGTTTGGTGCGTATTATTGCGTATCAGTGCGTATTCCCCCCTGAGTCCTTTTATTCTCAACCACATCTCAAGAATGACTCGTAAAAATGTAATCAGCCTCCTAGGCATTCGCCTATTGTGACCGGAGATAAACAGCACGGGGACGGGCAACCGGGAAGATGACGGCGAGCAGAGAGAAGGCAGTGCAAATGTTCAGACGTGTATAAAGGGACCATTCCCTGGGGCTTCAGGGGAAAGACGAACTCAGTTTGATATCACCAGCCATCCAACTCCCACAACAGACATTCCCAACCATTGTGAGCACCATGGCATCCATTTTGATCGCATTCGTGGTCGCGGCTCTAGCCATCAAGAAAGGAGGAGCATCGCCGACAACCGCCAACCAACGATCATGCATTCAAATCGAGGTCCCAGTCAGCGTTGACACCACCGCAATCAAGTGGCTGCAACCGCGGGTTGACAGCAGCATTGATGCCGTGGATTGGGTCAGGTATCAGACGACCAGGACGTCACCCAACAACACCGAGAGCATGATGGGTCGGATCCCTATCAAAGAGACTTTCAAGATCAATGGCCAGCTCTGTGTCCCTCCCAAGGGCGCCGCCAGGCTTGAAATCCTACAGATCGCCACTCACGGTGGCGGCTTTGACAAGAGGTTAGCCGGCACCCACACACCCGAGATACCCAAGGGTCTAACTAACAGAACACCAGATACTGGGACGCCGAGATCAAGCCCAAGGAATACTCCTACGTCGAAGCCGCAGTCGCCGAGGGCTACTCCATCTTCACCTACGACCGTCTCGGAACGGGCCACTCCTCCAAGCCCAACGCCTACGACACCGTGCAGATCAACGTACAAATCGAGATCCTGCGCCAACTGACCCAGCTCGCCCGCTCCGGAACGCTGGTCAGCGCCTCCAAAAAGCTCAGCGGCTGCACCACCGACGCCCGCCTCACCAAATACACACCCGCCAAGATTGTGCACGTCGGCCACTCCCTCGGCTCGCTCGTCTCCGTCGGCCTGGTCACCAACTACCCCACCGACAGCGACGGTCTCGTTGCTACGGGGTTCTTGGTCCCCAACATCCCGCTGCCCGGGCTCAACGTCGCGACGTGGGGGTTTGAGTTTGCGCGCGAGAACGATCCGGTGTTGTTTGGGGATCGTGGCTCGGGATATATGGTGTCCGCGACCAAGGGAAATGTGCAGCTGAACTTTCTGCGGAAGGGGTCGTTTGAGCCCGAGTTGTTGGACTATGCGTGGAAGATCCGCCAGACGGTGACGGTGAGCGAGTTTCAGTCGTTGACGACCGGGTTTGGGCAGGAGGGTGCCAAGTTCAAGGCGCCGTTCCAGATGGTGGTGGGGGAGAATGACTATGGTATTTGTGGCGGGGATTGTAACGGGGCGTATGATCTGGATGTGATCAAGCAGGTGTATCCGGGGGCGACGGATCTGGATGTGCATGTCCAGCCGGGGACGGGACATGGCTTGACGCTTTCGATCAACGCGACGGCTGGGTACAAGGCCTCGTTTGACTTTTTGCACAAGTCGGGGTTGTAGGCTGGGCGGTTAGGATAGTAAGGGAGGTGGGTTATGGTTGGGAGACGGGGATGGGAAAGAGATTCTGGGTAATTGGTTGTTGAATGTCTCGGTGTATTTAGTAAATATTAGGTACCTATATTGCATTTCCATTCCAGGGACGCGCTTTCAATCCGTTGTGGTACTTCAGGGCCAGGTTGACTTCGTTAAAAGGGGTAATCCATGGCGTTTCATTCATTGGCACCTGGGTACCTAGGTATGCTAGAATCCTCCCCAACTGTCCGTAACGGAATAGTCATACGAGTGCCACGCTCTCCACCTTATGCACCAGGCAAGCGGCGACATACTGACTGTATTGCCCAGAAATGTAAGACTTTCTCTGTGAGCCCTGGCCCTGAAACGTTCCGAAAGGGGCCCTGGAGAGCCCAAGATCACATCTGGGGTTTCGCCTGGCATACTCCTGCATCCGTCGGATGAGAGGGTCGTGTTTTTGAGTTGTGAGGATTGTGTAGAAAAGGCGCAAGCCCCTCGAAACAGTGCCATTCCGTGACCGCGCGCGACTTACTGTCAAGTTCCTGTCAGTTTGCCGGACTTTTTGGGTTTCCGCAAATCACGGGGAGGGTTGGTTGATCGAGAGTAACTCACATTCTTCACCAAGGTTGAGAGCCGGAAAGCCGCCATCATCTCCGCCCCATCGGACGGCGGCAAAGAGCTCCTCGTACTTGCTCCCTATAAGCGTGTATATGCAGATAATCTCTTGGATCTCCCGGGCTCCAAAAATGCCGAAAAACTCAGAGAGTTGCTCCGTCCATGTGACGAACCTACTTCTGGACCCGGTCCTGTTAGGGTTCGGCTTCGGTCGAAGGTAATCTTTCAAGGGTGCTTAGGTTCGGTGCAGCCAAAGGGTGCACAACAAGGACTTGTCTCAACAGTAGGCTTTCGAGCTTGTAGCGAACTGTAGTTGTGATTGCTAACTGGAGAACTCCCAGAGCTCTCCAGTACGAGTGACTATATACTATCTAGTATCACCACTCTGTTGGTGATAATCGCCCATTATCACTGACAACTAGTGATAATCGCCCATTATCACTGACAACTAGTGATAATCGTCCATTATCACTGACAACCAGTGATAATCGTCCATTATCACTGACAACTAGTGATAATCCAGTTCTTATTGGTCCTTAAAAGCGATTGGCTGCCGGCGTCCTGCGCTGTCGGCTGTGGCCGCCCTGGCCGCCTCGGGGTCATTCCGTGACAGTCCAGGACATCACAGCTCCGTGATACCCCCAAGGGTCCTCGCCAAAGATATTACAGTGAAGCTGGAAGCGGTAAATAGCCCGTAAGATGCGCTTCTTTTCCATCTGTGATGGGTTACCAATACGAAACGGGGGCCGAGAGCCTGGCGTAGGAGGGTAGCAAATTTGAGAACCAGAGGTTGAGCCACGGAGCGATAAAAGCTCGCCATATCTAGTAGGGCCTCCTCTGTGCACCTCCCTTTATTATCTCGGGCGTTTTACCCCGTAAAACAATGTAATTGATGATAAAGTCCATGACTCTGATATCCCGTAATTGATGATGCCCGGAGGACTCCTGGTAGAGCAAGTCGGACGTGTGTACGGCGCACGCGTCTACCAGCAGATCACCGAGCGTTGGTATAATTGTCCGGGTAACCAGTGCCTTTCAGTCGAGTAGGTACTGCTGATAGAAGACGGGCGATGCGGTCACAAGCGCCATCAGGTCGTCTAGGTCTTCTACGTGGGAAAGAATCTGGCATCGCAGTTCGGCAGGCATCGATTCGAGGGCGGCAGCCGGTACAGGCTCTGGAGTTGATCTTGCAGCTATCTTCTTTTGCAGTAGCGAAAAAAACGCCAAGCTTTGAGGAGGTGGCTGGCATGTTGGGGAGTGGGCGTAGGTTGAGTCAAGGTGCAGGATGCTGGCGGTGGTTGGAGAGGTCAAGGAAATGTGAACCGGGCGCTACTGTTTCGAGGCTATTTGTAAGGGAGTCAAGTAACGAACTGCGAGGTCAACTGACCACCTAAGCCTGGAGTAACTCTCAAAGAGGGCGTCACCACGATGGCCAACATGCTGAATTCAGAATTCATCCGATTAGGTTGCCAACTGGAAACACTACTCTCAGAAAGAGGCGGGCTAAAGCAGCCAGCCTTCAAACTCTCGGAAAAGGCGGTAGTTAACAACCATAAAGGCGGGCTAATTATGGTTCCGTTAAGGGAACTCGTCGTTGGATGGGCCAGGAGGTGAACACTTCACAATCACTACTAGCGTGCATTCTTAACGGCCTGAGCTTGGCCGGCTTCGAGAGCATTGGGTTTGAGCTAGGAGAAGAGTTACATGTGGGAATGGGCAATATTGGTATGACGGATGGGTTCAGCTGGCCTACCCGTCACGGTTGTATTCAGAGACAGACAGCACCCCTGTAAATACCTTTCGGACGGCCGTTGACAGCATGAACACAGAACGATGTTAGACCGGCCATATGATTCAGTGCCTAGGGGGGTAGTGTGTAGATGGCGTCTTTTCAACACGATAGGGAGGTTTGCTATGTGCGATGAGTTTCTTTCGTTGCCTATGTGATACCCAGGTTACATAGCTATCACATGACGGACGATCATCTTGCAAGAGGCCGATCTTCCCAATGTGATCGCCAGGCCACACATGCACCCCGCTCCAGCAACTTGGAACGCATGAAGAGCAATCTCTTTCCAGGCACAGGAAGTGAAAGCCTGACCATGCCAGCATATGACTTGGATTGACAGAGAGCCCAAACCGTGGAGAAGTCCACAATGTCTCGCCGCCGGCAGCTACTGCGCCGGGCCCGCGCGCTAATTCGTGCTTCCGTCAAAAAGCTCTCTCGTTCACAACGAAGCGCGTGCTGAAACCAACCAACTTGCCAACCAACAAAACGGCGATCGGCAAGTTATTCATTCAGTGGTGGGGTTGGGCTTCACTTTTTGCTGAGGTCTCAGAACTGGGTCGCCAGTCGCGGAGACCCGATCCTGCGATTCTTGCAAGCCAGTTTCTGTCAATTTTTGGTGTGCTAACCAATAAGCCGACCCTTCGAAATGCAGGTTTCGAAAATCCGGCCCCAACATTCAACCATGTTGAGGGAAAGGCCGCTGATTGAGCGGGAGCTCCTTGCCCCACCAATCCAAATATGGACTGCTGAAACCGCTTAAATGCGGGGCTCCATGCACGTTCGCGGGCGCTTCGTTGTGTTTCTGGAACGATGCAAGCTCGGCACAGCACTATCGAGTTGTTGTTGGTGGGTGATGTCAGAGTCTTGAAGCGTCTGGCGTGCCTCGGCGGCAGTTGTCCTTTTGCGAGATATTTCTGCCCAGTCTGAGGGGCACGGGGGCCTTGCGAGTTGGCCTGAAAAGTCAACCTCGCAGACTCCGACTCGCTTACCCCTGCGCAGCTAAATTTCGATTCGTGCTGGACCCCTGTGGGGATCTTTTGCGAAAGCCCCCAAGGGGAGCGGTTCGGACGGGTTAATGCAGGAACAGAACTTTGAGTCAATGCTCGCTCGACTTGAGATGAACCAATTGCCACCGCCTTCGAAACAATATCTCGAGGACCACCAGGATTTGGCACCCTTTCAAATCCGGGCTACTGTGGACATAATAAATAAGCTCGGCTTGAGCTATGATTTCCAAATCCCGAGCTGACGGGATATCGGCTTGGAAGCGAACCGTGCCACGCGCCAATTGCAGATGCGGCGTCGTCACCCCGCCCCGCATGTCTATATCGGGACCGTCACACCGGGAGCTGAGCGATCAAGACGACACCGGTCCTGCCGAGCCCGTTGAGTGTGTCTCTCGAAGGAGAGCTAAAAGTAGTTATTCCGCAACAACGTCCTGCCACTGGTTTTGTACAACGCTGGCACGGGAGCTTGCGATGCCAATGACGTGCTGTGTCTCAGAGCGAAACATGCCCAAATATTTGATGGTGGCGGAGGCAGGGGTTCGAAGTCCAACATCCAGAAATACCTCCCATGCATATGACATATGAGGTTCAGCCCCTCATCCTCATGCCCGTTGCGAGCCAAGATAAGTGGAAGAATAGGGCGAAGAAGAGACGAGTCCTCAACAAGGGGAAGAAGATCCCAAAAGGCAAGGAGCATAACAGAGAAACTCGAACAGGAACACCTTCCTCCTCGTCTCCACCAGAGACTGCAGGGGGTGGAATGAGTGGCTCGAGTGGGCACAGAACGATGGAGCCCCTGCCCTTTCCCCGGATTGATGATTGGGCTGCCGCACCTTCCCTGGGCAGTTAAACCTCTGGCACGCCCCAGGGAGGAGCTCCCGCCTTCTTGCCTTCAACTGCACACACTGGCAACCGACTTTCAGGTTGGAATTCTCCTCACGGGGCGCCTTCAATTTTCTTTCTGTTCCATTTCTCCCTGGGCTTGCGGTCCCTCTTCGTGCCTGACTTTGTTCTCGACTGCAACCCACCACGCTCATTAGTTTCCTTTTTTTTTTTTTCCACGACCGACCTTCAGGTCCACTCCACAGCCTGCGACCACTCTCTTCGCGACTGCCTTTTGCGTTCACAACGACTTCAACAACCACCGTGCCTTGCCCGGCCTTGACTCCCGTTTACGTTTACGTTCACAAAAAATCCACACATCATCACTACACATTCTATCACCAGCGCAACATCTCCACCATGAAGGGCGTCCGGGCATTGACGATGCTGTCGCTGGCGGCTTTCGCCAGGGCCCAATCCCCCGAGAACCTGGACGGATGCGGAGTAGGCCCCAAACCCCGGATCTGTTGCCGGCGTCGAAACTGGCCTCCGTCATAACAATGGTAGCGCTAACACCCCGGTAGCAACAATGTTACACCGATGCGTTGAACAGGGCGGGCTCATTCGCCTGTGCGGCCATGGATTTCAACTGTCTGTGTGGTGTTCAGAATTGGTATTTCGATATGCGTGACTGCGCGAAATCCAGCTGCCCCCCTGAGTATGATGTGGTCGTCACGAACGCAGTTTCGGCCATGTGTGCGAGTACGTTTGCTGGTCGAGTGCCAAGAAAGGAACATCAACTGACGGTTCATACCAGCGGCCACATTGCCCCCTGGCGCCCCAGCGCCGACTTCTGAGACGACCACCCAAGAGCCAGCCCCGTCGACAACCGAGGCGCCAACTGAAGCACCCGCGGAATCCACAACTTCGAACGTGAGTGTGATTGTTCTTGTTTCGAGGATACAAATGTCTTACATTCTGGGTAGCCCGAGACCTCGACGACGTCCGAAGCCTCAGAATCGTCGACAACATCACCTGTAGAATCCACAGACTCCGCCTCGTCGACGAATGCCACACCTGTTCCGACCAAGGTCGTTACTAGCTCCGCATCTACCTCGGCCGCCGGCGCGGCAGCAACTTCCAGTAGTTCCGAAGACGCGAGCCCGGCCGGAATCACCGAAGCCGCTAAGATCGGCATTGGTATTGGTGTCACCGCTGCTGTTCTCGCTCTCCTCGCCGTGGCGGCCTGCATCTTTTTACGCAAGCGGCGGGCTAGACAGGCTCCCACCCAGATGGACCGCTTCAAGATCTCGCAGCCCATGCCCAGCGATGAGCACGCTTATACGCACAACAACAACTCGGACTACGACATTGGATCAAGTGACTTGGAGATGAAGAGCCGGCGGTATGAGGACATGCTTCCGCGGGAGGAACCACGGCAGATGGTCTAGTTGGGCACTGCTCGAGATTTCGGACCGGCAGGGGCCTCTGGCGTAGGACGTAGGGGTGTCTCAATCTAAGAAAATGAAGAGGGAATAGCCGAGGGCCGCCATGTGTGAGAAAACGAAGCAGAAGATGCAACTAGAGCTGGGCTGCTATGTCGAAGAGGCGGTCAAATTAGAGACGGGATGCTTGCGCCAGGAGCAAATTCGGGGATCTGGTTTTTGAAGGGTTGCTGTTTTAGCAGGGTTCGGCATGGCCACAACGGGACTGGGATGGGTGTCGTGCTTCTACAACGGATTCGCTGGGCTGACGCGTCTGAAAGGTATTCGGACGCGGCCATCGGGTCCTGGCTTGTCGATTTTGGCGTCAGGTGTCGGGGACGGAATTGCAACTTCATTCGTGTCGAGTTGGCGGGCCGCGCGGCTGCCCACCACATTTGTTTTATTTGTACATATTTCTTGCCGCAACGAGCAGAGAAACTTGCTAGCCCAGGCCACTCGCCTTTGTTCCGCTAATATTGATACAAGCCGTGAGATTGGCGGTGGTGTGATGTGACTGACAATGATGTTGCCCACCATCTATTGGATAATACATCGTTCACAACTCCGACCCAGCCGCTAGCAAGCCATCTACCACGAATACCACTGCCGCTGAGCACTAACCGGGCGGTTGGGGAGATGCACCCAGGGACCTTGGCGGAGCTTCTTGGCCTCGCGTTCGGCGGCCTCGCGAATCCGAGTCTTTTCCTCCTTGAGGACGACCGAAATGCCTGGAATATAACTGTCAGAGAACGGCCAAGGGCGTAGCTGGAATACCCGACAGAAAACTTACTAGCCGAACGCAGCTTCAAGATGTTCATCCTTCCACGAGCCCGGTATTCAGGCAACTTGCCCCGCAACGAACCACGGTTCACCCACGCCTCGGCCACGTACATGCGCGTCGGGTCATCAACCTTGATCCACTTGCCATCCTTGTCCTGAATCTCGACGACCTCGCTGCTGCTGCTGTTGCTAGTGCTGCCGGCGGCGTTATCGCTGTCTCCCTTCTTCTTCTTGCCCAACCCCATCCCGCGCTCCACCACGGCCAGGTCGCGCGACTCCTCCAGATGCAGCCGCACCTCCTGGGCGTACTTCTTCTTGCTGAAGCGCATCTGCACCAGGGCGTCGGCCACCGTCTTGCCGCGGATCTGCCGCGCCAGGTGCACCAGCTTCTTGGTGCTCGTCGCCATGTTGGGGCTCTTGCTCGTCAGCTGCCGCTCCGTGCGCGCGATCCGCGCCGCCCGCGGCTCTCGGCTGAACGGGTCCGTCTGGTGGTGCACCTGCCGGATCACCATCTTGCGCTCCCAGCGGATGCGCGCCCGCGGGTCCGGGTCCGCGCTGCGCGCGAGGTGTTCTCGCGCGAGCGAGGCGCCCGTGTTCCCCAGGCGCGGGTGGCTGGCTTGGTCGCTGGCTTGGTTGGCGGCGGGGCCGACTTCGTCTTCGAAGATGGCCGGGCCGTCGAGCGGTTTCTGGAGTTGGGCCATCAGGTTTTGTCGCGCGGCTTGCGTGCCGCCGAGCTGGCGTTCGATGGGGGTTTCGTCTTTCTTTTCGCGGTTCCAGAACCATTGCTTGGCGGGGGTTGTGTGGATGCCGCGGGCGGAGGTGGGGGTGTTGGTGTTGGGGGAGAGGGTGAGGGATTGGAGGGCGGGGAGGAGGGAGGTCGTCATCGTCGTCGTCGTCGTCGTCGTCGTCGTCGTCTGTGAGGCTGCGAGGGCCGGGGCTGTTAGGGAGGGGGTGGGGGGTTAGTTGGTCTGTGTCGTTGGGTATTGTGAAGGTGGCCGGGAGAGGGAAGGTGGGCATTGCTTACCGCCCCGGAGGAGCCGCCTCGACGGCACGCTGAAGCTCATGGCGGCGACGGAGATGGCATCAACGTGTGGGTTATTGTTAGGCGGGTCGTTCTTTTTGGGGCACCTTTGCACTCGGGCATTGGAAAAAGTTCGGCCGGCAAATCCCGCTGTGTGGGGTGGGAACGCGCTAGCTGCATTGGGTTGTCAACATCTGGAGCCTCTCGGCGCCTTCCTGCTCTTTCTTGCACATTGGCATCTTACACAGCATTTGAATCCTGCTACAGGGTCATTTCCCGATTCTGCAGTTTCATCTTGACTTCGATCTTCGTCAGTTGGATTTCAACCATGGTGGCTTTCCAGATAACGGGGGATTGGCACCCCTGGCTGCATCCTCTCTCGTATCCTCCAGAGATTCCCGACATCATTCAGGAAGGAGTGGGATCACGAGCCAGTCTTTGACATGTGTGTTAACCCAAGGTCACTAGATTCATTGCAAGTGCAATAAGTTAGGGAAAGGCGAGAGGCAACCGGATCATGCTTGGCCGTCTGGGAATGGCAACACGCCGGAAATCAGTGTTGCACGAAGGGTGACGATGAAATTGTCTGTAACCTCTTGCCATCATTTTCACTCCTTCCAGGCGAATCTCATCTCTGTTTTCTCCCATGTTTCCCCTCCCGACGCTCGGTCTGTCATCCAGTGAAGAGCACTCAAACTGCCGAAATTTGTTGCGACTCGAGTATAGTGCAGTCGTTTTCTCATTGTTTCCCTCCGCATTCTTCCCCTGCTCTCTTCTCTGCCGCGGGAAGTCACAGGAACACTACCTTATCTAGTGCACCTTTCCCAATCACATTCCGACACTCAACCAACAATTCCGGCATCACGCAAGAATATACACCATGAGGCGCATCATGGCTCCATTCGGCTCGCTCTTCCTGCTCCCCTTCCTCTTTGTCTCTATCTTTGCCTTGGATCGTTGCTTCTTCCCGAACGGCAATGTAGCAAGGTCCGCTGCCAGTTGTTGGGACACAACAAGAAGACAGACAGTTCTCTGTTGCGAAATCGGCGACTTGTGTCTCTCGAACCAAATCTGCGCCGCCACCAACGACCCAAGCAAAGAGTTTCGTTACTATCGCGGAGCTTGCCTCAACTCGACTTGGACGGACCCGGGATGCCCGAACATGTGTCGTGTACCCGATCGCGACGACAAAATGGTTCCGATACATCGGTGCCGCGGCGGCAAGTCGGGCAACAAGTGGTACTGTGGAGACAAATATCGTCCATCTGACGAAGACTGCAAGGAAATTGATGGCGACGTCGAGTTACCTGGTACGCAATTAGCCATGTCTTCTTCTATTTTGTCAGGTGCGCTGACGAACAAGATTAGCTGGCGTTGTTGCATATGCCACAGCGGGCATCACGCCGGACCCGATACCTACGAGCTCAGTTGAAGAAAGCCCAACGGCGTCGGGAGATGCTACCAATACCATACAACCCGCACTAGGACAACCCGAGACAACACCGGGACCAGCCATATCAGACCCTCAAACGACGACTGGGGGGCCTGAGGTGGATGTTCCAACAGCAGCCCCGTCCGACTCACCGCAAGACAGCGGCGAAGCCAGTTCGGCCGTCCCAGTTGCAGTCGGAGTCGCCGTCGGAACCTCCATCCTGATCGCCGGTAGTGTCCTCGTCTTCTTCTACCAGCGTAAGCGGCGCCGTCAGGCACCAGTGCGTGCCGAGACGCCGCCCCCGTTCGAGTTCTCCTTCATCAACAGCCAGGCACCTGGCTGGCTGGGGCCGTCGTACGGGCCCAAGCCACCTGTGCCGCAGCCCGATGACAAGACGCACGACAAGAACAAGCCTACACCAAATACCGGAGGCACTGCGCAGCAGGAACTGCCTTGAGAATGGAGGGTATGAGACTGATGGATGGCAAACTGGGATGGGGGGGGGGGGGGGGAGAGTTGTGTAGGTGTTATGGTTTTGATCCAGTCTCAATTTGTTTAATCTACGATCCAGTTCTCGCTGTGTTTGTCGTCAGGATCTGCTTGCCTTGTTCGTTTCTGGTACTCAATGCGACCCTAATTTGTCCAATTCTTATAACTAAGATGACCTCGACACGGAGCGAGCAAGGGCACGTGACGGGCTGGCCACGGAAAGTCGGGGCCTTCGCTTCTTGGCCCGGAGCTCGCGCTACACATGCGCCGGTCACTGGCCGGGCCAAGACCCAATCACCATCGGATTGGGACCGTTGGATCGGCACCAAGGCGCGCCGACACCGCCCATTCGGGCTGCGGGTTCACGTAATCGATGCAAACAATTCACACTCCCTCCGGCCCCAAGGGCCTGAAAACGGAATCGCGCGGCGAGGCTTGCGGACTTGAATCTGACCCGGCTTCCTTCAAGTTTGCAATTTAGTTTCCGGTCTCGAGAGTATGAATAACTATGAATACCCATGGCGCTGACAGAGTGTCCCGTCTTTTGTCCTCTTGCATTTGACCCCAAGCCGAATTCGATGTCGCATTGCTTGGCACGCACTTAGACCAAACCAACGAAGACCACAGACGTCATCTTGAATAAGAGTCTCAGACATCGACACCACAACCGCAGCAACGACAGGACCAAAGACTAAGTACTAAGGGTTAATTAAGTGTCTTTACTGGTCAGCCAGTCCGACTGAAACATGTCTTCAAACACGGGCCAATCGGTATGTACTTCCATATCCCCTTCCCATCCCATCGTCAAGGAAAGGAAAGGAAAGAGAAAAGAAAGAAAGACAAAAAGACAGAAAAAAAAAAGAAAGAAACCAAACGAGCAAAAACCCACCCTAGAACCCTCAACTAACCAACCCCCCCTCAGGCCCAACCACCACCCGCCCAAAACCCACCCTACCCCCCAGCGGGGGCCACCCTCGGCGGCATCCCCACGCCCCTCCCCGACATCCCCATCTCGGCCGTCCTGCTCGCGCTGTTCGCCCTCTCGGCCGGCACGCACCTGGCCCTCTTCCTGCGTAACAAGCGGCGGGGCGCCGCGCACCGCTTCTTCTTCTCCTTCCTGCTCTTCGTCTTCAGCTGCCTGCGCGTCGTCGCCCTCGCCCTGCGCATCGCCTGGTCCCGCGCTCCGCGCAACGCGAGTCTGGCGCTGGCGGCCGCCGTGTTTACGGCGGCTGGGGTGATGGTGGTGTTTATTGTCAATTTGGTGTTGGCGAGGAGGGTGGTCAGGGGGTTGCATCCTGCTGTCGGGTGGCATGGGGCGGTGACGCAGGGGGTGAAGGTGTTGTTGGGGAGCGTGGTGGCGATGCTGATTATGGTGGTTGTGTGCTCGGTGCATTCGATGTTTACGCTGGATATGGTGGCGCGCGGGAGGGAGAGGGATGTGGTGAGGTTTGCGGGGGTGTATATCACGGTGATTGCCTTCTTGCCGGCTGTGGCCGTGTCGGTGGCGTGGTTGGTGCCGAACCGGTCGGTGCATCGGCCGGAGGGGTTTGGGAAGGGCGGGCTGGGTGCGAAGGTGTTGCTGTTGCTGGGCGCGTCGTTGGTGTTGACGTTGGGGGCGGGGTTCAGGGCTGGCGTGAACTTCGCGGTGAGGCCGGCGGGGCAGGAGCAGTGGTATCACTCGAAGCCGGCGTTTTATTGCTTCAACTTCGTGGTGGAGCTTCTGGTGGCGTATTCGTACGCCATCTTCCGGTTTGATCGCATGTTTCATGTTCCCGAGGGCAGCTCGGCGCCGGGCCATTACTCCGGGGGAGGGCCCGGCGAGGGAGCGGAGGAACCAGGGTTTAGGTTAGATGCTTCTGGGGAAAGCGCTGGGGATAGCAACATCACGCTGTACTCGAGGAATAAACCCTCGGGCGGCCGTGAGGGGGATTCGGCGGCGTAAGGGTGTGTAATCGGTCAACAGGGGTAGAGTCATGGATGTGTGGTAGACCTTTTTGCGTTTGTTGAACTTGAGCCTGTAACAACACGGATAGACAGCAACAGCAGGCGTAGGTAATTTCGCCAGATACCAATCTCCTACATTTTGGAGGTCATTACTTAGGTCTAGCTGGACTAATTTCAATGGAGATAGATAAACAGTGTTTTCACTATTGCGCTCGGCTTGCGGCCGCTACTCCAGCCACTGGACGAGAACATGTTAGGCATATATTAGTTGCCGCACAAAGGACTTAAGCGCCGCTAGCGTGTTGCGCAAGATCCATATATCCATCTCGAGGCGAGACCGAACGGCGGCTGAACGCTGAGTAAAGGTGAAGTCGGGGTTGGCGACAACGAGTCCATGACCCCCAGGCACCTTTACGCAACGCGTACGATGGACTCATGGATTCGATCCACGTGCTAAATTATCTGGATGGGCGCCCCGCACCCCCTTGTTGTCAGCAACAGTTGTTCACAAAGGTATTGTTAGTGCCGGAGCCGCCAGACGAAACATACGACTTCATTGTCGAATGCCACAAAAGACCAGCTGCTGGCCACGCGGCAGCTAATTTAATTCGACGGTCTCCACCAAAGAACCACTGGGCTGTTCCCTGATCTCTCTCTTTCGGTTGGACTTTCTAACAAACATCATGATATCATATCATCGAACACAAAGTCCTGTTGACTACATAAACTCCATCAACATGGGAAAAGATTTGTTTCTAGCTCGTCACACGCCCTTTCACTCTTAGTCTGCCGCACACACCCCCAAGGCTCTTGTGTGTCATACCCAGAAGTTCACAGACGGGAAAAGGATCATCACTAACTCACCATGCCTGAAACACCCAGCCTACCACCTTTCCCGGTCAGCTTCAACGAGGCGGATTGTAAGTTCATCCTCATGGAGCACTACGTTCGCCGCCGCGAAGCGGGAATATGCCGCCCCTGCCAGGACTCCATCCTCACCTCTTTCTGCGCACTCTCCTCGCGCCACAAAACCGGCCTACAGCTACACCCCTCCCACCTGGACACCTCCCGCCTGCCGCCCGCTATCGCCGAGCGTGTAGACCACACGCGGCTCAACATGATCACCTGGCACATCCAGAACAGGGCCGCCTTCGATGACCAGCTCCACAACACGTGGATCCACATTTTCGCGACCGTCGGCGCCCTCCTCGAGATCGAAGAATACGAAAAACAAGCCCTCAAACGACAGGAACTCGCCCACTCCCAAGGCCGCACCGCCAACCACCCGCACCAAGTCCCCCCACTCAACTCACCCTCCACCCCCGCGGCAGCCGCCTCTGCCATCACCACCGCCGAAGAATGGATCACCAAGCTGTGGTTCGCCTGCGCGGGGCGGTACACCACGGCCGATCTCGCGCGGGGGCGTCCCTACGCCGGCTGGCCGTCCGCCTTCGAGGGCATGCACCTGCGGCGGCTGGTGGCGGGGCAGAAGCCGCGGCACGGCGACCGGTGCAAGTGCGTGGACCGGTCGTGGCGCGGCCCGCCCTTCAGCGGGCAGCCGCTGCAGAACTGGCTGGCGGGGCCGTCGCCGCACACCGAGGTGCTGATGCGGTATACGGATCCGGCAATTCGGGACATCCATGTGCGGATTTGTGGGGAGCTGGTTGCGAGGGGGGATGGGGCCAGGGCGATGCCTCTGGCGAAGATGTGGGATCAGCCTGGGTTTAGGGAGAGGTTGGTGGTGGCGGTGGGGGAGTTGGTGGCGAGCAAGGCGATGGTGGAGGAGAGAAAGCGGAAGGAGGCCGCGAGCGCGTTGGTGGAGATGAGGCAGGGGGGGGAGGAGCATCCGGTGGATGATCGGGGGGATGAGGATATAAGCCAGTTCGAGGTTAAGATGACGATTGAGATCGAGGATGATGATCAAAAGCAAAAGAATACCTATCCCTGTGGGCTTAGTGTGCAGAGAGGTACCTAGCATTGAGGATTTACCGAAACCGAGCTGGACATATTTCCTTGCAACAATAATAACACATTTTGATATCTTGGTCCCATTGATAGTTATGTGACGACGAGTCTCTTGAATGGCTGATACCACCATTTGAAGAGTAGAGGAAACATTGTCACCCTCGTTGCTATCTGAGGCTGGGGCTATAGGTTAGATTTGACAAACATACAATCTATACTGAGATTTGGCATGGGAGAGTAGGTAAGAGAGAAAAAGGGTAGGTCTATGAAACGGACTCGAGAAGAGAAAACCACGCTGCTAAGGACCTCAATTCAAGGATAGCCCATCTTCAACTTCCATTTTGTAAATGCTACAATCGATAGGCTTGTGTGAATATAGGGAACATTCAAACCAAACCGCCTCATTGACGCATGTACACGTATCGCGGCCAACATGTTGTTCAGTAGAATTCTGGGGAGGGACTTTGACTGCCTGAGCTATAAGTTACCAGGTATACTGATGCAGTGCTTGCGCCTCTCGTTCGTCCCAACAATGGCCCAGCTTCGAGACTCGAACCCGCTTGCTCGGCCTCCAGGTTTTCCTCTTCCAGAAGCCCTGAAGCAACCAGGCTGATAACATGGATGTCGAATCGGCGTTACTGGTTTCCCTTCGCCCTCTGTTTGGCCGTGGCCCGCGATGCAACCTTGTGGCACAGCGGGAGAAGACAGTGCGTGGAGGCCGAGATTTTGAAGGCTCACTGCATGAGACGGAACATCAAAGACTGGACAATCACTTGACACATCACCACAAGAGTTTTGGTTCATGGGTTGCATTATCCATCTGCCATCTAGCAACGGATCATTTCCGCCGCAAGGGCTGCCATGACAAGATGCATTTTTCCCAGCTCCCCGTCTTTCATTTTCTTGCTATGAAAGCGACCAAAAGCGAGATAAGCAGTCCGAAGTACGCCCCCACCATGGAATTCGTCGAAAGAGCCCCGGCGCGCGGCAGGCGCGCCTGGCCTCCAGCGCAGCGAAGCGATGCAAACCCCCTCCCTACGACCCGTCCTTCCCCGGCCCCGACGCCGAAACACCGGTCCCTTACGCCCTCGACATGACACCCCACGCGCGGATGATGTTGTCGGTGTAGCCGGCGAACAGGGTCTGGCCGTCAGCGCTCCACGCAAGGGAGACGCACTCGGGCTCGCGGCTCTTCTTGCCCACGTTCTGGAACTCGGGCTTGAGCTCGTCGACCTTGCTCTTCTTCTCGAGGTCGAAGATGATGATGCTGCTGGCGGTGGCAGCGCACAGCCAGTAGCGGTTGGGGGAGAACACAAGGGCGTGGATCTCGTCGTTGGCGTTGAGCGAGTACAGGTGCTTGCTCTCATTAAGATCCCACAGCATCGTGGTACCGTCCTTGCCGCCGGAAGCGCACAGAGATCCATCGGGGGAGATGGTGACGGTGTTGATGTAGCCGGTGTGGCCAATGTGGTCGGTCTGCAGCTTGCAGCTAGAAAGCTCCCAAACCTGCCAAAGAGAGTCAGCCATGGACGAAACTCATATCAAGGTCTCGACGAAAGGTGACAGGGTTTTGGTGTCGCTCAGTGCATGGTGAATGTTGGTCTCATGGCCCGTGGCGAAACGGGCTCTGAAGTAGCAAATACTTTAAAAAGTTGCAAGCATCATTGCGAAAAGGGAAAAGAAAATCGTATCCAACGTACCTTGACCAGCTTGTCCCAGCCGGACGACACAATCACGGGGTTCTGCGGGTTGGGCGAGAAGCGGACGCACGAAACCCACTCGGTGTGGCCCTTGTCGGTGATGGTGAACTTGCAGTCACCGAGGGTGTTCCAGAGCTTGATGCTCCGGTCGCGGGAACCGGAGACGATCTGGCGGTTGTCGGCGGAGAACGAGACCGAGAGGACGTCGTTGGTGTGGCCGACGAACCGGCGGGTGGTGGTGCCGGTCGAGAGCTCCCACAGGCGGAGAGTCTTGTCCCACGAAGCGGAGAGGGCATAGGCACCGTCCGAAGAGATCACCTGCCACGCCAATCAGCACAACTCAATTCCTTCCCACCCCAGAAATCGGTTGCGAGGACGTACACAGTCGGAAACGATGTGGGAGTGGCCGTGCAGCGACCGCTTGGGGTAGCCGTACTGGGTCTCATCGCGGGTGAGGTTCCAGATGATCAGGGTCTTGTCTCGGCTGGCGGAGAGAAGCATGTTGGGGCTATTTGTCACGGTAAGCGCAGGTTCTCGGCGTCGGCACGATTGATCGGGAGCGCGTACTTCTCCATCGACGTGGCCAAGCTGGTGACCCAGCCATTCTGCGAGACAGTATCGTCAGCTCCAGCCCGGAAACTCAAGTTCGCATCGTCGAGCTCCAAATTGGCTGATTTCGACATGCGTAAATTGACGGCGGCGAAGAGAACTTACGTGGCCCTCCAGGGTGCCCTTGAGGATGAGTTGCTCAGCCATGTTGACGTCCTTCCTGGGATTCGGGGATCGGTGGAAGAATGGTGAGCTTTTTGGCGGTGCCTCGTTTCGTCGGGGTCAACAGAAATCGGGGCGCTACGAGAGCTCTGGGAATTCCGAAATTTTTGTGCGGCGGAAATAGGGTGCGCCGTGGGGTCCGGCTGAAGGCGGTGGCGGCGCTGGCAGGTGGCAGAAAGGCCTCGGCCCGTCAACGCAATTGGAGCTCGGTTCTGGTCATTCAGCCAAAGCGGGGCACGAACTTTCCAGCGCGCAACGCGTCCAATTGCAACCAACATCGCGCATTATTAAGGATGGGAACACTGCAAAAAAACCGTGGCACGACATGGGTAGGTACGCAAAGTCGAAAGGATTCCTCCCGTTCATCCACAGCTCCGCTCAACAAGTGGCCTGTAGAGTGCAACAAGCGATTTCCCACCATCGAGGCATGTCGAGGCATGTCGAGGCGCAAATAGGATTCAAGACTAAATCTAAGTTGACGTCAGTACGACGACCCTGGGGTATCTTCTGCCTGCTAAATGTGTGTCCCAACCAAACTCCAAAACACCATGCGCTATGGTCCAATGCAAATAAAATGCAACATGCAATACCCCGTCTCTTATCCCTTCCCGGAGATACCGTGCCCTGCAGCAGCCGCCTTCCTGACACCCGCCCGAGGTATGTCCTGGCGAAGGCAGGCCTGCTCCGTGTTCACGATCATGCTGTGGTCGGCAATCTCAAATCGGCCCTTGTCCCCATGCATGGCCGCCGGCACAATTTCTTTCCCCTTGGACTTGGTATCATCTTCGATTAACTCGCGCATCGCCGCCTCCCATAGATTGTAGCGGTCGCGGCGCGCCGGTTGCCGTTGTGCTGCAGACCACACCTCCTTCTGCTTGGCAATCTTAGACGCTCGCATCAACCTTCTGAGTGCTCCCTCTCCTGCCTTGGCTTCCTTTGCCGCCGCTTCTCGCATTTTCTTGGGGTCACCGCGCGGAATTTCATCCGGGGCAAGCGGCCGCTGCGGTTGTTGTGGTTGTGATTGTGACCCGTCGAGGGATTGGGACGGCGCATCGGGACTGAACACGCCCCAGTCATCCGACACAGTGACAGCGTCAACGCTCTCGGGGGTGCACTTGTAGGTGTGTATACTCGGGAAGGCGGGGAACGAGCCTGGGATGTACTGCTTGACTGCTTTATCTGGAGCACCGTCTAGCTCGCGACCAAGAATCGGAAGATCTTTCTCGAGGCGGTCGATGATCGGAAGGGGCTCCAATACGGGCAGACGTTTCGACCTCGGGATCGGCGGTTTCCTGTGTGGGTCCAGTAGAGACGTGGTCAAGTTGAAGCGCCCCAGCGCGAGCTCGAAGTCACCGGGGATCGGATGCGCCCGTCGAGCTGCATTCTGGTACATCCTCACGCTCTCGCTGAGGGAGGTGATATCTGTGACCTAAGTTAGGGCATCGCCCGGCCAGTCCTAGGCGCTCGGCCACGTACAGGTTTCCACCATGACAGTGAAGCTCTCCATGGCTTCGGGCGCGGCGCCCTCGAAACCGACCTTGTCCAGCGCCAGCGCAACGGCGCGTCGCAAACCTTTGTTCGCTACTTCATCTGTGGTTGTCGTCGCCGAAGAACATGATGAAGCTCCGATCTTTCCAACGGATAATATAACGTGCGGAGATTGGACCCGTTGCCGTTTCGCGTCGGAGCTATCGTGGTCGGTCGCTGTCGGTCGCTTTCTGGACTCGATCGACATTGTCGTGTATTCTTCTTCGACTGCTGCCGACAACATATTGAGGCCAAAATGTCGATTCCCTGAGATGGCTGGGTGAAGAGGGAGATGCGCAGAGGTTGTGATCGAATGGGGTCGATGCGAATGTGGTTACGATGCTTTGTTTGGGAAGGAGCTGGTGTTGAGATCCACGGCCGTGCACGGGCCGCTTTTCGAGGCCCACATGTTCTCGCTCCATTCTCGGCCCCAAGTTCCAACCGTCCCATTCAGTTCTTTTCCCCGAATCTCGAATTCATTGATCAAATGTGTAAACAATAGCTCACGACTACACTTGATTTTCGGGCTTGGTTGTATTCGTGGACTTTGTCCGATTCTACAATAGGCATAATAGGAGAAACATTAAGCAAGTTCCCAGATGAGTGAAAGTGTTGTGGAGCCACTCAGGCAATCGAGCCACTTGCCGTTTCGCTCCCTCCGCATTCAGACTTCTTTTAACTGAACAGAAATAACTACGAATGTCGAGTGTAGCAACTAGTCATATCTGAGAAGATGCACGATCTCGAGACTCTCAAAAGTGGCGGCTACAGGAAATGCTGGCCTCAGCCAAACTCACGCTTTCAGGATGTACTTTAACCTCATTTCCCAGAGGAGATCCTCCAGCTCGGTGATACACTCGAGGAGCTGAACCTCTCAGGCACGGAATTGTCGTCCTTGCCGTGATAATTTGGGCACTTCGCTTCCCGAAATTGAAGGCCGTGTCTTTCTCCAACTGCAACTTCAAGGTTTTCCCGCGAGAGCTTGCATCATGCCTTGCTTTAGAAAGTGTTGGGTTCCGCAACAATGGCATGGAGGAGGTTCTTGAGGATACCTTCCCGCCTCTACTTCGCTACCTTGTTCTCACAGGCAACCGCATCACCACACTGCCATCCAGTATCGGCCGCTGCGATCATTTACAAGAATGCAGGCTCACCGGAAACCAGCTACGGGGTCTACCCACTGAGATGGCCAACTGCAAGGAGCTCACCCTCCTCCGTCTCAGCTCCAACCGCCTCTCGGTTCTTCCTTCCTGGCTATTTACTTTGCCCAAACTAGCCTTTCTCTCTTTTAACAGCAACCCCTGCGCATCTCCAACCACCAACGGACTTCACGCACCCCGTGGACTCGCCAGCATCGCCTGGTCCGATCTCGAAGTACAGCAACCTATCGACGCACACACCTCGCAAGGCCTCTGGCACCAATCGCCACACTACGCCGAAGACGTGGCCATCAAACTCTTCCGCAGTCCCGCCCGTGGGGTCGAAAATGAAGACAACAACAACGACGACGATGGTTCGGCCGCAGACGAGAATGCGGCGTACCTCGCCGCCGGCGCCCACGAAAGCCTAGTGAACATCCTCGGCCGCATCCACCAGCCACCCCCGACGAGGAAGGACGACGACGGAACCTACCAAGGGCGCATGTAACGCCAGCTCATCCCCGGCCGAGTACGCGCCGCTCACACTTACCACCACCACCAACACCACAGCAGCAGCAACAGCAGCAGCAACCGCAGCCAAGACGGAGACGGAGAAGCTCTAGCGAACCAACCCCCCCCCGCCAGCACTGACCGTCCCAGCCGCGCTATCCATGCTCACGGGCCTCGCGCACTGCCTCGCGCACCTCCACGCGCGCGGCATGGCGCACGGGTCGTTGGACCCGCGCCACATCCTGGCCAGCGCGGCCGACCAGCACGCGCTGCTCACGGGGTTCCGGGCGGCGACGGTGTATGGCCACGGTCACGGTCACGGTCACGGTTTGGGGGCGGGCAGTGAGAATGGGCGCGGGGTGGAGAGGGTCGAGGTGCTTGCCTTTGGGAGGGTGGTGGAGTATGTTTTGGGGGCTGCCGCTGCTGCTGCTGCTGCGGGCGGTGGTGGTGGTGATGATGATGTTGATGTTGATGAGGAGAAGAGGAAGGAGCGGGAGGCCGTGGAGGAGGGGCTTGGGGAGCTGGGTGGGCGGTGTGTGGCGGTGGACGTCGCGGCAAGGCCGGGGTTCGCGGAGGTGGTGGAGGTGTTGGAGGGTTTGATGGGCTGGCGAGGGATGATGCGAATTCCGGACGTTGAGCCTCGGTAGGCGCGGGACGGGGTTGGCTGTTGGGCGGAAAGGAAACGGGGGTTGTCTGGTCTGGAGCTGCTGCTTGTGGTGACGTCGAGATGGGAGAGTCTGGACAGCGGCCCGTTGCGTTGTCGGTTGGTGGGATTTCCAATCAAATTCTTGATTTCCAACCTCAGCGTGTCCTTCTCGGCAACGGATGCTGCTCGATGTACGTGGCAGCCGAGCCAACCGCATGTCCGTCTGTGCGGGCGGCCGAGGAGGGAAGTTGGGGGGATTATCGAACGCTGCAGTTGGCGATGAACTGCATCGACTTACTCACCGCCGTAATATCATCATGTACAGATGTACCGCGCACCGTGTTGTGGATACCTTGGACTGGCCCTCCCAACTGCCGCGGTAACAACGAACGCAGCAGATCACGTCTCGCTCCGTTTCTCGGCCACTGCCAACCTCTCTAGGGTTACGTTGAGTGTGGGCGCGCTGGGGTATTCATGACGACTGCTGTGTCACAACGTGCTCCTCATCCAGCGGTCGCCCGATACCCTTGTTATACAAACCTGTGCGTGCATGTGGTTTCCTCTGTACACTTACACAGACAAGGCCGTGGTGACATGGAAGTTAGTCACTGGCCCGGCCCTTAAGGCGCATCCAGCGATGTCTTGCCGCGTCTGGGGGTCATGTGAGCTCCCCCGGACGCCACGGATATGATCCTTTTCATGCGCCGCCTGCCGCAGCGTTGCAACTCGGTCATCTTGCCTGCACCTCTACTTACTGTCCCGGTTTGGTAGCCGTCTGAGCGCGGGGGAAAGACGTCGTGGCCAAATCGAAAGATCGGACGGCTGCTGCAGGTCCATGCCGCATGCAGGGTGCTTTCCATGTTAGCATCCTTTACTGTGCAAGTGACGCATCGTTGGATGGAGTGATGTAGTTGTGGAGGCGCCGAGGTGGGATAACCTTTTTTTTTTTTTTTGTGCCCTTTCAACCTCAATTTGTGTTGTGTTGGAGGTGGGCTGCATGAGGCAATTGGATTAGTTATTGCGGCACCCCAAGGTCGCCCTGCATGGCGGGCGCTAAACTCTCCCCTCTGACACGTGTGGACGGCCAATTGAGAGGGTGTCTCGTGCAAGATGCCCCCCATCCTTCTCGCCGAAAATTTCTGAAAGCAGATTTTTCATGCCCGGCGCTGCCCCATGTTTCCAATGTGAGGTCAACAAGAGGTGCCACGGCCTGGCGTCTCGAGCTTGTTAAAGTGGCCTGGAAGCAATGGGTTTGATGTTACCATACCTGCCGCGATCTCGGCCATCATGATGGAAAGAAAATGTATCTTGAAGAATTTATAAGCGGGTTAATAATACGCTGACATTATTCCATAACTCATAACCTCAAAAAATGGGGGCGGGATTTGTTGGTTGTTGCTCGATCTCTGAGATACCTCCCCAGGGACACTCTCATACTTGAGCTCTGATGGCGGGGCAGGTTGGAGCCAGCTCCGCTGGTATCTGGTTGGTCAATTCAGCAGTCTCGCTTGTCAGTTAGCATGGCGGGAGATGAACATTGTGGGGGAAGCTTCGAGCCGCAGGACGGTTCGGAGATATCAGCCTGCCTCGGACGATGCCAAAAAGGAAAAAGTAAGCAAGTTAAATTTGGAGTAAAAAGAGACAACAAATTTATTTCTTGCCACTTTGTTTTTCTGAAGCAGTGCATGCAAAAGAGGTTCATCCACTATCATCGGTGCGCGATCTCTGGCATGCAAGTCTCTGCCCAGGCTGCCTGCACTGCATTGCTCCTGCCCTTCCTTGGCTGGGGTGGATCGGACGCTAAACTCACACTAACGCATGGGGCCACAACACCCTGGGCCTTTCTGTCCCACTCCCCTTTCCATTTTCGTCCTCTCTTCATCGGCCACTCGGCCGGTTGGTTTGAACACGTCTTTTGACTCGCGGCCGGCTGCGGGCGGGAACTGTGCCTTCGAAACCTTCCAATGTTCTGCCCGCTTTCCATTTGCTTTCCATGCTGTGCCGCAAGCGGACCAACTCTCAACCGGGATCACCACACCACCATCTCTCAGACGGAATGTTCGACGGAGAGAATTGGCCGTCGCTGACCCTTCGCCGTGCACAGACAGGCTGCAGCAGCCCTGCCGTGGAACCCCGAAGAGCCCTCCTCCCTATGAGACTCTCGGGGACCTCGCTGAGACATGCAGGAGCGCTTCCCTCGTCGTTGCAGTAGCCCGCAGGCAAGGATCCATTGCGGGCGTTGGAAGACAGACCACAGATCAGCCATACAGCGGGCTAACTAGCAACTGCAAGCGAAACGGTCAAGACGCAAAGCCTGAGTGATCGCCCTGTGGGATCCGCAATCGGCTGGGGGCGGTCTGGGCTCGATCAGAATTCGCTTAATTTCCCGCATTTTCAGCAGTGCCAGGAACGCGCATGTCTTGTATGCCCATACATGTCGAGAGTTGATTGCGCATCACCGTCTCCATCGTGTCGTTGGGGGCTGTGGTGTAGGGAGCTCACTAGCGCCCGCGGCGGGAACTATCCGTTCCCTTTGGTCCCACACCATCTTTTCATCACGGGGGAGGCAGAGACAGTCCGATTCCGGCAACAGGGCCTCGTCAACTCCAAGGGAGCCAAGTTTGGTTCAGTTTGGTCAGGGTAGGGCTCACGGCGCACATCCATCGGGGGGAGACGGCACCACCTCTGAGCTACCCCACCATCTCCCGCTCCCGCTTCGCTTGACCCCTGTTCCGGCCCTGGTTCCGGGGGGACGCCATGTCACCGCATAAATGGCCCTGTGCTGCCTGTCTGACACGGGGTTGACTGTGTGTTTTTGTTAAAGAGCATACGGCACGAACGAATCTTCTCCTGATCTTATCTAGGCGGCCCAGAAACAGAGAACGGCTCCCTGGCATTCCGGAGATCCGAGCCGGCCAACCAAATCGACAGAACTCGACGCGGCATCAGACCTGACCTGCTTGTGGCAAACGGAAGCAATCACCGATTCGCGACTCAACTTTCTTGTATACGTACACACATACTTGCCCACGCAAACCTTGTGAGGGACCACCCGCAGCATCTCGCCTCGAACCAGAATTTGAGCCGGCGATCAAGACAACTACTTCAGCTGGGAACTTTCCTGTCCTACTGTGATCACGTCCAAGACTGGAGGGCAGTTATTCGACATCCCGTGGTGTTCCCCGAACGGAGCCCCGCTAGATTCCGGACTCCTCCGTGAATCTTTCCTCTCACGTTGCCACCTCTCTTATTTGAACACACAGATAAGCCTTGGATCCTGACGGCCTCTGTTTTTATTCGAACAACGCTCTGTCCGGCCGCATATTCCATGGTTGGAATGTGCTTGGTTCACTAAGCACCGGGGATCGACGGGAGTATAGCTCTTAGAGCCACCGAGCCGAGCCGAGCCGTGTGTGGAGTTTCGGGCCCCGTTGCCTCCGCGTGAGTCCGTTCAGCGCTCCGTGGAGTAAAACGAAGCGCTGACGGCTTCTAGACATTCCCGTGCACATCAGTCACCACCGTCAACACAACTTGCGAGCCGGCAACCGCCCACCATGCCACCGTTCCCCATTAACCCTTCGGCGATCCCCATGGTGCGGACTCGGAAGGCGCTCATGATCTTGGACTTGCAAAACGACTTCCTATGTCGCGAGGGCGCATTGTTCACCGAGGAACCCGAAGATTACCTGGAACGAATACTGGAGGTGGCCAAAGCCTTCCGCGAGTCGGGTGCCGGCGACGTAATATGGGTGCGCAGCGAATTCGAGAGCCACCGCCCCCTGACAGAAGAAGGCGAGCAGATCATCACGACGGATTCCATGTTGCGCGACAGGAAGACCACTTCGCGAGGACGCCAGCCAACTTCCACAGGGCATGAAAGTGCGGCGATGGAGAACGACGAGGAAGCCTTTCTCAGTGTTGGTGCAAAGAAGGATACGAGGCCGTGCGTCCAAAAGGGCACAAAAGGTGCTGAATTCGCGCCAAGGGTGAAAGCGGCGATAGTTCCGGGGCGAGACATTGTTTTCACCAAAACACACTACAGTGCCTTCGCATCAGGATCACAGCTGGTTCAGATGCTGAGGGGCCGGTTCGTGACTCAGATGTACGTCTGCGGAGCGCTGACAAATATCAGCATCTATGCAACGGCGTTGGGCGCGGGGCAGCATGGGTATGGCGTGACGCTGGTCGAAGACTGCTGCGGCTTCCGGAGCACCATGCGCCACCTTAACGCCGTGCGCCAACTCGACCACTTGGCTGGCTGCGATGTGATCGGCTCCGAAAACCTCCTCGATGAATTGCAACCCCCTACCGCCCCACAAATCTTATCAACGGGGCTCTCCCCGTCCATCTCCAAGATCGCGCTTGAGCTCGGGAGTGGGTCTCCGGATAGCGCCCCCGCAGCCGGGTCCCCGCCCTCGCCGGCCAAGCCTGCTTCGCCGCAGCGGGCCCGGGATGAGCTCAAGCTAACCACTCCGCCTCGCCGTAGGGCCTCGAATCAGAGCAATAGCAGTTCCAAAGGGGACAGAAAACGCCCTTTGGAAGACACGGGTCATCTAGAAGCCGAATCTGACCCCTCGTCATCCGACCGTGAGTCAACGCACAAGGCGGAGAAGAAACCGCAAGAAGCGCGAAGAAGCTCGCAGCCCCCGAAGGCGAAGCGGAGCGAATTAGAAAGCTCTAAAGGTCCGACCCTCTCCCCCGGGACAGGCAGCACACATGCTGAAAAGCCCAGGGTCGTAAATCGGGTCAAGCGACGTACCCAACGCACGCAGCCAGATAAAAAGCCTGCGCCCTCTTCGACTGCAACAGTGGCGACTTCAGACGACGCCCCGGGTAACACAACGAAGCGGGAACCCCAGGCTCTTACCACATCCTCGCCAACCCGTCCTCTGACGCCGGAACAAAAACCATCACCGCACAACATGGCGGAACCACCAACAAGTGCCGTCTGCGGCGAAGCCCTGTGCGAGGGCGACACGCACGTCATCACCAACCTTCTCCCGCCGCCACTCGCCGCGGACGGGTTTGAGCGTCTGCTAGAAGAGGTCAGCTGGGCCAGCATGTCGCACATGGGCGGGGAGGTGCCTCGCCGCATTGCCGTGCAGGGTGCCGTCGCCGACGACGGAAGCATGCCAGTCTACCGACACCCAGCCGACGAGTCGCCCCCCTTGCTTCCATTCTCACCTACCGTCCTCCAGATCAAGGCCGAAGTCGAGAAACACCTCGGTCACCCCCTCAACCACGTGCTCATCCAGCACTACCGCACGGGCAACGACTACATTAGCGAACATAGCGACAAAACGCTGGATATTGCCCCCAACAGCTTCATCGCAAACGTCAGTCTCGGCGCCAAGCGCACCATGATCTTCCGCACCAAGCGACCCCCCAAAAACAAACACACCACCGTGTCCCCAACCAAGGCCGCAGCAACACCCCCCGACAACGAGGAACCCCAACCTCAACCGCAACAACCCAGTCCCACCACAACCACCACCAACGCAGAACAGCCGCGCCAAACCCATCGCGCCTCCCTCCCGCATAACTCCCTCCTCCGCATGGGCCTGCGCACCAACACCAACTGGCTGCACGCGATCCGACAGGACAAGCGCGCCGACCGCGACCGCACCCCCGCCGAGCGCGCCTTCCACGGCGCCCGCATCAGCCTGACCTTTCGCCAGATCGCCACCTTCATCGACGCCGACCAGGCGACCATCTGGGGCCAGGGCGCGATAGCCAAGGACATGGAGGGTGCCAGGCCCGTGGTGAATGGCCAGGGGGAGGAGGCGGTCAGGTTGTTGAGGGCGTTTGGCGCGGAGAATAATCGTAGTGGCGGCGAGGGCGGGTTTGATTGGGCGGAGTGGTATGGCGAGGGGTTTGATGTCCTGCATATGGGCACGCCGAAGAGGGTGTTTTATTCAGCCTCTTCCCCTTCGGTGGGGAATGTGGCGGTTGGGCTGGCGCTGGCGGAGTTGGGGATCGGGTGTGCTAAGGGGAGCGTGGAGGGGGAGGTGAAGTTTGAGGACAACGACCCCGGGAGGACGGCGGTGGAGGGTGAGGGCGTCGTGTTGAGGTATCTGGATGCCGTGTATGGGGCCGGCAGGCGCTATGATCAGATGCTGCCGGGGGAGGTGGCGAAGCGGTTCACGCGGCTGCAGAGGGGGCTGGAGCTGTCGGGGAAGTGGGCGGCGGCTTTGCGGGAGGTGGGGGTGCAAGGGGATGGGGGTGGGGATGGTGAGGAGCAGCAGCGTGCGAGCGCGGAGCAGACAAAGGCCCTTGCGAAACTGCTGGGAAAGGAACTGGCGGAGCGGGATGGGTGGGCCAAGGAGGCTGCTACTGGGGAAGCGGCACTCTATATTGCCGGTGGTGCCCAGCCCGGGCCGGCCGACTTTGCGCTGTGGCCGGTGCTGCATGATGTGGTGCAGGTTTGTGGCGAGGACGTGCTGGGAGAGCATCTAAGGCGATATTACACTGCTTTCGGGGAGAGGAGCTCGGTGGCTAAGGCGCTGGGACAGATCAAGGCGGAGTGAGGGTTTTGGGCTTGGTTTTACGCTGAGTTGGTTAGGTATGACTGGGTTTGTTGGATATGACATGATGTTCTGTGAATCAATAAGCAAGCGAATTTGGCTGGATGGATGGGTTGGACAGTATGTGACTCCTGGAATAATTTTGGTTTCATGAATGATTGGTTGGTGAGAAGGCAAAACAGCATGTTTCTTTTAGATTGGAGCGTTGATGGACAGTTGCGGAGGCTGAGAAAAAGGGATCGACGTTTTCGGAACGCCCGGCTTCACTGTTAAGGGCAACTGGGAAGTGAAAAGAGAATGATGTTGCTGCGATTCCAGACTGTATATACAAACCTCTTATCCCCATCAGGTACCTGACCGAGGGAGAGAATGCCAATTCTATATGATAAATCAAATGCTAAGCATAACATGGAGACTTGGTGGTTTGAGGTTAAACGATAGCTTTATGTTACCCCGTTGCGCTGAATATAACTCACAACTTGCATCAGGAATCTATTGACTGAAACCTCCTCAAGTGGTTTATATTGTCCCTTGGTTTCCCTTCTGATTCGGATGATATACGAAAAGCGGTTGCAAAGCTTGAGATAATGTTTTAACGAGTGGTGATAACATGCAGGGTCTTAGTTGAAGAAGTAACACCGCTATAGAGTTGTCTACAAGGGCCTAGGTGTCCTCGACGGTTCAAGAAGCACAAAGGCACAGTTACGACGAGTCAATACCATAGAGATGTATCTCGAAACGCAATACCTTCGGGAATGCAGTTTATTGTTACACAAATATTCGACTTTCAACAACAAATGTAAGTTATACTTACGACTACTATCTTGTTCTGCTGTGTTTTTTGGCAAAGGCCTAGCTCAGGGCTACCCTTGGCTTCTAGTAATATTTTCCTCTTCTTTACTGAGATAGATGCTCTCCTTATGTGTATGTTGTAGTGAGACGGGCGTGTGCGGCACCTGCTCTATGCCATGAAACTTCATGTTGCAACCGATGAGGCCCACCATCACATATGCTTAATCGAGGCCATTCACATCCCAAAACAACCAAAGAATGAAGTGTATCAATATATCGGATTCGGTCACCGACTTCCATCCTCGAGTTGAAAGCGGAGAAGAATCTTGGGGGCAAGTGACTGTTAAACCCGCTCGCCCGGCACAACGCCTCGTGACAATAAAACCAAAAGCCACATGAAAAGTTACATACATAGTATCATCTCCATCATCTAACCATCTCCCAAACCTATTCATCTTTCTTCATCACCCTTTTCCTCCACCCCCTTTTCGTACCCCAACTCCTTCCTTACGGCTTCGCATCCCATGGCAAGGGATACGTCCCCACCCAATCGGCAACCTCACTCCGCAGCTGCACAATCTCGGTGTCCGTCTCTCCCGAACCGAGATATTCCAAGAAGGTCTTCAGCCGGCCAGCCGTCTTGAGCTCGCCCTTCTCCTCAGCCGCCTTGCGAGCCGCCTTGTCGACACGGACCGCAATCGTGACGGCGCGGTCGACAATGTCGGCGACGCGTTCAAAGTCGTCCTCGCTGAAGCCGCGGGTCGTCATGGCGGGCGTGCCCATGCGCAGGCCGCCCGGGGTCAGCGCTGACCGGTCGCCGGGCACCGTGTTCTTGTTGGCTGCGACACCGACCAGTTCCAGCACGCGCTCCACGCGCGCGCCGTCGACGCCTTGAGGCTTCAGGTCCGCCAGCACCAGGTGGTTGTCCGTGCCGCCGCTGACGATGCGGTAGCCGAGCCCGCCCTTCTCCTTGGGCTCGCCGAGGCGGCGCGCGAGGGCCTGGGCGTTGGAGAGGACTTGGGATTGGTAGGTGCGGAATTCGGGGGTTTGGGCCTGCTTGAGGGCCACGGCAAGGGCGGCGATGGTGTGGTTGTGCGGGCCGCCTTGGTGGCCGGGGAAGACGGAGGCATTGATGGGGTTCTCAAGGTTGTACATCTCCTCGGCGCCCGTCTTGGGGTGGGTGCGGCGGACGCCACGGCGGAAGAAGATGATCGCACCACGCGGACCGCGGAGGGACTTGTGGCTTGTTGTGGTGACGATGTCGGCGTAGGCGAAGGGGCCGGGCATGACCTTGGCTGCGACCAGACCGGAGATGTGGGCCATGTCGACGAGGAGGTAGGCGTTAACCTTGTCACAGATGTCACGCATGCGGGCGTAGTCGATCAGCCGGCTGTAGGCGGAGGCACCAGCGACGATGATCTTGGGGCGGTAGAGACTGGCCGACTCCTCGAGCTTGTCGTAGTCGATGAGGCCGGTCGACTCGTCGAGGCGGTACGGGAGAGTCTCGAAATACTTGGAAATGAACGAGATCTTCTTGGTTGGTGTCTGGTATCCGTGGGACAAATGCCCTCCGTGGGGCAGATCGAGACCCATGAGGCGGTCGTGTGTGTTCATCAGGGCCGAGTAGACGTAGAGGTTCGCAGGAGCACCGGAGAGAGCTACGGTGGTTAGCATTGACGCCACCCCTTCCCATTATTACAGAACAGAGCACAGAGGACTCACCCTGAACGTTGACGCCCCACTCTCTTTGGTCTAAGCCGAATGCCTCCAGCGCCCGCTGCTGGCACAGTCTCTCCGAAGCGTCGATAAACTCGTTGCCGCCGTAGTACCGGGCGCCAGGATACCCCTCCGAGTATTTATCTGCACCAATTAGCCCAACCCTAACGCTGTTGGCTCACTCGAGGTACGCACTCTGCATCGGGCTCCCTAGCGCATCTAGTACAGCCTGTGAAGTGAAGTTCTCGGACGGAATCAGGTTGATGAACTGCTTTTGCCTGATTTTCTCCTACACCCGCGCCAACACGATCAGTATCACCCTCACTGAGAAAGAACGCCCGAGAACCGACGAACCTTCTCAATGATGTCGTGCATAATCGGATCGGCCTGCTGCAAATGTGCAGAAAGCAGCTATTGCTCAAGCACATTAGCATCATCCCCGTTTCTCAACACCACAGCACACCACGCCACATCGATATCCCACCTTTTGCTGCGTATCATTGCCATTGGGCATAGTCCCGACGGACCGGCTCGAGGTGACCCCGCGGAGCCATGGCCGATGTGTGGTTGCCCGCTGCAAACGGCTTGCTATCGTCGTCGAGGAGGGGACGGCGGCGCGGAGGGAGAGGGAGGCGGAGCGGGCAGTGGTGCTCCGCAGCGCGGGGACCGAACCAAATGCCGACATGGATGGCAGTAGGTCAGATGGAGGGAGGGGGGAAAGAGGGATTGATGACGGATGAGGGATGGAGGATCGAATTGGGAAGGAAGCCAAGTATGCCAATTGCCTATCGGAGAGAGAGGAGGCTTCACCGTCGGTGTCGACAGTTAGCGAGCGTTCGCCGGCAATGTTGTTCGATAAGTGGGAAGAGCCGGAGGATGGCCAGAGAAACAGGTGATGTGATTGGAAGCTTCTACCCGGCCATGACGGCCTTGTCTGTTGACTCGGCTTAAGTCCAGGCCTGGTGTGGGGTAGCTGGCTAACGGATGCGAGAACCGGAGAAGCCGGGGCTGTTGGAGCTGGTTTTGGCCTATCTTATCATGCGCACAGGCCAGAAACCCACAATTCCGCCAAGCAATTTCAACGCCAAAATTTCTCACGAATCTGAATTTCTCCTCTTTTCTTCTGCAATCAACTATATTGGGGGTGATGAGCACGCTTCCAAACGGCAGATGCAAGGCCCTCCGCTGGTAAAACAGCCTGGGGGGCATGCTGAAATGTCCTGGCACAACCTCACCACTCTTGAGGGACAATTTGAAGCTTCTGACCCAAGATGTTGATGCACGGCGACGTCGCCGCTTTTCTCTTATTGTTCATCATCGCAAGGCGGTGCCTCTTCCCGTACACCTAAGTCCTAGCCCATGCCATAGCTTCCTAGATATATATCCGAATGGAACCCACAACGTATACACTTGCTTTGCCGCTACCTTGCATGGTGCCCTCCGCCCCATGTTTGTGGTCCCGACGTAGACGTCTGTGATCCTCGCCGCCCGCACCGTCACGAAACCAGAAACTCGATTAGCAGTTTTGTCACCACACCTGGCAAACCCATTGATTCCGTTTTCAATGCCATACATGCAAGCCAGAACGTCTCGAGTCTAGTGGCCGCACCGCTTCACTATGAAAGAGAGCGCGCACGGCTGGAAGGCCATGTCCACGCGCAGGAGCCGAGATGTGAAGAGAGAAAGCGTGCCCAGAAAGAAGCCCAACCCATTACTCCGAATGCAAGGCCGCCGAGAAATCCATGTTGTCCATTTCACTTGGTCCCTGTTGAAATCTACTTGGATTCCTCCTCGGCCTCGCCCATCAACGCGTTCCGCTTCGCCGCCTGCCTCTCCAGCTTGCGCTCGCGGGCCGCCTTGGTGCGCGCGCGCTTGGCGTCCATCTCCTCCTTGATCTGGTTCTCACGCGCCTTCTCCGCCTTGGCACGGTGAATCTGCAAAGATTTGTCAGCACGACATACAGAAGCCAACTCTCCCAGGGCGTTGAAACATACGTGCTCAACGAGCGCCCGCTTGTGCTTGAAGGTGTTACCCTTGGCGAGGTGGTAGAGCTCGTGGTAGAGGTGCTTGTCGATCTTGCCGCTGGCACGGTACTTGACGAGCAGACGGCGGAGGACCCGCTGGCGGCGCATCCACAAAACCTGCCTGTTTCCGTTGTCAGCACGCTCTCCCGCATCTCCATCCCTTTCCTTCAACCCTTCCCAACCATTGCATGTTTGGTGGTTCGGTATCCGGATCCGGGGTGGTGGTGTGACGGTGGTGGTACGTACTCGGGCATACGGGCATCGGCGGTACCCTTGCGCTTACCGAAGCCGCGGTGACGGCCGATCCGGCGGGCGAGGTTCAGCTCCCGCGCGCGCGAGCGCGAGTGCATGGTGACGGGCTTCTTGATGATGAGGCCATCGGAGACGAGCTTGCGGATCGTCTGACGGGAGTTGGCGTTGGAGATCTCGGACACCTCGTTGGGGTCGAGCCAGATCTTGCGCTGGCCGCAGCCCAGCACGGACGACGCCAGCCGCTTCTGGGTCGTAAGGTTAACCCTACAGAAGGGCAAACAGTCAGCATTCCGTGCCGAAATTCGATTGCGAGAGGTTCGTGGGTGCGGGTTGGTGAGTGGTCATGGATTTTTCGGGGGTTGAATCGCAAGCATCGGGCGCTGTGGCAAACAACGGCAAATCCATCGTGGAAAATGCTGCTTTCGTGCTAAAGTGACGGGACGGCATTCGGGGTACTCACATCTTGACCGATTGATGCTGGAGATGGTTAGTAGTCGAGTTTGTCGATGGGTTGGGATTTCCGCTGAGGGGAAGTTCGTCGTCAGAATTTCTCGAGCAACAGTTTGTGGGTTTCGCGGGTGGGGCGGATAAGAGGTTGCGATTGGCGAGGGTTAGGCAGGTCATGCGCCCTCGCACGTGCTTTGCGATTGAGCATCGCAACAAGTGGGCCTTCCACCCACTGTTTTTTTAGGCTGACAGAAAACGGCAGCGGCCACAAAAGTAGCGGCAAAACGGAGAAGGACCTTGGAGTTATTGTAAAGCAAGAGATAGCCACGTTTCTGGTTCACCGTGGATATTCCAAAAAATAGAAGGCAAAAAGGGGGCTTTTACGGGGGTGAACGGGAGCTTCCAGCTAGAAAAACTCTGCGCTCTAATCTGGGGAACAACGCTGTTGCCCGAAGGCGGAAGTAATCTCTTCAATTCTTCGTCATACAGGACCCCCCCGCCTGAGAGAGCGAGCAGAGGTTGACACTTGGGCGGGGAGGGTACGAGGGGTAGTCACAGGTGAATGCTAGTTTGGATACATACCAGACCTGAGGTTTACTATAGGGACATATCTCGAAATACATGCAGTAGATTTTGCTGTTGCGGGCATTTTCGTGGTTGATGCCGTTGTTAACATGATTCTATCTGAGTTCTACCGCCTGTGCTTAGCTTCCAACGTATCACCCAAACCACGGAAGCTCCTGTGGGTTCTCATTCTCAACGTGTCTCATTCGTCTCGGAGTTTAACATTCGCATGCCAAGCAATTGTTGATGTTATCTACATCTTGAACCTCGACACCTCACTTAGCCTCACACAACTTTAGGAGGCTCCTCAACACAAAAAAGACTCAATTTTCACCACCCAAACACCCTTCTCTCTAAACACCCCTCTAGACAACCCCCCCCCCCCTCACTTTGTCACAGACCACCCACCTTCCCTACCTAGGTACCCAGCATCTACTCCGCGGAAAACACATCCCCGCCCACATCGACCTTCCCCACAGCCATAATCTCCTTCTCATCCTCCACCTCATCATTCGCGAGCCCCAACCCGCCGGCGCCACCCTCGGCCTCGCGCCGCTCCCGCACCTGCGCGCCCAGCCTCAGCGCCACGCGCTTGAAGTAGTCCTGCATGCTGCGCTTGGTGTTGGGCTGCAAGTCGGCCGCAGCCGCCACCCACTTGTCGAACACCTTGGCCTCCTCGTCGGCGACGGCAAAGAGCTGCACGAAGGCGGCCTCGGCGGCCAGCTTGACGGGGATGACGACGTCGCGGACCGAGGCGAACACCGGCGGAGCGAGCATGCCGAGGTGCGGGCGCACCATGTCCGGGTGGGCGCGCGCGAGCGTGCGCGTGACGACGAGTGCCAAGCGGCGTGAGTCGGTCGGTCCGCCGGGCGGGATGGTTTGTGCCAGGGTCGTGAAGATGGCTTTGGTGCTCTCGAATGGTTTGGGTGCGTCGCTGAGAAGGTATTTGCCTGTTGCTACGATGAAGTTGTCGACGATGAAGGGCTGCGGGGAGCACGTTAGTTACCGTTTTACCCATCTACACGGCGGCGCACAAGAAAACGGGTGTGCTTACATCTTTGCTCTCCATCCCCTGGCATAGCAGGTCGGGCAGGTCGTCGGCCAGGGGCGAGTCCAGCAAGGTGTCCGCGCTCTCAAGGAGCACGGCGTTCAGGGCCAGGACGCTTGAGTTGCTGAAGTCGCGCGTCATGACTCGGTTCTTAAGCAGGTTCGTCGCCACGTCGGCCGACACGTTCTTGACAAGCGCACCAAACAGTTTGGCGTTGGTCACAGTCATGGCGGTGTCGCGTTCGTCGGTCTCGGTGTCGATCAACCCCAAAACGGCGGTACGCGAGCTCTCGCCCATGTTGGCGCCCGCCTTGCTAATGACCTCGTACAACGCCTTGAGCATGGCCGTCTTCACACCGGCATCTGTCGTCTTAGACCCAGTCACCAGCTCAGCAATGAGGGGGTCGACACGCGGCGTAAACTTGATGAGTGTGCCAAGTGCGCGGGCAGCCCGGCTGCGCAAAACGTCGCTGGAAGTATCGGCGAGCGACTTGGCGAACGTGCGTTGCAGCTGCGGCAGGAAGGGCTTGAGCGCCGTGGGCATCTTCTCGAGCAGGTTGTTGAGGGTGAGAAGAATAGCTGACTTGACCTCGGTAGAGCGCTCCGAGACCACACGAATGAGCGGACCAGTAATCTGCGTGACGAAGGGCTTGAGAGAGGCCTCGCTGGTTCTGTCGACAACGTCCGAGATGGCTAAGGCAGCTGATACTCTTTGGTCCGCTGTGCCATTCATGAGACCTTGCAGAAAGATGGGCAGAATAGCGTTGATGCCCTTGGGAAGTTCGAAGCCGGGCAGGTTGTGGCCTGCAACACCGACGTGCAAGAGCGCTTGTCTCGTAGACTGGACGAGGGCCTCCATCTCTTCCTTCTTGAGCCGCTTCGTGAACTCGTGGAGGGCGCTCCATGCCGACTTGACAACCTCCGCATCCCTGTCATCGAACGAAATGAGCAGGCCACGAATGATGTCTTGGTTGTACCTCGAGTAGTCCACATCGGATGCCGCAAAGAACTTGGCAAGATGATGGCCTGTTGCGGCCCGCTTGCGGTGATCCTCGTGCTTGATGAGCTGTAGTAGTACATTCATCACCACATTGAGGCCGTCGTACTCATCAATGGACAGAATGACAGTGTCGAACGAGGTATCGAGATCCTGTCGTAGCTCCTCTTCGGTGCAGTTGACGATGTTGTCCATGAGCGAGTTGATGATGTTCGGTAGCCGGCGGTTCATAGCAGCACCAGCAACCTTGGACAGCGACGCCAACGCCTTGGCGTTGAAAGCCGAAATGGGAGGCGTAATGAGGGTCGGGATGAGGTTCGGCAAAATAATATTGGAGCGTGTAGCCTCGGTGAGTAGGGTGAGGAGAGCAGCGAGGGCATTGTTCGCGTTTTCTTCGGAGCGGAGGAGGTTGAGGAGGAAAGGTAGGACTTGGTCGACGGCCCGCTTGCCCAGGATTTGCTGCAGCGAGTCGAACGCTTCGGCCGCGGCCTCGCGGACGTCGGTGTCCGAGTCCGTAAGGGCTGTGCGCACGACTGAGATAAGTGTCTTCTCGTGGTCTTCGAGGGCTTCTGGCGAGGCAGACGAGATAAGCTCCTTGAGAGCCAGGCAGATGCCCTGCTTTGCGTCCACGTCGTGTGAGGTTTGTAGACCTTCCTCGAGCGTAGGAAGGAGCGTAGCCAGGACGCCGTCGCCCGCCTTGCGGATGAGCTCGCCGAGGGCATTGCTGGCGATAACCTTGTGCTCCATGTTGGAACTGCCCAGACGCCTGATAATGAGCTGGGTGAGTGTAGGGACCAGCTCCTTGAGCATACGCGGGCTGTGGACCAGGGCCTTCCAGACGCCAACGGCAGCAGCCCGCACCGCACCGGCGGTATCGCAGCGACAGACGTACAATGCGGAGAGAATCTTGTTCCGTTTCTCTTCTCCCAGAACCTCGCGCAGAGACGCGCCGGCTTCTCTGGTAACCTCTTGGTCCTCGTCTTCCTCTTCCTCCTCGTCATTGGCCTTGATGCCCGCAAGGTTGAAGAGCAAGTCTCCCACCAGCTCGACTGAGCTGAGACGGATGCGATAACTGTCGTCGGCCATACCACGCTCGAGTTCGGGGAGAAGCAAGTCGACTGCACGCACAGCAAAGTTCTTGACCAGAAGCCGACCAGCCCGAAGCGCCGTCTCGCGGATGGTCTCGACATCATCTGCAAGGCCAGACAAGATCGGTGGGATAATTTTGCCGAGGTAGTTGGCAAAGCTGTTGCCGAAACAAACGGGCAAGAAGATGAAGAGCGACATGAAACCCTCGCGAACGGACGGCTTGGTAGATTCGACGTTCTGTAGGATGGTAGGGAGCGTTTCCTCCAGCCGTGATGTACCCAGACCGGCCAGAACCTCGCTGAGTGCTTGGGCAGAACCGAGTCTGTCGCCAGCACCAGCGTCGGACTTGAGGGTTTGCATGAGGCCAGGAATAAGATCTGGCAGCGCGTCCTCGCCGAGTTTCTCCACGAGGGATCCGAGAGCACGAGAGGCAGTCGCACGTGTGGTGGGCACCGGGTCGACAACAGCGGTTTTGAGGCCGGCCACAAGCACCGGCAAGTGCGCAACGAGGTCCTTGCGCTCTGTGAGATGCGCTAAGCTGCCGATGACTTGGGCAGCCTTGCGCTTGGTGTTGGACCGGTCCCCGAGGCCGCGTTGGAGGATGCGGCTGACAAGGGCCAAGGAAGGGGCATCGAGGTAATGCACGAACTGGACCTTAATAAGCGATTCCAAAGCTTCGTCGGTATACTTCGTTGGGTCACTGAGTGCCTTGAGGAGGATGTCGACGAGGCCCTTTATCTCTGGATTGGTGATGACCTCGCCGAATCTCTTCAAGCTCTTGTTCGCGGCGGACCGCACCTCCTTGTGACTGTCATTCAACACAGCTGTCAGCGGCGGGATAATTTCCGGCAGGCTCTGAGCAAGTTGCTGAGGGTCAAGGTAGGCCATGGCACCGAGTGTGTCACACGCCCCCTTTTTGCTGCGCCATTGGTCTTCGTCGAGACCGTCTAGCAGTGTCGGTAAGATTTGTTTGACGCCGTACGAACTCAGTGACGCGAAACATGCTTTCGCTGCTGCCAAAGCGGCGTCACGAACATCGGCGTTACCGTCGCCGAAGCCAGAGAGCAGCTGTGGCACGATTTGAATCACGTACGGCTCAAAAAGGCGGCCGAGGATGGTGGACAGAAGCTCATAAGCCAGCATGGCAGATTCCCGCTGGTTGATCTCCTTCTTGTTCTCCAGAGCGCTGTTGAGGGTGATCATGATGCGGTATTCTCTTAGGACACTGATACCTCGGCCAAGCACCAGACCTGCCAGACCATAGGCCGCTCCGCGTTGCTCAGGGTATTTCTTGGACGTCAGCATCGTTTCGATGACTTGATCAAAGTACTTGGGCGTCTTGTCGCCGCAGGTCCGAACCAGAGGCGGAAGGCATTCTGCGATGGCGTATTGCACTGCCTCGGACGGCGTGCTTAGAGTTGCAAGGAGGCGTTCAATAACAACGGGGATCTTCTTGTCACCAGGCTTCAGATGGCGCGCGAGTGCACCGTACATAATGATGACGGCCTCGTTGACGCGGTCGGCAGCCTCCGAGTGCTTGTCAGGCGCTTCCAGGGTCTTCTCGAACGTCTTCATGAGCCGGTCCAAGATACCCTTGCCATGGACCTCGATGGCGGTGTTGGCGGCGTCGAGCATCTCGGCACGCACAGTTGCGTTCTTGTCTCCGAGCGGGCCTTGTTCGATGAGGAGGTTGAAGAAGGGCTCTAGTTGCGACTTCTCCAGGTGAGAAGCGAGATGCCTGAAGGCCATGGCGATTCCGTGCCGCGCCTCCCAAGGATCCGACAGGTCCATCTTCTTTGGCATGCCGAACTCGTCTAGCTGCTGAACGCGCGGCTTAGCTAGTTCGACATATGATGATCGGAGCTCTTCAAGGATGGGAGTGATAACGGCAGGGTGTTCGCTGGCTATCTCTGCCAAAGACTTGGCAGCGGCACGCCGAAGCTGGGTGTCCTTGCTCCCCAGATAGGGCAGCATCTTAAGTGCAAGGTCCTCTGATGTTTGGAACTCGCTCTCCTCCCAGATCTCGCGGCCGAGATCCACGTTCTCCTCGATGTCGTCGTGGCACGCAAGCCAGATCTCTTCCGATACACCCGCCTCGCTCATGTCGACCTCGGCGCTGATTGCTTGCAGCACTGCGGTCCGCACGCTGGCATTGGGGACGATGGTACCACGCGATAGGACGCCGGTCTCTTCAACGGTGATATTGGGAGCGACGCAGCGCACCATGTCAGAGAAACAGTCCTTGATGATCTTGTAATGCCGACTGTACTTTTCCATCGACGAGATCAGGGCATAGAGAATTTCGCCGCGCGGAATGACCTCATCTGCCGCAACGTTGGTGTGGAAAGAGAGGACCTCGATGGCGAGCACCAACTGGGCATCTCGGTCATCGGCGTTTGCACCAAAGCCTCCTCTCTCAAGAACTAGCAAAACAAGCGGCAGGATATAGATGAGAGTGACGGGGTCAAAGGGTCGCTGTTCGCCGGCAAAGCGAAGACGGTAGAGCACTCTCGTGACTACATCCTCAAACGGTTCTTGAGTTAGAAAATCCGGGAGTGCAGAGACGTCGTGGGCGCGCAAGGTGGCAGCTCCGATGAATGGGCGAATGGTTCCTAGACGCGAAGTCACCTGGTCCGCGCAGGAAATGAACGCCATCGGCCCAGTCTCGGCTGTGATTAGCGACGCTCCCGCGTTGATAGATGCCAGAGTAGTCTCAACAGCAGAACCCATCCAGCGGCTGGCATCTGAAGGCGGGCCGGTCGCGAGAGCCTTGACAATGCCGAAGCCGCGCAACAACTTGGCAGCGATTTGACGGACGTTCTCACGAATCTCGCCCTCCTTCTTGAGTTGGGCGTTGACCTTTGCAGTTTCGTCCGCGGTGAGCTTCTTTTGCGTGCCCTTCTTCTGAGCCAGCTGTGCCCTGAGTTCCTCTTCCCACTTCAACGTGTCGTAGTCCTTGACGTTTTTATTTGGGACGACATTTTGCTTCTTCGCAAGGACATCCACGAACGCCGTCCCTTCAGGGGTGCGGAAGATGGCAGCCTCAAGAGGGCCAACTGTTTGCACCTGGGTAGCGTCAAGGTCTTCTTGGAGGAGAGAAACAATGCGCGGGGTCATGGTTTCAGGGGCGACAAACACGAGCTCCGCAGCGGCGCTGTAAGCCGCGGTTTTGGCGGACTCGGACTGTGTCTGTTAGCGTGGTTGACGATGCAGGGGAGTGAGAGGGGAAATGTATTACCCTTTGCCCGAACTCGGTTCGCCTGACAATCTCCTGAATCAAGGGCTCCTCGTATTTCCGTGCCAACTCGCCAGGGTCGAGTTCAACCCGCAAGCAGAGATCGATCCAGCTCGCCCGAGGGATGAGCTGTGGTTTAGCAAGTACGAGGAGAGAGCACATTTGACTTTCGAGCGGGGCCTTATCCACACCAGAGCCGGCTCGGTTTGCAAACTCCTGAGGGGTAAGGCAGATAGACCTGAGTACAAGGTGAAGGTTGGAATTCCCAGATTTGGCCAAGACCGCCGCGCTCTCCTTCTCAGCTGTTTCTGTGGCTTCGACCCAATGCCATAATCCGTTGATGATCTCTGAGGCAACAGAGAGCCCTTCAGAGCCTGTATTGCGAGCACAGATACCAGAAAGTGCCTGAGTGGCCTGTCGGCGCACAGCGGGAGACGAGACTGTCGAGCAAATAAGGTAGATGTAAGCCTGAGCCCACGCGACCTTGACCGCATCCGAGCTTGCGCCGAGTGCAGGAACTATTGCGGAGAGAGCACGGCAGAACCACTCGAGGTCATCTCCCGTGAATTTGCTGTATATCCGTTGATTAAGCAGAAACGAAGGTTTCGGGTCTACCGCCAAACTGTTCTTTTGTATGGATGCTTTCTTCACCAGTGATTGTACGCCGGCGTTCTTGAGGTGACTAAGAAGAGGTCCAAGACCACAGACAACTAGCGCCCCCGTGACAAGCCCGCTCTGTGCCGCGGTCACCGGGTTTGCGGTGACCTCATTGAACGCAGTTAGGAGGGGCGGAACAGTGGCTTCAGCAAAGGCTACTACCCCCTTGGGCAGATCCCCTTGGGCATCTTCAGCAAAGGTCTGTAGCAGATCTCCAGCACGAAGTATCCAGATCCGCCGTACTGGTGGCTTCTTATCCGCTAGGCCTTTCGCGTATGCATCTAGGAGTGGCTTTGGAACCTCAGAATCGCGTAGAAGAGTGGTGGCACTGGCGTTCAGAGCCAGAGTCTCGGCAGTCAGGGCCGCCTCGTTTGCCTCCTTGCCGACTAAGGCAGGAAGTCCCGCCGCAACCTTGGTTGCGATCCCTTTTGACGCAGGCAGGGACGCTAGCATCTCGGAATGAAGAACTCTGTGGTCGGCGGAGGCAAGCTTGCCGGATTTTAGAGGCCCAAGAACTTCGTCGGCAACCGGTTCTAGCAGGGTGGGGTCTTGACAGCTGGACGCAATCGCTCTAAAAGCCGTCACGGCGCCGCTGCGGATGATGGCATTAGATGATTTGATGTTGGATAGTAACGGTTTGATGAAGCGTCCGCTCAGGGCCTTGGACAGGTCAAATTGAGACACAGAGCGCACGAGGGGTGTGATCAGGTCGTTCAGCACCACCTCAGGAGCTCTCAGTAGGCCCTTCTCCAGCGCCGGGAAAACCTCCTTCTCGAGATCCTCAAGCAAGGCGAAGGCAGAAAAGAAATCTGCGAGGCCATTTGCAAGATGGGCAGGTACCGGTGTCCGTGACCCAACGATTTCGCGAATGTAGAAGGCAAAGTACTGGCCCTTTAGCCCGTCAACCACGGGTTTCACCTCTGGCTTGCGAGAGCAAACGCCGGCAATAGCCCCCAGAAGAGGCGCATTCTTGGCAGCAGGTTGGCTTCCTTTGGCGGCTAGGAGTTGGATGGCGGCGTCAATCCCTTTTTGGTCCGCTGAGGCCAGCTTCCGGAGACCCCGCCTTGTTATGACCAGAGCCGACGAGCCTACTGTCCCCTTTGCTGTGGGCTGCAAGCATTTGTCCAGACCGTCCGCCGTAGCCAGAATAACATCTTTGCCGAACTTGTCCCACAACGGCGTACCCGCGAGGTGCTGCATCAACAGGCTGCACCACTCTACCAGCACAAAGGCACTGTCAGGCGCAATGCCTTGTTTCTGTGTCTCCTGTCGGACTGCAGCAATCAAGGGCGCGAGAATGTCGGCATCTCCTATTTGGCAAAGCGAGATCAGGCACTTCTGAACTGCTTGTCGGGACGGTCGGTCGGTATAGAAGGCATGTGTCCAGAAGAGTACCTTGAGGGTACCGAGGGTCGCTGTCCTATCGAGGGCTAGATGGTAATACAACCAACCTATGTTAGCTTTGTCCCTTCTTCATTCTTTTTCCAAGCCCAATTCTGAGGGAGCGCATGCCCACTTACCCTTTTGCGATAGCTTCTCGTCAACTCCCCGCAATTGGGCGATCCGGGCAGTAGTGGACGACGAGGTAAGCGCAGCCCTGGCTTGTTCGAGATCGAAGCTGCCAGGGGTGTCGTTGGCAGCTGCTTCAGTCATCTTTGGTTCGGTTCTTGTTCGGGGTCGTGGAATGACATGGCCGGGCGGCAGAAACCCGCAGCCTTGTTCGAGGTGTTGCTGGCCCCGTTTTGTTTTGGGCCGTGATTCATCCAGAAGCTGATTTTCGGCGGGGACTCACATTTCGAAAGTGGGTTGCTCTTCTTGTGCTGGAGAGGAGGGGCTGGCTACACAGACAGTGTGAATTGTGCTCTTCAGGGGTTTGTTTACAGTCCGACACCGCGACCCCTGCTTACAGACTGCAATGAATTGGGAAGTATCCTCAACAGATTGGCCAGGTCTTTGCCCTCTGGTTTCCAGTCTTGCTTCTTATGCTCTCATTAGCGTTTAGATCCCTTGATAGCCAACGCTGGGGACTGGCTATCCACCATTCATTCGCTCGGTGAGCTTCGCGCACATGCCACTGTGGGAATAGCGACCCCCACATTCATTGTTGTGGGGTGCAGTCCCTGAAACGGTAGGCGGTCGTGTCCCGCATCCCAAACCCTGGAAGCCTGCTGCCCGAGTGGTAAAAATTCCGGGCATCTTCAGGCCTTACTGACGTCTTGGTCGGTGGAAACAACCCCGGCCATTCTCCGCTTTACAACTCACTTGTCGCCATCGCGTTTTCTCGAGCAGAATCTCGTCGCTATGGCCGGCAAGAAGAAAGCAAAGAAGCCCGCTGCCAACCCTGCGCGAGGATTTGCGACCACCTCCATCGCGTCAAAGGCCCGAGTCGACCCCGCTGAAGATCCGGGCGATAATACCCCGGCCGGCAGCATCAATGATGCCGCCCCGCCAACAAACGATGCCCCGCAACCGGCGACCAACAACACGAAGACCGAACAGAAAGCGCCAGCAGAGCAGCTGAGCCCCGAGGAATTTGAGAGGCAGTTAGAAGAGTCGGAATTGCAGCTTCTGGTTGAAAAATATGCACAAAAAGTTAGGAAGGATTCCCAGCGGCAAAAGACGCGGCTCGAAACCGACCGGCGGCTGCTTCGGGGCGCCGCCGAAACCCTTAACATAAAGAAATGGCTGCCCCAAGAGTTGATGGACCATATCCTGGGTCTCATACAAGCGGAGGGCCGATTTGCAGCTTCCAGTGTCTCGTCTGAGGGCGCAACTAGTAGATTACCCCCAGAAGAAGACTTGATAATTCGGCTGTGGACTCTGCAGGAGACGCTGGAGAACACGGGGTTTCCAGAGGACAGGATACAGCCGGCACTGCAGTTTGTTTTGGATATAGCGCCAAACATTCCGTACAATTCCAGAAGCGAGTTGATCTGGGGACTGGAAGAGGTGCTAGATTGGTTTGCGAGGGAGTGCTCCAAGGAAGAGCTCCCGGATTACTCGGGGCGCAAAACCGGATCTAAGTCCCAAACAGGTATGGAAACCTGCCTGTCGCGTTTTGCATCTCTGACGGTATTGATGTAGATACACCTACCGATACGCCTCCGAGGTCAGGGACACCCTTCGAGATCGATCCTCGGCTGGGTACCAAGTTGAAGGGTGGCGCACTCAATCGGTCACGCCCGGCCTCCCCGAAACGGCCAACTGTTACCTTTGACGAAGAAATTGAACCGGATCAGCTGCTTCCCTTTTACCTCGAGACCAAGACGAAGTTGTTTGAGATCCAGCGCCCTCGTCAAGATACAAACAAGCGCAGGGGGGCGAAGGAGAAGCCCGCCACTTCTGATGACCCGGAAGAAGCGTTGTTGCTGGCGAAGATTTCTCGTGTCGAGAAGGACGTTTTGTTCGATAAGTATGTGGCTGAGCAGCAGTGGAGAAACAAGAGGATAGTGCTAGAGAAGGAGTACGCTGCGGCAAGAGCAGAGGAGAAAAAGAAGGAGGCATCGGGGGAGACGCTGGAGGAGGCCCCGGCGCGAGACGACCCGAGCGATGTCAACGCGGAAGCTGAGCGCATCGCAGCTGAAATTCTCGCCGAAGATGACGATGACGAGACGTTAGCCGATTTGTTTGCGACATTACCGGTCAGCGAGGTTGACCCTGTGACGGGCAAGACCAACACTGTGATGAATGGGGTGGATGGGTCGAAACTCATTATCCGGGACTTTGGAAAATGGGCCGGAGTAACTCCAATGCGGGTTTTGGAAGAGGCCTGCAGATCTAGGTTGGAGTTCCTGATCGCCCCGGGGTGAGGTTCCGCTAACAATGTGTAGGGACTCATCTGTAAAGATATCCTACCATCTCCTTTCCGACGTCGCTTTCGCCAATCGACACGCCGTCAATATCGTCTGGTCGAAACCACAAGAGGTCCCGCCCGTCCCCGACATCCCCGAGCTTGAAGTATTCACGTCACCCACTCAGTTTGTCTACAAGATGCAAACCATCGCCGCACCCGACGCCAAGCAGTCCGAAGCCTTCATCGCTACCACTGCACTATTTTGCGTCTTCGGGTTCTCGGCTAAGGAGGAGAAGGTGGCGCTCAGGCTACCTGCCGTATGGAAGGACCTGTGGTCCGAGTATTCCGAGGCCAAGAAGAACAAGCTTGACGCAGCAGACCGCGAGGTCTTGAGGCACATCCGGGATCTCGTGCGCAAGAGAGTGGAACAAGAGCTGGAGGACGGCGTGCTCATTCAGGGTTTCAAGGGCCGCGGCCAATCTAAAAGCCAAATAGACTCGGATCAGTCTGACCAAGAACGGGCGAAACGGCAGCCTTACGGACCCGAATACTACCAAAACATCTGGCTGCAAAAGAGCAGCTCGCCAAGATATCAGCATATGCTGGCATCACGCATGCAGCTACCCATGTGGCAGTTCCGGCAACAAGTGGTCGATATTGTCGACAAACACCAGGTTGTTATTATCTGTGGCGAGACTGGGTGCGGCAAGAGTACCCAGGTGCCTTCGTTCTTGCTAGAACACCAGCTGCTCCAAGGCAAACCTTGCAAGATCTATTGCACAGAACCGCGGCGTATCTCAGCCATTTCCCTGGCACGCCGTGTGAGCGAGGAACTCGGCGAAAGCAAGGCCGAGCTTGGTACGAACCGGTCTCTTGTAGGCTATTCCATCCGGCTTGAGTCGAACACGGCTCGGGAGACCCGACTTGTCTACGCCACAACTGGTATTGTCATGCGCATGTTGGAGGGATCCAACGATCTAGCAGACATCACCCATTTGGTGCTCGACGAAGTCCACGAGCGCTCTATCGACAGCGACTTCCTGCTAATCGTGTTGAAGAAGTTGCTAATGCGGAGGAAAGACCTCAAGGTCGTGCTGATGTCGGCCACGGTTGATGCCGAACGCTTCTCCAACTACCTGGATGGCGCGCCGGTTCTGACGGTTCCGGGGCGAACTTTTCCCGTCCGAGTTGCATATCTTGAGGACGCGATCGAGTTGACGGGGTATACCGTTGACCAGCGAAACCAAGAGAAGCTCACAGAACTTGATGACGACGTGGAACTGGAGGTTGATATATCGTCGAAGCCCGAGTTGCTCAAGGGGCTGAAGAACTATTCGGCCCGCACTCGAAACACGCTCGCTCAGATGGACGAATACCGAATGGAGTACGATTTGATCGTACAGCTGATCTCGAGGATTGCCGTTGACCCAGATTATGCCTCGTTCAGCAAAGCAATTCTGGTCTTCCTCCCCGGTATTGCTGAAATCCGCACGCTCAACGACATGCTTCTTGGGGATCGGACTTTCGCCGAAAACTGGCTCGTGTATCCGATGCACTCCTCCATTGCTAGCGAGGAGCAAGAGGCAGCCTTCCTTGTCCCGCCACCAGGCATGCGCAAGATAGTGCTGGCCACCAATATTGCCGAGACGGGTATCACAATCCCCGACGTGACATGCGTCATTGACGCGGGCAAGCACCGAGAGATGCGTTTCGATGAGAGACGGCAGTTGTCACGGCTCATTGACTCGTTCATCTCGCGTGCCAATGCGAAGCAACGCCGTGGCCGCGCTGGCCGTGTTCAGGAGGGTCTTTGCTTCCACCTTTTCACCAAGTATCGGCACGATACATCGATGAACGACCAGCAAACACCTGAAATGCTGCGTCTGTCACTCCAAGATCTGGCCATTCGCGTTAAGATTTGTAAAATTGGCGGTATTGAGGAGACGTTGAGCCAGGCACTGGATCCGCCGTCGGCCAAGAATATCCGCCGCGCGATTGATGCTCTTGTCGATGTTCGTGCCTTGACAGCCACGACGGAGGAGCTAACGCCACTTGGTCTCCAGCTTGCACGCCTGCCGCTTGATGTCTTCCTCGGAAAGCTCATTCTCATGGGTGCTGTCTTCAAGTGCCTTGATATGGCCATCACTGTGGCCGCTATCCTCTCCTCCAAGTCTCCATTTGTGGCGCCGTTTGGTCAACGAAACCAAGCCGACACTATTCGCAGGGGTTTCCGCAAGGGCGACTCGGACCTACTAACGGTCTACAACGCCTACACAGCCTGGAAACGCGTTTGCCAATCCACAACATCCGGCGGCGCCGAGTTCCAATTCTGTCGCAAGAACTTCCTCGCATCCCAAACACTCGCCAACATCGAAGACCTTAAGGGTCAACTGCTCGTCGCTGTCGCCGACTCTGGCTTTTTGCAGCTCACCGAAACCGAGCGCCAGGCGCTTAGGAAGCTACGCTTCAGCGGCCGACGGCGCCACCAGGCCTTCTTCGACGTCCCCAAACGTGTCAATAGCAACAGCGACAATGAGGTTGTCACGCAGTCCGTGATTGCCTGGAGTTTCTACCCCAAACTCCTCGTCCGCGACCCTGGCAGCAAGGGCCTACGCAATGTCGGCAACAACCAGTCCATCAGCCTGCACCCGAGCAGTGTTAACAAGGGTTTCAACGACATTCGCTGGCTAAGCTACTACCACATTATGCAATCCAAAGCGTAAGCCCACCACACACACTCCACCCCCCTTCACTTCTCCCCCAGCGAACCTCCCTCTTCTTTTCACCAGCCACTAACCTCCGCCATCCCCCAACTACAGCTTCTACAACGCGCACGAAACCACCGCGACCGACCCCTTCGCGGTCGCGCTCCTCTGCGGCGACGTGCGCGCGGACCTGTACGCGGGGGTGTTTGTGCTGGATGGCAACCGCGCGCGCTTCGCGCTGCCCGACTGGAAGTCGGTGCTGGTGCTCAAGGTGCTGCGCGCCCGCCTGCGCGAGATGCTCACCCGCTGCTTCCGCAACCCGGGCCGCCTGCCCACCGCCCAGCACGAGCGCTGGCTCGAGGTCTGGCAGCGCGTCTTTGCCCTCGCTCAGGAGAACCGCGTCAAGGCGGCGGCGGCTGCCGCCGCTGCGGAGCGCTAGAGGCGCTGTTGAGCGGGGCAGGGGCAGGGGCGGGCTGGACGATGCTACCTGGGTATGCGGGGGTGGGTTGTTGTTGTTGTTGTCTTGTTGGTGTTGTGTTGTGGGGGTTGCTCGGGTTTGGGGGGCTGTTCCCTCGTTTTGTGGGAGGAGCGGTCGCTGGAGGGTTTGGTCCTGCCTTCCGGAAGGCGGAAAGGGTGACGGGGGGTTGGACATGCACGGCTGTTGGGGAGTTTGTGTTCTTTAGAGAGGGCCATGGATACCTGGAGCCGGCTACCCGGTGAATGCATTGCATGCGGTATTGTAAGGTAATAGATCTAGTTTCCCTGGCTGCTTTGGCTGTAGCCGAAGCCCCCAGTGAAACATTGAAGTTGTTTTGTGACTTGGCTGAATCCTTGTATTGTTGATGCTCATTAATGGTTGCTTCACGCTTGGATCGTCTGGCTTGCCTTCTTCTTTTCCCCATTCATGGGCCGTTTTAGCTCTTGTTTATCCGTTGTCGAGTTTTTACCTCTTCTTTTCCACTCCAGGTAGCTAACAATACTGCGATCCCATTTCTCCCTTTTATCCTTTCTTCCTCTCCCTCCCTGCACCCCTCCCTGATCTCCAGACACAGCGCGCCCTCTTCAGCCGAGGCCGGTTCAGCCCTGAAACCCGGTTCCCTGTTTCTGCGAATCAAATCACTTGCTGATGTCACACACTTCGCCAGCCACCGAACCGACCAATCTGGGGGTCCCACGAGAATTTCAATCTCCCCTAGCCCAAGTCAGGCGGCCTTCTTCAGCCCTCGACCTCATGCATCTCCCGAAGCAGGCGCTTACAGACAAATTACCAGCCCCCGTCTCACACCGCAACTCTATTTCAACCTCCTTCCTGTCCTCGGATCTCCCCTGTCTCACCACAACTATTTTCCTTGGTCACCACTACATCACAACACCATCCTCACCTACAAACAATCTAGACAACGCCTCACATTTGAAGTTGCACACTCGCAATCCACCATCGCACCACCATCGACTTATCTCGAAAAAAAGCCCAAAATGCCGACCGTCGACGAGCCCAAGCTGCAAGCGCCCATGGAGGCCGCCAACCCCGCACCGCTGCAAGACGGCAAGACCATCGTCGCAACGCAACCGGTGAGGCATTATTTCTCCGTCCCTTGGCTTTCATCCCAAACAGTACATACCTACCCAGGTAGCCTTGCAGTACGCTGACATGTTTCTCTAGCGATCTGAGCCGCGCCCGACCATGGAGAACGAGATGACGCTGCGCGGCGGCGGCATGACGCACTATTGCGGTTTCTCGTGTTGCAAGGGCCGGTGCAATTTCCGTTTGTGTTGAGCGGATTGAATGTGGTGGGACGTGATGTGCGCAGAGCAGAGTAGGGTGGAGGGAGTCCGGGGAGTCCGGAGTCTCAGGGGGTCACGGCACTTATGAACAGTCGTCTCTTTTATTTAGTCTACAACAAATCCGCGATCCTTGACAAACTAATACAGTTCGGAACAAGGCTCCGCCTCGAGCCGTCATTTCAGATGCCCGAAGAGCCCTCCTCTCGCTACATGTGATGGCCAGTTTCTCCCCAACGTAGCGCGTGTCTCAAAACGACCCAGTGGCTCCAGGGCCCAGTCCCCAGACAAAATGTCGAGCTCCTGATGGTAAAGGTTGTGTGGATCTCGCCAATCCTCGTGATGCGCTTCTCGTCCGCCAGTGTTTCCGCGTGCCCCAATCGTATCATGCCGCCATCACTGTCCTCATAGCCTGGAGATGGGCAGGGGAGCTCGGCCACACGCTGCAACGCGCGGGTGTTGGTGTGGTGAACATATCGGTTGTAAGTGGTATTGTAGGGCGGCATTGTCTCATTTATGATTGTGTGGTCTTGGTCCGGGTTCAGATCCAACAGGTGTCCGGCCCTGGTTCTTTTACGTTGGTAATATAAGAAACTTTTGAGGTCGGAAGTGTCTCTGCCATATGCGTCGCGCCACCCAATATCTGGCCACAGTCTTGGTACGTGATTGTGAAAGACAGCAGCCTTGGGGCCTCATCGTCTGATATCCACCAACCGATCTCCTGAGATCAGCTACTTTCTATGTGGGCCGGCAACACTAAACCCTCCCTGGACATTTAGCTTTTAATACTACCGAGGTAGTCTCAGCGGGCATTAGTGTGAACGCCACCTCCCAAGGCAGGACATCGGTGTCGGTTCCGGGGCCGTTAGTTTAGCATCGGTCTCGGTCGAAGCACAGTCGTCACAGCCACACATCTCCTTGGATTACATTATATAAGTCTAACGCCATGTGCTAGCCTTGACTCGTCGTGCCACATTTCTTCACCTCAACGTAGATGGTGTCTCGTGTACCAAAACTTACACAAAACAAACTGAAACGCGTGGCTCAACTCCCCAACCTAACCTAACTATGAACATTCTGCCTTGTTGCGGTCAATGACAGCTCCAGCTTTTCTGTTTCAAATGTCAACTCACGTTTTCACTGCCCTATTTGCATTCAAGTTAATACAACCCCATATAATTCAGTCCACGGGTACCGTAACTCACCCAAGGCGTTGCCCCGGCCACAACCTCCTAGGCTCCTACTCGTTTTCGCCCATCTAATGCCAGGTTACCAATGAAGGTCTGCGCAGTGATGCTAGATTGCAACGCTAGATACATACGAATTTCTCGAACAAAGCCTATACACAAAAATCAGCGAAGCGTTCACGAGTTTCAGAAGCAGACCGTCCATCTTCATACCCTGGTGGCGGACTGGATGGCTTCCTAAACAGAACACTCTGGTTAACATCATACAAACACAACAAAACCACCAAAGTTCGGCTCTCTAACCTCAGCCTTCGACAAACTAGTCAGTCTCCGCATTACGGTTTTCGGGCTTCTGTTAAACTTACTTGGGCCTTCTTGGCAAACGTCTTCCACCCACGGCAGGTCAGCTCAGTCGTTACATCAATCAATTGTTTACATGCTATAGCATGTACATACCGCCGCCTGCCTGCAAAGGTCCTGTACCACGATGATATGAGCCATCCGGTACCTGGTTATTCCATTATCAGGAGTCACTCACTTGATGCTCCTGTTGGAGCAGCTTCGTAGACGTTAGTATCACTTCGGGAGAGTCTTTGGTGAAGTATATAAGACCAACCGCAATCTCCCCTTCCAGTTTCAAAGAACCACATGTTAGCAGGTAATAAATACCACCAAACCGTTGCCGTTTGGTTGAGACGAGCCAAAATGATCAGGCGACATTGGTAGTGATGTGGATAATACCTTGACCCGAGTCAACGCCGCCCAAAAAACACCCACGATATCTGTTAGTGGCGATAGGATCAGGCTTTAGGAGGACCAATATCGTACGCATGCTTGTCGCAGACAATCCTTTAAGCGGGTCAGTGTTGCACAATGCCACGTGTGATAAGGAGGTAACTACTAACGTCCGCCTTCTTCTGGAAGTCCTGGTGGAGAGAAGAGAGGTTAGTAGTCAGCTGGGACCAAAACCTGCTTCCAGTTGCCGGCATCTTACTTCAGCAGAGTCCTCCTAGAGAATTGTCAATTAAACCCCATCAACCTGTCAAAGGGCCGACAGGACCGTCTTTTGCCGGCTGGGAGATGGAAATACTGACGGGTTTCTGGGTATCGTTGGCCTAGTAATCCATGTCAGCATAGGTTCCGTGAAAATATTATCGCAATGACAACACTCATACCGCCTTCTTCGAGCAAGCATGGGGTCCGTGGCCCCAGCGGCCGCAAAGTTCACACTTCGTCTATCCGAGCGTGGTATTAGCAATTCTTGAGCCCCATTGGCATCAAGGCGACCTACGCGGCCCGTCGTTATGTATTAATAGTGTTGGAAGACCAACAGCCACTGACCCAAGGTATCACACACACAGGAAGATGGGAATTCACACGGCTGAGGCTAGGAGGCTATGAGACTCTGCCAAAATCAATTGTCCTTGTCCCCCTCTTCCCTCTGTAAGCGGGTTCCAAACCCGTGATATCTCTCTCTGAGCAGCGATGGTGGCACCGCATGCAACCGCACCTGTGTGACGAACCTACTTCAGGACCCTGTCCTGTTAGGGTTCAGCTTCGGTTGAAGGTAATCTCTCAAGGGTGCTTAGGTTCGGTGCAGCCAAAGGGTGCACAACAAAGACTTGTCTCAACAGTAGGCTTTCGAGCTTGTAGCGAACTGTAGTTGTGATTGCTAACTGGAGAACTCCCAGAGCTCTCCAGAACGAGTGACTATATACCTAGCTAATTCCAGGGTGCTCAGTGTGCTCAGTCTGCCCTTGGCAACTGGGCTCACTGATCACTGTCGAGCTATTGTTATCCTGATTGGTGATCTTTACCTGGTGCTCAGTGTGCTCAGTGTGCTCAGTCTCGGCTTGGCGACTGAGCTCACGGATCACCTCGATCACCTTCCTGGCTCCCTGATTGGTCCTTTTAATGATTGCCTCGGGGCGTCCCGCGACTTGAGGTCCCTCCCTGTTGGCATATTCGTGACACTTAGTGATGCCTTTCTTTACCGGCTCGTAAAAAGAGTAAATTAAATTGAAGGAAAGAAACCTAGTGAAATATAAAGGAGACTTCGGGCTTTGGAATGGCTTTCTTTTCGTTCCTTTAATCAAATCTTTCGGCGGCATTTCATTTAGGTACCCTTGGAGTTCGGCTTTTTTGGCCAGAGAGTGCGAGATACCCCGCCCAAACAAAAGAAAGCGCCGGGCCTGTATTGTCACCCGGAATTGTCCCCCGGAATTTTCCCCCGGAATTGTCACCCAGAATATCACCACAGTATCTAGTTAAGCCCTCGAAAATACTCAAGACTGACTGACGCGGGGGGTGAAGCATCTGCGCTTGTTCGTCTGGGTGCAATGTGGCGGTGGCGGAGCCCAATAATTCCAGTCCAGTCAGGAGGCCCCGGGCCCTGGAGGTTCCAGTTCAATTCCGGTGGCAGTCCAGCCCCAAGGCTGGGAGGAGCTCAGCCACTTCTCCAGGTGTCACTAAAGTGCTTCGTCGACCTCTGATACATCTTGTCCCATTCCATCTCGTCTCGATCATGGCACATGGCTCATTATACAAGTCGTCAATATGGGCGCTGATGGGCCTGCTCAATTCCCCGCACGCGCGCAGAGCCTTCGCATTCTTTGCATTGATGGCGGCGGCATCAAAGGGTACACGGCCCTTCTCATCCTGCGCCGCATCTTCCGCACCCTCTCTGCCGACATGGGCGGAAATCTCTCGCCGAGACCATGTGACATCTTCGATCTCATCGCCGGCACCTCGACCGGAGGCATCATCGCTGTCATGCTCGGCAGGCTGCACATGACCATCGACGAGTGTATAGAAGTGTATGAGCGTCTCGGCAAGGACGTCTTCGGCAGGCCTGTCGGCGGCCAGGTCGGTCGAGTTCTCAGAGGAATGACAAGCTCCCCTTTCTATGATATCGCAGATCTACAGCAGTCCATCCGATCTGTCTTGAGGGCAAGGGGCATCGAGTCGGACGAACCCTTCATTGAGAGAGAGGGGCCGGGGTGCAAGGTGTATGTATTCATCGGATTGCATCAGTCAAATTCTACCCATCGAGGAGTGGTTATCGCCCGGCATACTAATCACTGGCAGGATCTTGTGTGCAACCCGGGTCGAAACCGGCAAGGCAGACGTCCTCCGCAACTACAAATCCGGCCATCCCACGGCAGAGAATTACTCCTGTCGAATATGGGAGGCTGCAAGTGCCACCGCTGCCGCTCCCATGTACTTCAAGAGCGTCAAGTTTGCGTCTGGCGGGGAGCGCTGGTGTGACGGAGCTATCCGACGAAACAACCCCATCGACGAAGCCCTCGCCGAGCTCGCCCGGGAGCCCGAGTGGCGGAACAGAGAAATAGGGTGCATCTTGAGCCTCGGGACCGGGCTGGCCCGGAGCCGGTCCGTCTCGTCCAACCTGGCCAGCTTTCTCAAGGGAGCGCTCAAAATGTTGACCGATGCCGAGGACACGGCCAAGGTTTTCTCGGCTTCTGCTCTCGGGAGACAGCTCGCGCAGACGTGTCGCTACTATCGATTCAACGTCCCGCATGGCATGGAGGACTTACAGCTCGATGAGTGGAAGGCCACGGAACGAATGAAGGCCCTGACGACAGAATATCTCAGCCACGCCGACAATGGCGATGCCATCCTGAGTTGCGCAAAGTCCCTGCTATATCCCGATGAGAATTGTGAGTCTAGCCGCAGCTCTAGCACAGCCGCATCATTAGTACCTAGATAAAATTCCTTGAAGTTCGGTACTGATATTGCGTTTTGGCAGTACAACGAACTCTTAAAACCAAGGTGTCCTTAACGCCGCATCTCCCCTGCGCCCACTTCATAAGACGCGCAGCCTATGACGAGACATTGCGAGAATTCTTTCGTCCAGAGATGGGTCCTACCCAGATCTTTGCCCTCTGGGGTCTTGGAGGCGTCGGGTGAGTCTCATAGTCTGTGCGAGGCCTGTGATTGACAGCTAACCTTTATTTTCCCGGCAAGAAAAACTCAGATAGCGTTGCAATTTGCCCAGAGCATGAAGGATAAGCTATCTGTTTTCTGGATTCGTGCAGACAGCCTAGCCAACTTCATCGCCGACTTCTCGCGTCTTCTGCCTCTCTTAGACCCTGAAGCGGGCAAATCCGCGTCGTCGCTAGATGTGACATCTCTGCTGGAGAAAACTCGAGACAAGCTGGAAGCCCAAGCTGGCGAGTGGTTACTGATTCTGGACAACGCGGACCATCTAGGCGATTTTGTTGGGACCTCGGCCAAGAGCGAACTCAGCATCTCCAAGTATGTGCCCAGGCGAGGACGGATTCTGATAACCACCAGGGACCGGCGATTCCAGGGATCCGTTGCTGCCGCGAGTGATGGGCTATGTGTTGAGCCCATGACATTGTCAGAGGCGACAGAGCTGCTGCTCAAGTCTGTTCCCAAGCACCTCGTTCAGCCCAGTGCTGTTAATACGCTCATGGCAAACGACTTGGTCGAGGAGCTGGGCTGCCTACCCCTCGCCATTGCCCAGGCAGCTGCGAATATTGTCGACCAACAGATGTCGTTCTCTGAATACGTGGGTCTCTTTCGGCATGAGAAGAGACGTCGAGCTGATCTGATGAATTCACCAGCTTATGACTTTGCAAACAAAGACCCCCGAAACGGCAGTTCATCAGTGGCCATAACTTGGAAAATCTCCATCGACGCTTTGGAGCGGCAGTCACACCTGTCTGTCACGTTTCTGGAATATCTCGCCTGTTTTCACTGGAGAGATGTTCCTCAGTCGCTGCTGAGGCATCTTCCCGAGTTCCGCGACCTCGATGATATCTCATTTCTCCGCCTCACCAAGAAACCACTGGCGCTGTCTCTGATCGACCAGACGCTGGATCAGGACCCGACGCTTTCCACCTACAGCGTCCACCCAGTACTTCACGAGATCATGACGGATGAGCTCTCCGCCCAGGATAAGTGTCGAATGTTGGATCATCTCATGCCCAACATGTCTCGACTTTTTCCCACCGCGCCGTACCCAACAGCGGAAAGCTGGCCGCTAGCTTCGCTTCTGGCTCCCCATCTATCTCGGCAGCTGAGCCTCTGTCAAGAGGTCGGGTACAGCTCGTCAGCGGTCGCCACACTCATGTTTAGCCTCAGTCGATTCCACAGCCTTTCTCGCATGCAAGAGGCTGCTGCCGACCTGGCCGAGGCCGGTCTGGCCATGGCAGGCGAGACATTTGGGGCTGACGACGATTTGATACCGCATTTCCGACAGAACGCAATAGAGAGGCTGGACGAGGCCGGGAGATATGACAGCGTGGAGGCGGAATGCTCGTTAGCCTTGGAGCGCCTGGAACTGCGAGCTTCATCTCTCGATAGGACAGCTTACAACAAGGAGAAGGTGAAAATTTTAACCTTTTTGTTCAACGCCATCCGGGGGAGACATGACTATCAACGTCTTGGAGCAGTAAACGAAGAGCTGCTTCGGTGCCAGCAGCTTGAGCAATGGTCACCCGGAGAAGATGCGCTCCACCGGCATAACCTAGCTTATGGCTTGCTCCGCAGCGGCAAACGCGCTGAGGCCAAAGAGATCAACGACGAACTCCTCCGATACTGCGAGACGGACGAGGGGATCAAAGTGGTGGGCAAAAAACTGCACCTGATCATGTTGAATCTCAAGGTGCTAGTCATGCGAACGGGGACGGACGTCTGGCTGAATCTCGACGAGATCGTGGCCCTCTACGAGCGCATCTTCTTGGAGCACCTCTCCCACTTCGGCATAAACGACAAGGAAACCTGGATCTCCCTGAACAACTGCTTGGGCTCCCTTAGTCAGGCCCTACGGATGGATGAGGTGGGGGATGTGCTCTGGGCCGTGCTACCTGCCGCCATCGGCGCGAATGTCAAGGCCGACGGGAGCATCGCCATATCTATGCTGGAGATCTACGGCGTCGCCATGCTTTACCGGGACTACCTTTCTAAAAGGAGAGCAGTGGACGGAACCGAAACCGCCACGTCGCGCGCAACCGAGTTTGCACAGCTCCTCGAGCGATGGAGCTATGTCGCCGGGATCCAAAAGACTCCAAGACCTGTAGATTATGTCCCTACACCGGCAGAGCTAAACTCGCTCAACTCGCACGGCGTTTACCACCAATTCCACGGACGGTATCGAGAGGCAGAGGCCATGCACCGACGTGTCATCCAAGAGTTACGGGATCAGCCGGACGATCCACTAAATCCGCTTTCGCATTATAACCTTATGCTAGCAATAGCCAGAGATGATCGAGAAGATGAGGCTTTCGCTTTTAGACGCGAACACGCGCACCTCATCGCGCCGATGGAGGCTATATATGGGACGTTGGAGCAACGGCAAGACGAACGGCAAAAGGAGATGAGTGTTTACGAAGAGGCAAAGGCGCTGATCGAGCGAGGGTCCCTGCGGAGGAGCGACCAGTGGTGGCTCGATAATGGTGCTGTTGTTGGTCGAGTAGGCTCCCGTCTTGGACACAAGCTCGCGCCCCTGGAATGAATGCATTCCGTGTGTGGTTTGAGCAAGAGACGCTCTCTTTCTCCTCGGAGTACATCGAAATCTAGCATTGCTGCACAGATCATTGGTAACCTGGCATTACTGATGATGTCTCAACAAGAGGAGGAGGAGGAGGGAATGGCCGGGGCCTCAGGAGCAGTTGCGGTGCTCATGTATTACACAACTGGGAGCTTTTCGGTCGGCTTTTGACAGTAAAAAGTGCATTGACCCCTCAACTTAAGATTGGGAGCCCACTCGACCAACAATAGCACCATTATTGAGTCTCAAGGGGCCGCGACACTTATGAACGGTCGTCTCTTTTATTTAGTACACATCAAATCGGCCATCCTCGACAAACTAATATAGTACAAAGCCAAACTCTTCTCATGTTTTGTTTACTTTTACAGCTCCATCCCATTCCTTCGGGGGATCAATGAGAACCAGTAACGAGCGGCTTTCCGTCCCGTCCGGAGGTTGCGAGATGTACCTACCCGGGTGGCCTTGAGAGCCCCCACGGTCGGCCTTGCCACATTGAGTTATTCCATTCATAGCGGACAAGGAAGGCTCCGCAGGCTGTCTTCCCGCGCCTTGAGGGCAATTTCCACCGTTGGCCTCCGGCCTAAGTGGTTACTGCCCTGCGATGGTCCACCTAAGTCCAGCTTGCCGCATATCACACAATCCCAAGTTGAAGAGCGCGCAGTATCACCTTCCCTAAAGGCCAATCGTCCGCTGTCGTTTTGCTTAGTGAACCGGGTGTCTGGGGTGGATGATGAACTCCCGTCTTTCTCTCCAACCACTAGCTCAACATCCATCGACAACCCGCTTTCTTTCTCCGTGTTGTGTATGTACCGTAATTACTAGAATTTCTGAGCCTTTCAAAGCCCAAAACACTGGGATATAGACACTGCTGACGTTCATTTTCTAATGGGAATAGAACGACCGTAACATGTAGGTTCGCCCAGGCCGTATGATTCTTTTGTTTGATCTTTTCCTTTTCCGTCGTGAATCGTAATTTCAGAGCTCCATATTTGAGATAATACTATGTGCTAACCAGCGCGGCATTGGCAGACTTAAACCTACCAAGTTTGTCCTTGACCTTTGTGACTATGCCGAACCATGCATTAACCAAGGGTGTTTCGGAATCAGTCTTTGACATCACAAGTAGGCTCACTCTATCCATCCGAGCCTCCATTTTTGCTAACTTTTCCAAGCCATGGTGAAGAACGGTACGTCAATAGGGTGACCGCCGTGTGGGCCCTAAGCCCATAACGTTCGTTGAGACAACATTTCGTGCTAATGCTGGCGGCGGTGGTTGTAGCAGTCCAAAAGCCAAGTTGTATCGCCCCACCGCTTCGGCCGTCTCCTACGACTGCTAACCGGACCATTGCTAAAGATAGAAACAAAATCCAAAAGCGTAAGTTCGACGTGCCATCTTTGACTTGGTAAATGACATTGCTAATACATCACGACAGGCCAAGTAGGTCCCCCTGAGGCCCACGGGGGCTCAAAAATCGCTAATACAACGCCTGGATAGACGAAGTGTGAACTTTGCGGCCGCCGGGGCCACGGACCCCATGCCTGCTCGAAGAAGGCGGTATGAGTGTTGTCATTGCGATACTATTTTCACGGGGAGAATCTACGCTGACATGAATTACTAGGCCAACTATACCCAGGAACCCGTCAGTATTTCCGTCTACCGGCCGGCGAAAGACGGTCCTGTCGGCCCTTTGACAGGTTGATGGGGTTTAATTGACAATTCTCTAGGAGGACTCTGCTGAAGTAAGATGCCGGCAACTGGAAGCAGGTTTTGGTCCCACCTGCCTATTAACCTCTCTTCTCTCCACCAGTACTTCCAGAAGAAATCAGACGTTAGTACCTCTTCACCACACATGGCATTTCGAAATACTAACCGGCATAAAGAATTGTCTAAAGAAATCAAGCGTATGGTATTGCTCCTCCGAAGTCACCAACAGAGATTGTGGGTGCTTTTTTAGGCAAACTTGCAAAGGATCGAGGTATTATCCAAATCACTACCAGTGACGCCTAATCACGTTGGCACTAAACGGCAACGGTTTGCTGGTATTTGTTATATACTAACATGTGATTGTTAGAAATTGCAAGAGGAGATCGCGGTTAATATTATATACCTCTCCAAAAACTCTCCCAAAGCAATACTAACATCTACAAGCTGCTCCAACAGGAGCATGAAGTGAGTGATTTCCTTATGGGGAATACCCAGGCACAGGATAACTCATAACAATGTGGTACAGGCTCTCTGTCAAGAGGCGGTGGTATGTGCATGCGATACCATGCGGGGGGTTGATTGACTTAGCGGCTGAGCTGACATACCGTGCGCGGAAGGCTTTTACGAAGCAAGCCCAAGTACGTTTAACAGAAGCTCCAGGACCGTGATGCGAAGGCTAACTCATATATCTAGGCCGTAAAAGCTTCGGGTGAGGTCAGCAATCCGGAGTTTTGTAACTTGATGATATGTCAATGATGTTAACCTGAGTGTCTTGTGCAGAAGGCCACGTCGGCAACGAAGGTATGAAGACAGACGATATGCCAGTGAACACTTTGCTGATTTTTGTTCACAGGCCTTCTATAGTAAACTTGTATGTACCTGACGCCAAAATCTAGCATTGCTGCACAGATCATTGGTAACCTGGCATTAGTTGTCTCAAGAGAAGGAGGAGGAGATTGCGCCCGCGGCCTCGGAAGGGTTGGTTGAGTTGGGGTACCCGTGAACCCAATTATATGATGTTGTACTAACTTGTAACTATGCAAATAGATATGTGATAACGTGAGTCTACATTTGAAACCAAAAAGTCTGGAGCTGTCATTAACCGCAGATGAAAGAATAGGTACTCATGATTAGGTTAGGGTTGGGGGATGAGCCCCGTGCTTTACGTTATTTTGAGTGAGTCTTGCCACGTCAGTCACCATCTAAGTCGAGGTGAAGAAATGTGGTATGACGAGTCAACACTTACACATGGGGTTAGACTTACATAAATTTAGGGGGATGCGTGTGGCTGTGGCAACTATGCTTCGATCCAGACCGATGCTGAACTAACTACTCAGGAACCGACCCCGATTTCCTGCCTTGAGAGGTAATGTCCACACTAATGCCCGCTGCAACAGTTAGATGTCCAGCGAGGGTTTAGTATTGTCCCCCACACCACTTCGACAGCAACCACTTGAACCCCTCCATGGTGTCGTTCCCCCTCTTCTTGGATGCCTCCAGCTCCGGGTACATATCCCACCAGCAGTGCGGAAACCCGCTATACAAATCCAGCCTGGTCGGCACGCCACACTCCTCTCTCAACACCCTCTCATAAATCAACCCATCGTCTCGATTCAAGTCCATACCACACACCTGAAAATACGTCTTCGGCATCCCGCCATGCCCCTTCTTCACATCAGCCTCGCACCCGCCCTGCACAAACGGCGCCCACAGCGGCGACGTCCTCTCGGGCGCGACAGCCGCCACAAAAGCCTTCATAAACCCCTCATCAGCCACCGGCGCCCCCTTATTCTGCTCTCTGGACAAATACCTCGCCCTATACTGCTCCGGGACGCGGCCCTCATCCATAAAAGCGCCGCACACCAAAAACAGCCCCGACACGGCCGGCCACAACCCCGCATCCCGCGCCAAGTGCGCCACCACATCGGCAAAATTGGCGCCCGACGACGCGCCCCCGACGATGAACCCCGCGTCCGGGTCGGCCTGCGCGGGGAGAAGCGTGCGCTCGGCGGCGGGGAGGGCGGCGTCGTGGGCGACGGCCTGCAGGAGGGCCCAGGCGTCGTGCAGCATGGTGGGGAAGGGGGATTCCGGGGCCTTGCGGGTGGAGGGGAGGACGACGGTGGCGTGGTGGGTTTGGGCGAGGCGGCGGGCGAGGGGGAGGTCGAATTCGGGGGCTCCGAGGACGTGGATTCCGCCGTGGAAGAGGAGGATGATGGGGGATGGGGTTCCAGGGTTTGGAGTGGCCTGGGTCGGGCTCGGGTGGCAGAGCAGGACACGCGAGGCGAAGCCCGTGCTCAGGGGTACGGTGTGCTCCGTCTCGGTCAGGTCGGCCGGGCGGGAGGCGGAGAGCTGGGCTTGCAGGTTGGGCACGCTGTCCGAAACGATGCGCTTGAGCGTCACGACGTCGGTGGGCATGGAGCCCGGGGGCGAACCGCGCGCTTTCCAGGCGGCTTCGAACTCCGGGTTCATGATGCCCGTGGCGAGGATCTCCTCGGTGGTTTGGGGGACGGTGGCCATGGTGAGACTGTGAGAGAGTTATTAAAGTTCAATAGTGATTGGCGAGGTTGCTAAGTTGCGAACTTGGGATATGCTCAATAGAGGACCTGCGACCTTTGTTTGCGTCGGTACAAAAGATTGATTCACTGCATGTTCTAAGGGCCGTTACTTAGATCATTATATAGAAATTATAATCTCCAGTGCAGTGTCTTGCATGTCTGATCTTGACGATGAAGGCCAAGACGTGGCCCAGACAAGCCCAACAACTTAATACAACCCCATGAATTGTTCTGATCCCGGCTCCGAAATGCCTTGCAGATACGCGAAAAGCAATGCTCGGCCATTGGATTCAAGTTAACGGGAAGCAGCGTTTATCCCAATTGGGTGGTATCGAGTCGGGCTGACTCACTCGGCGATTTCTTGTTCCTTGCTCGCCCCGGGGATATGTTCAACGTGTGAAACATTGAAACTTCCTCCGTCTTCATCCGCAATCCTCATTCCCCATTTCCCCCTTGTTCACCTCCAGCAATTCTCTCTGAGAACTAACAGGCCAAAAAAAATAAAAATAAAAATCGGTGCCACAATGTCACGAATATGCCAACAGATGGGGCTCGGGAGGCGCAGGGCACCAGAGCCAATCGCTAAACGAACCAATCGGATCGAAGGACAAGGACGCCGGGATGCAAGTGCTATGGTGCTATGACGCTAAGACCAGACATAGCACTTAGCAACATAGCACCAGGCATCCCGCACCAAAGGTACGGCGGTACCTTTGGGTTTCAAGAGGTATATAGTCACCCGTTCTGGAGAGCTCTGGGAGTTCTCCAGTTAACAATCACAGCTACAGTTCGCTACAAGCTCGGAAGCCTACTGTTGAGACAATGTGACGAACCTACTCCAGGACCCTGTCCTGTTAGGGTTCAGTTTTGCTTCAAGGTAATCTCTCAAGGATGCTTAGGTTCGGTGCAGCCAAAGGGTGCACAACAAAGACTTGTCTCAACAGTAGGCTCCTCGAGCTTGTAGCGAACTGTAGTTGTGATTGCTAACAGGAGAACTCCCAGAGCTCTCCAGAACGAGTGACTATATATATACCTAGCTAATTCCTGAGTGCTCAGTGTGCTCAGTGTCCCCCCGAGTTTGAAGACACTGATCACTTCCGTTCTTGTGTCCTGATTGGCTGCATGGCTTCCATGCTCAGTGTGCTCAGTTTCCCGTTGTTCCCCGTTCCCTGATCACACTGAGCACCTTCCAGCCTCTCCTGAATTGGTTCCTGAAACGACTGGCTCGGGGCGTCCCGCGCCCCCGAGGTCCCACCTGTTGGCATATTCGTGACATCTGACCAGTATTTCTTGTTTCTTCCTTCGTCCTGCCCGAGTGTGCTCGGGTCTCACTTTGTTAAGGCGGCTCGACCGCTTCGACTACGATTCGAATTTGCCATTGAGAGATGAAGCACAGAAAAGTACACACATAGAATTCCAAACGCGTGAGGCGTCGTGTAGTGAGATATGTTGTTACAAATAGGCTGCTACTGCCCATGGAGAGATGGGAAGCATCCACTCACATTCGAAGCTTACTGGCCTGGTTCGCGATTCCCGTAATAAATTCCTTATCCAAACCTTTCCTCTGTTCAATGTTCTTCCGGATGTTCTCCAGGGCCTTTCTCACCCTGCCCCACCCTTCCGCCATCTTCCGCTCCTCGGTTGACATGGCGGAAAGCATCTCCCGGGTGCTAGGGCCCCATGGGTATTCGTCCGCAGAACAGTGTTTCCACTCTCCACGATACTGGTCGTTGACCCCCTTTGGCGGCTGTGGAACCTCGCCTGTTGCTAAATACTCCCTAACCACATTGGCGGTGCACCTCGACGCGGCCGAGATGGTGCAGTGCCCCGGTGCCTCTTGCTCCAGCAAGCCGGCGCCCTTGAACTTCAACGCCATCTTAACTGCGGCACGGAGCGGGGTGACCGGGTCGTAGGTGTTGGAGAGGAAGAGGATGGGGTTGGCTGTGTCGATTTGTTTGACGGATGTCCAGGGACTGCTCGGCGTTTGCTGCGGCGAGGCGAGGTCCCAGCCACTGCACTGCATCATCAAGGGAATCCAAATATCGGCAAACTGCGAGGTCGAGGCCATGGATTTGTAGGCCGACTCCCAGTCACCAAGAGTGTAGTTGGTCTGGTACGGATGTTTGTTAGCCATTGAACCGCGCTCGCGGGGGGTGAACTTACCGGCTGCAACTTGTCGCTGCACATGATGGCTCGCTGAGCGTCGTTCATCATGCGCATAACCATGGGATTTGCGCCCATCGAACATAGGAGCTTCTCATCCTGGAACATGTCGTGAAACCACTTGTCGTTGCCCTGGTGGATGTAATTCACCAGCCATGCCACCATTGGAAACCCCTGGATCGGCGTGTACAGAGCCGTGAATACCAACTGCTTGACCATCTCATGGCGGACGACGGCAGGGTAAAAGTACCTTGAGTGGGTGAACATGATGGGGTTAGCCCGAAGGCCCTCCATCGTCGCCTCATACCTCCGTTGCACATCCTCCTTCTGATCCCCGTCCCGGTACAGGAAACACTTTTCCCCTGCCTCAGCGCAATACCGAAAGAACTCTCCCAGAACCTTATCCGCATCCACCAAGCTCTCCTCCCACACAGGCTCCTCATACAACTCCGCATCCACCACCCCATCCAGCAACACCCTCCCCACCCTCTCCGGAAACGCCCTCGCGAACGCCGCGCCCAAGTACGAGCCATACGAGAACCCCCAATAAACCAACTTGCCCTTGAGCTCCCTCTCCGGCAACCCCTCCCTCTCCACCCACTCATCCCACTTATCCACGATCGTCACCATATCCCTCACCACCTCCTTCGTCCCCGCCCACCGCAGCCCACTCTCGCCCCCCAACCTCCCATCCTTCTCCGCACACAACCGACTGACCCCGCGCTGCGCCACCTCCCAATTCAGCATCGCCTGCCCGCCCCCACTCACCAACCCATACGCCGAACCCACCTGCTGCCACTGCAGCCGATGCATCAACCCGGCCACCACCGCCCCCTCCTCATCACACTCCCCACCCCCATTACCATTACCAACGCCACTGCTAGACCTATACTTACAGTGCTCGTCCAAAGGTTTCGACCAACAATCCGCCCCCGGAGTCGTGAACATCACCCCGCGCGGATCAAACTCCAGCACGGGCTGGTCATAGCCCAGCACATCCTGCAAGGCCTCGCCCGCGGCCAGCGCCAGGGTGACGCTCGAGCTCGCCGGGTTCTGCCGGGGTTGACGATTACAGGGGACTTTGGGTCTGGCGTCGGGGGGCGGGGGGCGGGGGGCGGGGAGGAGCAGGAGGGCGATGTGGACTTGCGGGACGGGCTGTTGATCGAGGGTGCTGGGGGATGGGGGGAAGGGCCGGGAGTAGTCCATGGGGACGGTGAGGCGGGCGCAGAGGAGGGTGGGGTTTATGAAGGTGTAGCAGGGGTGGAAGGTTAGGTTGGTGCTGGGGGGGATCTGCGTAAGGGGTTAGAAACTTAGGAGAGAGAGGTTCAATCATTGATGGTGGTGGTGACTGACGGATGACCAGGGGTCCATGGGGTCGTAGGGAGCGCTCTTGGGCGCGGTCAAGGGGGTTTGGGTGTCGTGGCGGACATAGCGGAGGTTGGTGAGATAATAGCCGAGGGCGATGAGGCTCACGAGCAGGCCTCCGAATGGGAAGCGCCACTTTGTTGAACCATGTCGCCGAGGCGCTTCAGTTTGCGTGGCCGCTTGGGACCAAGCTCGGGCCGAGTCTTTCTCTTCCATGCTGTCGTTTTTCTCTGCCAATGTGGTTGTTGGATGTGGATCAAGGTTGAGAGAGTTTGGTGTTGAAAGGGAGGGAGCCCTTTGTTTTGAGTGACGGCAGGATTCAAACCCCGCCAAAGGAGCCGCGCGTCGTTGGCCGTGGAGGATTTGGGATTTGGAGGGCGGGTTCTGAGTGGTTACCACACCAGGCATTGACAAGATTGCAACCCTGTCCGAGCTCTGGAATGGTCACCAACCCGAGCCAGGTTGAAATCGGTTTGCGCAGTTAATATTCTTGGCTCTTTTCACATGGTCCCCACCAGCTGTTAGAAAGGCTTCCAGCTATCTTTGAGTTCTTGTTCATTCCCAACCCGTACTAATAGCGGCGACAGTCGCCTCGTCGGACATCTAATAATATGTTATCACAATCAAAGATCATATCTCATATACATTTTCTTTTCCATACAGCCCAACCTTACAGACCCATATCTCAAGTCATAAACTTCGACTCTCCTTGCTGGAACAGCCAATCCCTATTCGCATCCACCATAAAGTCCGTGATATTGAACTCGCCCGGCACGCCGTTCAACCCACCACCCCCTGACTCGGCGTGATTCCCTCCCCCGTCTGCACTCCCCCCCACCACCCCCGGGGCGACCGGCAGCCGGGGCACATTAAAAAAGTCAAACACATCCAGATACTCCAACTCATTCGGCGCGGGTGTCCTCGACGCAGGCGTGGCGCTCGCCAACCGGCTCTGCCACCCGCCATTCCCACCCCCCGCACCGCCACTTCCGCCATTCCCATTCCCACCCCCATTCGCCGTCGCCGGCGGCACATGCCTCGGCTGGCGGCTGATCAAAAAGTCTAGATCGAACGCCGTGCGACGCATATCGGCCAGGATCTTGACGCTGCCGGGGACCTCGCCGCCGCCCTGGCGCTCGCTGTCGCGGTGCTCGTCCAGTACGCGGCTCAGCAGGCTGCAATAGCGCGCCGCGACGGGCCAGTACCGGCCCATCTGCCGCAGGGTGTCGACAAAGGTCCCGATCTGTGCGCTCAACTTGCGCTCGACGGTGCTCCCGTGCACGAGCAGGACGCGCGCGGCAACCCAGAGCGTGAAGGCGAACGGCGGGCCGAGCTTGACCAGCAGGCCGTTGGCGACGACGAACTCGCATAGTGCGGAGATATTCTCGACGGCGGCATGACAACGCTGTGAGGCTGAGAAGGACGGCGTAAAGATGGGCGAGCGGGTGGTCGGATAGGCGGCAGATGAGTGCAGGCGGATGAAGGCCGTGTGGTAGGTGGCGTGCAGCATGACCCAGCCGCAGTTGAGAGTCTTGGCCGACGCGGGTTGGAATAGCTTGGCCATGTAGCCGTAGTCCCCGGGGAGTCCGAACTTCCAGGTCGCGAGCGCGTTGTCGAGTTCTTTGTACCGCATCTGCCAAGTCTCGACGTCGGACAGGGCGGTGATGTCGACGGGTTGCTTGAGGAATTGGTGGATTTTGGAGAGAATGCCAAGAATCTCGATGTAGTAGCTAAAGGCTCCCAGGTTCTCGGGTTTGTCTACGTCGTGCTCGGGACCGTTGCTACCCGCTCCAGGTTTGGTGTCGTCGCTGCGAAACCAGCGAGTGTCGACCTTTTGGTTCTTCATCCAGAGGTCGTCTCGACAGGGGAGTGTACGGTCGATCTCGCGGTCGTCGATGCCAAACTCAAACGCTGTTGCGATGGTGGCATATCGGTCAAGCAAGTACACCATCCAAAACAGCCGCCGCCTCGATTCCTCCTCGATAAAGTCGCGCGGTTCCGGGAGGATCATGGCGCGCAGCGTGTAGATGGACGTGTAACTGGGCGCCACTGAGAACGAATTGCTTTCGACAGCCAACCCGAGCTGTACGGCGGCCCGTGTGATGAGCGCCATGATATTCCACCCGGGTGGGCCGTTACTGCTGCCGCAGAGATCCAATGCGAGGATCACGAGGGCTTGTAACGACTTGACTGACAAGTGCTCCATTCCGTACAGGAGCACACGCTGTTTCGAAGTGTCATGGTAGCGTTGCCGGCTTTCGTCGGTCAGGCGGGCGTCGGTCGAATACCGAAGAGCTGTGGCAACAATGGAGTGCAGCAAGACCTTGTCTTCGTCGTCAATCATGGACGGTCCAAAAAGCGAGTCCAGCGTCGTCTTACGATGCAGGATGGGACACCATGTGTTGACATGCTTGAAATAGAGGTCCACCAGCGCATAGAGCAGGTCGTAGGGAGGGAGTTCCTGTTCGGAGCCTATGTGCCTCGAATTCTGCGTCGCGGTAGAGGGTGACTGCAGTTGCGCCGCATGCCCAGTACCGTAATATTCCTGAGCAGCGGCGCTCGGTGGCATAGCCGACTGGATGTGACCCGGAGGCGAGATACCGCTGACAGCCGGGAAGCTATCGTGTCCCGGCGCCGTCGACAGGCTAAAGTCGAGCGATGTCGTGGGCTTCTGGAGGAAAAGGGCGGTCTCGGCTTGGGGAGTGCGAAGCGTGTCGTGGCCCGGACGGCTGAAGATGGGCGGTATCGCGTCCCGCGGCGTGCCATGATCACTGGGCATGCTGGCAATGCTGCCCTTCGCGCTCGGCGCGCCATGGTGTGTGACTCCGGGAACATTGCCACCGTGCCCGCTGACAGGACTGGTGGTAGAAGTGAGGGACTGCAGAATCTCGGCATGCACCCGCAGCTTGTCCTCCAAACTATCGAGACGTTGTTCTAGCTCTCGCCCGTATCCTGCGCGCAGGCCTGGCTTCTTTCTCTCCCTGTACTCGCAGACCGCGCCATTGCGGCTGCACCACCCGCACGACGGTTGTCCCCGGTCGCATTTGACCTAGTCTGGTCAGCCAATGTCGAACGGAGGTAGATAGATACGTGGTGGAGTAATGAAGGAAGGTTCGGCACCTACTTTCCGCTGCTTGCACAGCTCACACCTGGGCGGCGTCAGCATCCGACCGCGCTAACCGGGAGGGCGATAAGGCTGCCACCGCGAACCGTTGCTCGGTTACTTACGACACGGAGATGGGGCGCTTGCGTTTGCCGAGACGAGTCACCTCGTGCTGGTCATCGTCGTTGTCGAGATCGTCTGCGCTGTTCTGACCATCATCGCTGTCGGCCTGTTCGGGTTGCAATTGCGACTGCGATGGCGGGTGAAGGTGGAATTGTTGGTCCACATGTGCCGAGGGCAGCGATGGCTGCAGTTCGTGGTCATTGTACCGGGGACCTTGGGTTTGCATCATGGTAAGGGTACGTCAACGGCAAGTGATGGGCCCAACCGCCCGCAACGGCTGCCGTCACCGCGCAGAAGAGGAGAAGTGGAGCGAGAGAGGGACAATCGAAGACCGAACCCGGGGCTAGAGCCCTGCTTCTCTGTTTGTCTCGGGTGTCGGGACCGAATGACACGTGCCAAAAATATGATGCAGCCTCTCAGAATGTGTGGGCGCGTCTTCTCTGGCAATCCCGTCAACGAGCAGGCACAAGGTGGCAGCCGATACTCCGTGGAACGGTTCGGGGTAATGTTGAGTAGAGGAGCGAGATGGAATCAATTGTGGAGAGACCTCGGCCGTTTTATCGCGGTGCAAGCCCTCCCGAGTCCTGAGTGTGATCCGACCACCTGGCCCGTGCTGCCCTGCCGAGCTTGCTCGTTGCGTGCACTTTCTGGGGTGTGGGGAAGCGAGATTGGCGGAATGTGGGGAGGCCAGGTGCCGACAGGCGCCATGGAAAATTCCGCTTCCATTTCCATCGCTTCCAGGCTATGCTTGTTCCAACAGAACGGAACTGTCTCGGGCTGTCAAACATGTCGTTTGTGTCAAAATCTCCCTCCAAATTGAATGGTTTCCTAGTTGACGAATCAAAGCACCTACTGGATGCATAACCGGGCAGTAACCACAGTCTGCTTCGAAAGGCAGGTCGCTATGGTCTTAACTCCTCGTCGACCACCACATTGCCAGAGGCATCAAGTCGAACGTCATGCATACCGGGAAAAATCACATCATGTCTACACAGTAGTACCTAAGAACGATCTGATATGAGATGCGAGAGAACAGATTTGGATTGCGCGTCGAAATCGTCGCTAGCGAGACCAAGAATCCCTGCTGTGTGTCTTCTTCGATCATGGATGTCTTGGCTCGGATGACGAGCAAGCGTTCGGAAAGGCTTCACATTCGTCAATTCGAACGTACCTTGTCATTGACCAATGAACTCCATCTTAACTCCAAATGAGCTGATCGAGCTCATGTCGGGTTACCTGTGTGGGGTTCGTTGCGCAGCGTTGAGAGAGTTCTGCTTGGGCGGAATCGCGTGGGGCAAGTCCCGACCCCAAACACGTCTCCATCATCGGGACATCAACCCCCGATTCCGCCCCGTTCGCTCCCGGCCATAGGCGCGACTAACGAAGCCCAAAGGTGGCCTTGTCGAGCCATTTTACGTGGTAGTCTCTTTTTTACATTGCCAAGACGAGCAGGGCTCCCGATCAGTTATTTCCACCCATCACCTTCCGGAGACTCTTCTCTTCCTCCAATAATCCACTTCCCCATCCTCGGGACCACAGAGTTAAGCACGATGGCCGCGGCAAGGCAATTTCCGACTATCAAGGCCATCCGGTCCTTTGTCATTGGTGGTGTTGGTTCAGGTGGGTGAGAAATTCTCACGGGCAGTAGGTAGCAACTGACGGGTTACAGGCGGCGATTATCACAACGTCAAAGGAGGCCACTGGTGAGACCCCCCTTCGAACCTCTCGCCGCCAACGGGGCGCTGACATCTCAGGTTGATTGACTCGCCCATCTCCACCCCATGCTCTCAATGGGAAAAGTACCGAGCATCACGGACCAGCTGGGGCATCAACGTGCTGGGCTCCTTCTTCGTTGAGATCGAGGCTACAGATGGAACAGTCGGTTTTGCTACAGGGTTTGGCGGTAAGTACTGCTCGAGCCCTTCACCTCGCGGGAAAGGGTTTTTTTGCTAACAGCAGCAGGGCCGCCGGCATGCTGGCTGGTCCACCAGCACTTCGAGCGCTTTCTGATCGGGGCCGACCCGCGCAACACGAACCACCTCTTCGAGCAGATGTACCGCGCCTCCATGTTTTACGGCCGCAAGGGGCTTCCGGTTGCCGTCATTTCCGTCATCGACCTTGCCCTCTGGGACCTGCTGGGCAAGATCCGCGGCGAGCCCGTGTACAAGCTCATCGGCGGAAACACCAAGGACCGCATCGACTTCTACTGCACCGGCCCCGAACCCGCCGCAGCCAGGGATATGGGCTTTTGGGGCGCCAAGGTGCCGCTCCCTTACTGCCCTGAGGAAGGGCACGCCGGCTTGAAAAAGAACGTCGAGTTCCTCCGCAAGCACCGCGAGGCCATCGGCCCGGACTTCCCGCTCATGGTCGACTGCTACATGTCGCTCAACGTGCCCTACACCATCGCGATCGCCAAGGCTTGCGAGGACCTCAACATCAACTGGTGGGAGGAGTGCCTCAGCCCGGACGACACGGACGGGTTCGAACAGATCAAGCGGGCGCACCCGACCATCAAGTTCACGACGGGCGAGCACGAGTACTCACGGTACGGCTTCCGCAAGCTGATCGAGGGCCGCAACCTTGACATCATCCAGCCGGATGTCATGTGGTTGGGCGGGATGACGGAGCTGCTGAAAGTGTCAGCCATGGCGGCGGCCTACGACATCCCCGTGGTCCCGCATGCCAGCGGGCCGTATAGTTACCACTTTGTCATCAGCCAGCCGAACACGCCGTTCCAGGAGTACCTTGCCAACTCGCCGGACGGCAAGAGCGTGCTACCGGTGTTTGGAGATCTGTTTCTAGACGAGCCGATCCCCACCAAGGGGTACCTTACGGCGGCCGACTTGGACAAGCCCGGCTTTGGGCTGACGCTGAACCCCGCGGCGAGAGCGAAACTCATCCCGAGCACCTACCTGCTGACCCTGCCGACAAACTCTCTTAGCCCACCAGTGGAGCATGCGCCAACCAAGAATGGAACCAATGGCATCGTGGATGGCGTGGCGGGAAGTAAGGCGGCCGGGCAATAGGCTTGCAGTCAAAATACGGACAATAATGCAACTGCTCGAGACCTGACCCTTGACCAAAGATCCCAATGCACCCCTGACGTCATCCGCCAAGCTGCAGCGCAAACCCCTTCTCCTGGCTCCCGCGCCCAAGAGGGATATTTTGTTGAAGTGAAGCGAATTGGAATATAGCCGATACGCTCGCATAAGGCCTAGCCGCGCCAACAGAAACCTTCTCGACGTTCGATGATCCTGGGGCCTGGCTCTCTCTCGACCGACTCGCTGTAATTCAAGCCGAGGTGTGGACCCAAGGGTTGCGCAGGAGTGGGGCGCGGGGTAAGTGGGGACGGCAGTCAGCATTTCAAACATTGTACAACACCAAGAGGAAACAGATGAAATCAAGAATGACGGATCCAAGGATCCAATACGCGGTATGGTTATCGCATGGAGATAAGCCATTGCGCAGTCAGTTCGTAGACATCCCATCTGATCAAGAAGCACCGCAGACTTTATTTTACCCACTGAATGGGGACTCGATGTTCATGATCCATCCCGTGTTTACCCCGCCATCTCGCCCCTCACTTTCGCTTCTTCGGGCACCTGAACCGTAGGGCTGTCTCCTGAGTCCACACCCAACACAAATTGAATTTCCGACACCACCACATCTCCATTCCGGCCAATCCTAAAACGTGGAACCATTCCAGACCACCTTACCACACCTCAACAACATAACCCAGCACACACACACACACACCATGCCCGCCACCAACCTCCTCGCGGGCAAAACCGCCATCATAACCGGCGGCACCACCGGCATCGGGCGCGCCATCGCGCTCGCCTTCCTCGCCCAAGGCTGCAACGTCGCGGTCAACCACCTCGACCTGCCCACCGACAAACCGCATCTGACCTCCCTCCTCGCCGAAGCCAGCGCCCTCCACACCGCGAACCCAACCACCACCGGCCGCCTCGCCCACCTCCCCGGCGACGTGCGCGACCCATCCACGGGCCCCGCCCTCGTCGCCTTTGCCCTTGCCCACTTCGCCACCACCCGCCTCGACATCTGCGTCTCCAACGCGGGCGTCTGCACCTTCGCCGACCTGCTCGACCTCTCCCCGGACCTCTTCGCCACCACCGTGCGCACCAACCTCGACGGCGCCTTCTACGTCGTGCAGGCGGCGGCCCGGCAGATGGCGCGGGATAATGTGCCGCTGGGGGGCGGGTCCATCATTGCGGTGTCGTCGATCTCGGCGCTGGTGGGCGGCGGCCAGCAGGTGCATTATACGCCGACCAAGGCGGGCGTGTTGTCGTTGATGCAGAGTGCGGCGGTGGCGTTGGGGAAGTATGGGGTGAGGTGTAATGCGCTGTTGCCGGGGACGGTGAGGACGCAGTTGAATGAGGCGGATTTGGCGGATGAGGGGAAGAGGAGGTATATGGAGGGGAGGATCCCGTTGGGGAGGACGGGGGTGCCCACGGATGTGGCGGGCCCGGCGGTGTTTTTGGCGTGTGATGAGTTGAGTGGGTATGTGACCGGGGCGCAGTTGTTGGTGGATGGGGGATTGTTCGTCAATTTGCAGTGAGGGTAGGGGTGGTGGTGAAATGCTGTGGATATTTACAACATGTGGTCTTGTAAAAGGTGGTTATGATGATGATGATTGAGATCAACCCCTTGATAACATTGTACGAGTGATTTTCCTTCACAAAACGTAAGTTAGAAAGAGAAACTTATGCTGTAATACAGAAAGTGGTTCGTAGGAAGACCAGCTGGCCACCCCCCCTGAATCTGATAAGAGCATAACTTGAACGATCAAATGGTCCCCTCTCAGGGCATTCTGATAGTTTCAAGCTTCTCAGGATCCCAAACTTCGATAGTTGGCAAGTAAAGCTACGGCCTGGCTCATCACCACTCAAATATTGCCCACCTGATAGTGGTACTTGCTCACCAGCGCACCATACTCATCAAACCGCACAGGCTCATAATTCCCCGGATTCTCGGCACTCACAAACCGCGGCAGCGTCGCCACCGTATGCGGCGGTTCCGGCCTAACAAAAAACGGCATCGACCTCCTCGCCGGCACCCCCTTTTCCTCCACCGTCTCCACCTCTGGTATCGCTACCCTATGCACAGCCGACCTAGAATAATCATTCGTAAACCGCCCCAACATATCCCCCACATTCACCACCAACGCACCCTCCCCCAGCTCCGCCCGCAGGAACTCCCCCGTCTCCGGATCCTGCAGCTCCAGCCCCCCATTACCGTCCTGAAACAGCATTGTAAACGCCCCCCAGTCATTGTGCGCCGGCATCCGCGTGCACACCTCATCCTGGGCCAGCCGCGCTTGGAGGATGGCCGGATAATGCAGCAGCCGCAGCTGGCTGTGGCGGTGCGAGGCGAGGTGTTGGAGGGCGTCGTCTTCTTGGGGGGTGAACTCGAGACCTAGGCTGATGGCCTTGAGGAGGATGGCGCCGACGCTAGAAAGTCCTTTGTACAAGGAGGTGGCGTACGCGCGGAAGCCGGGAAGTGTGGCTTCGGGCAGCCAGATGTTGGGTTCGTGATCGTCGTGGGCGCTGCCGACTTCGTACCTTTCTTTGAGATCGGAGATCTTGCGCGAGCCCGTTGTTCTATCGGAGGAAGTGGAAGTGGAGGCGGTATCGGCTACTGCGTAATGGTCGATTCCGGAGTAGCCGCGGTGTGGGAACGGGCCGGGCGGGTGCGGCGCTTTCATCTTCTCGGCGTAGGGCAGGACGAAAAGGCGTTGGTTCCAGCGGAAGGCCTCGTTGATCTCGTCCGTGGTGAAGCCGTGGCCGGTGACTTTGGCGGATCCATACCGGTGTAGCACCGCGACAAAGGACTGTCCGGCGGCGAGGCGGTCGGCGTCGGAGTGTGTTGAGGGCGAGCTGAAGGCGGTGAGATCAACCGTGGGGATGGTGCTTTCGGACGTCATTTTGGGTGAGATTGTTTGGCAATGATGAATGCAGAGTGAAACAAAATTCACTTCCGTCTCCACCGTTTGAATGCAATCAAATTTGTTGTGCGGCGGTTGATAGCTTCAAGGTTGCGTGTGAGGTGGTGATGCGAGTCATGTGTGGGAGATGTGGTGATTGATAGGCCGAGATACGGCAGCCAGCGTCTCACTACATGTCGCGTCCTTGCTATGTCAGCTTAAGGTCTTACTGCGCAGTAACATTCGGTGCCGTCCATCACCTTCCTCATGCGGGTCGCTGTTAGCTTGATGCACATTACGTACGGGTAGGGGGTCCCTAGACATACCAGTAGCAGCGAGCTGGTATCCCAAGTGTGATGAGCCTTTAGACCCTTGTAAAGGGGCTTTTGAATCCAAGAAAGAGTTGTGTTGGCCTCCTATTTATTGGCTTGAAAAAAATATGAGATAGACGGTGTGAGGACCGTTACGATGATGATGTCGACCTTCGATGAACAGCATGCAGTGCAATGTGCGAGGCGGCTCTGTTCCAGCGCTTCATGACATACAGAGTCTATTTTATCGACAGGAGTATTTACCCAACCCTTCACACCAGCTAGCACACGCCGAGCTTCCTCAACAGGAACCCGTCGTGCTGTAACTTCTGAAACACCTGGCCAGGATCATACTTGTGCGAGACCTCACACAGTTTTGCAACATTCTCCGCTCCGTAGCTTCTCAACGGGTCTTGATCTCGCGAGCAGTCGTTCATGTACAGCAACTCCACGGTAGACCGCTTCTTCCACTCTTCGGTGGTGGCAATGGACACGCTGCGGACGACATCGTCGTCAGCCGCGTTCTCCCAGTCGATCAGAGTCGTCCACCCTGTGAAAAAGAGCGAAGAGTCAGGTTAGTTGTGCTTTACCAAGAGCAAAAGGTAGAAAGAGAAAGGATTCGCCAAGGGTCTTTGGTGGTTATTATTCTTACATGACATGCTGCTTGACGGGGCCATCCCCAACGCGTTGCCGCCTTTGTCGGCGCTCTGCTTAGCGAGATTCACAGTGATGGGTTGGATGACAAAGGTCTGGTTCGCGCCCGTTTTGCTGTAAACGTCGGCGGCGCGCTCCGCCCAAAAGTTATACATGTCCACATACAAGTCCCCGTCGATCTGTGTGGAAACGCCGCGGTAGTCATGACGGTTGGCTGTCCAGCCCACCTGCCCGGCCGAGACTTCCATCAGCTCCAGAGGGGAGAGGTTGGTTGGTGGCAACGCTGCTGCAAGGACAGGGATGTCTGAAAACGCTGCGAAGATGTCTGGCCGTGCGGTGACAGGCTGGGAGTAGATGAAGCCCGCGGTGGTGCCGCCGAGGGTCGAGACGGCGATCACTGTGGCTCGCGGGTCAGAAGCTGCTGCTTTGAGCTGCCAATCGGCCAGGGCGCGCAGGAATGTGGGTGTATCGGCTGGGGCGTAGAACACGACCTCGGCGTAGACCTTTTGAATGGGGATGGTGAATAGGTCGAAGCGGGTCACGATACCTGCAAGTGATGGTGAGAAAGACTTCTGTAGTACTTATACTGGACCGTGGACATACCATAGTTTGGACCACCGCCTTTCAGGGCCCAGAATAGGTCTGGGTTTTCCTGAGCGCTAGCCTCGACGACAGTGCCATTGCCCAGGACAAGCTCAACGCTTCGCACGTTGTCCGCAGCGAGACCATACTCGCCCGAAAAGAAGGAGAACCCGCCTGAAGTCTGAGGTTAGAAGATGTACTCAACCAAGACATAACCAGCTCAAAACCAAGGCTAGCGAGAGAACAAAAGATAACCTACCACCAAGCAACAACCCGCCCACGCCCAAACTCGTCAACCTTCCCGCTACAGCCGTCACATTATGCGAATCCAACGCCTCCACCACTCCACCCCAGCGCTGCCCCGGCCCGACACTCACCACGCTCGCGTCATCACTGACAGTGATGGTATCCAGGCGCGACAGGTCCAGCAGGACCCCCGGCTCGCCGATGCTGGCCCAGCCCGGGTTGGGCGAGTGGCCGCCGCTGCGTATGGCAAACAGGACCTGGAACTGCACGATGATGCGCAGCACGGTCGCCAGCAGCTGGGCCGAGGTCGGCCGCACGACGCACGAGGGCGCGGCCCAGCACGTTTCCGACCTGCATGCATGTCGTGCCGAGGTTAGAGTTGGGTGTGTTGGGGGTTCAGGGGTAGGCAGGTGCATAGGAAGGTAGGTAGGTAGCCATGCACATACCAGTTTACATCAATGAAGGATTGGTCGACAGGGGCAATAATGACGAGGTCCGGGCCGAGGGCCTGTTGGGCGGCTAGACAGGCTTCTGCCGCGCTCGTTGCGGGGTCGCTGTGCCCACTGGACGGGCACCTCTTTGTTGCTTGTGTCATCCTTCAATGTACGGGGTACCTAGGTATGTTATGAGACAGTTGACTCAGGAAGCCAGATGTGCGCGAGGAGAGACCTCCCGCGAACGAAGAGGCTCGCTTGTCTTCTTAACCCTGCATGCGGTCCCCGACCTGGCACAACAGCAGACGAGTCCTAGGTGCGAACGCGACGGTCGGAGTTCCCCATCCCGCGGCAACCAATTAAGCGCTCGGCGGTTGATGAACCCGTTGCAGTGCCCTTAGCGGTCCTTGACGGCGAGACAACGAATGTCCCACGCAGGTGACAGTCAGCCCCCCTGCCGCTAACTCAAGGCGCAAGCCGGCACAGCATACCCAATGAAGAAAGTGTTGCCAATGCACCGAATCACTGCCGATCCGGGCAGGGCCGCAGCGAGATGCCAACGGTCGGATCGAACGAATGGGGGCCTCGGTTCCCCTCCGCATTGCCGCGCGTTGCTATCACCCGAGAGGGCCGAGACTTTGCATCACCGCAACACAGTATGTAACGCTGAACCTCGTAATTTACCGCAGGGTCCTGGTGGATAAGCAAACTGTCTGCCGATGGCACAGTGCTATCAGCCTTCGGAGGTGTCGCCCACCTCGATGGGATACGAATTGGGACTCGGAATATGGGTTTTAAACCGAGAGATATTCAGTCACGCCATTTGTTATTACAGTCACGGGAAATTTAGGGGCGAGGCATGAACGGCCAGGACCTCGGATACGCTATAGCTGTAAGATCCAGTCTGTCATGTCTCACCCTCGCACCGCCGCCCTTCGGACTCTTCACGCCGTTTTCGTTCTGTCAGCAAAGCGCCGCTGAAAGACAGACGTTTCCATCTTGGCGCACGCCAGATCCCAATCCGTGGTCCAGCACCTGTGAAACGGCTGGTAGCCCAACAAGCCTCCGATCCAACGACCCACCACCACGCCCATGGCCAGCGAGACCGTCGACCGGAAGGGCACCCACCACGGCAGCGTGAGGTAGGTGCCGCCCGTATCCCACATAGACAGCACCTGTATCATATCCAGTTTCTTCCCGTGCACGACCACCTCCTCCTGGTAGCCGTACCAGTTCTCGAGAAAGGTCAGGTCCAGCGCGAACGCCGTCGCGGTCTTCTCGCCCGAGACGTAGAAGCGGATCGGATCCAGCGACGCATCTTCACCGGAGGGGAAGCAAAGGCGGTGGTTCACGCCGCGGCGGACCGCCAACTCGCCGTCCTCGGGCCGCAACACGCGTTCAACCCCGTCGAGTTCGACGCCGAGGGCGCCCTGCACGACGTGGAAGTACTCCTCTTGGTAAGGGTGGAAGTGGGCGGGCGGCGGGGGGAGACCGCGCAACCGTGGGTGGTCCGGGTGGATGACGACCTCAAAGTGGAACTCACGGGTCTTGTCTGCGGTGGCTTCTGGGAGGACACGGGTTACCATGGCCCCTCCGAGTCTGGTGTTGGGGTCATGGTTAGCAGATGTTGCGATTCATGACGAAAGTTTTACCACGATAGCGACTTAGAACAAAAGGGGTTAGATTTACGCTGATATTGACAGACTGCCATCATCTTCAATCACATGGGGAAGAACGACTTGTCCCGGGCTGGCAGCAGTTCCAGTTGGCATTTTGGCGGTGGTAAGTGTGTTGGGGGCGGGGATGGAAGTCTTGGGTGAAGCAAGTACCGCGAAGTGATATTGATATTGACAAACAAACGGCAATCGATGGGAAAACTGAAATAATTTGATACGAAACAAGAGCCAAATTGGGAAATAAAGCCTGCGCCCCAAGCAAAAATGGCACAGTGATGACAAGAACTGTATGGCCAATAAGGGGACAAATGAACGGGGGCTAATATCCAGACGATGCTGTCCCACGGGAGAATAAATTGATGCTGGACCTCTAAAAACTGGAGGTCCTTGGGGGAGGTTACCCCTTTACCCAGTAATTATGGGCGCCGTAAATACTAACTAAAATTAAGATGCATGGACAAAGGGAACGCTGCCGTGGTCCGCGCTGCGCATCCCCTCATGTATCCTCTTTGTAAAGCGACCTCGCGGCAGTATATCCCGTGCTGAAGACCACAAGAATTTGGCATGTCTTAGCCCCCAAGCACACCATCCTAGCACCGAGGCTCGGTAATCACTGACAGGAAACAGTATCGGGGCCGACGAGCCGTGCGTGACGTGCATCTCACAGTACCATTCGGCGATTCGAACGGCGGCCAAGCGGTTGCACGCACTGGGTACCGCGCAGCCGAGTACTGCCCGGGATTTGCAGCGTTGTCCTGCAGGCTCCAGGCATGGAGGTTCCAGACCGACCGTTGATGTGCTGACGCTCTGGATGCCCTGTTGGTAACACTAACCCGCGCTCAAGGACACCCTCGGCGAATAACTGCCAAGGGTGATGGAAATCCGAATCGGCTTTTCCATCGTCAGAGTCAGACCTGCTAACATTTTGTCACCAAGCCTAATACACACCAAATTTCCCAAGGACTACGCGGCAGCGACTACACGTGTTCTTTTTAGTAGTGGTATTCACAAAGCCACAGCTATGTCGGCGTCACTCTCCCTTCCACCGGCCCATGTGTCGCCAGTATCGCTGCTCATCAAAACACAAATACGGACTAAACCACGGCCACCACCGCCATCAACGACGCTCACAGGCAAAACGGCTCTCATAACAGGCAGCAGCAGCGGCCTGGGCCGGGCGGCCGGCGAGCAGCTGCTTGCACTCGGTCTGTCGCGTCTGATTATGGGAATCCGCGACGGCCCCAAAGGCGAGCGCGTGGCGGCGGCGCTGCGGACCAAGTTCCCCCAAGCGCGTGTCGATGTCTGGACTGTCGAGCAGGAATCCTACGATTCAGTGCGCGCTTTTGCCGCGCGCTGCGCTGACGCTGATCGGCTGGATATGGTTATTCTAAACGCCGCGTTTGCGACGCCCGAGTGGCGTGTGACTGAGAATGTAAGTCCGCTTTACACATTCCAGCACCCTTGCGCCCGTATGTACTACGGCTTGTGGGAGTAGAAGTGGTGTAAGAGTAGGAGTGACGCTAGAACCCCTTTGGACTTTAGCGGCGTTGCCACACCTATGCCCACTGCTTATGTCGCCCCGGACCTAACCAACCTACGCGGCTCCCTAGGGACACGAGGCCATGCTGCAAGTCAACTACCTCTCCACAGCACTGCTAGCCATCCTCCTCCTCCCTGTCCTCAAAGCCAGCAGCACGAAGCACGGCAGCGGTCCCGGCCGCCTCACCATCGTCGGTTCCAACCTCTCGCTCACCGAGGCGTTCCCCCCGACCGACAAGGACCCGCTTCTCCCATGGCTCGATGACCCGAGCAACGCCAAGACCTGGGGCATGGTGGCTGCCCAACACCGCCAGATCACAGCCAAGATCTTTGGCCTGATGCTGACCCAGAAGCTGGGCGAGCTGGTCGACCCAGACCTCATCATCGTCAACACAGTGGACCCAGGTATGTCTCACCCCCTTCCCCCACTCGTTGGGTCATCAACTGCCACACGCACATCGCTAACCCGCCGGCGCAGGCATGGTAAAAGGCACCGAAGTCGGCCGACGCCTCCCCCTCCCCGCCAAAGCCTTCGTGTGGGTCATCTTCACGCTGCTAGCGCGCCCGGTCGAGCATGGCGCGTGGACCTACCTGGACGCGGTGCTCGTGCAGGGCCGGGAGAGCCATGGCGGGTTTGTGGTCAACTGGGCGCTGCACCCCTTCCACAAGGACATGTACACGCCCGAGGGCAGGGCGACAACGGAAAGGGTCTGGCATGAGACACTGCGGGATTTGGCGCGGGTGGCGGATGTGCAGGCGGCGTTGGCGGAGGTGAGGAGGGAGGGTGGTGTGAGTGTAGGGGCCGTGTAGGGTGCTGCGTTGGGTGTGAGTTGGTATGGGTCCGATAACCAAGGGGTGGTTTGTGAGATGCAGTGGTGGTGGGTATTATGTATTGTAGCTACCTGGTTACCTAACTATTTATCGTTAACCGTTTATCGTTTACCTTGTCTTTCAACCATTTCCAAGCTCAGGGAAGGATCCGTATCTGGGCTAGAGCATCATAACGTCGTTTACACACACAAAACAAAAAGAGACAGACCGGCAAAGAAAAACAACCACCCACAACTAATAGTACACCTCCATCCCAACAAACGCCACCATTATTGTCACCGTTTGCATCACGAATACCTCCTCACATCCCTCCCGCCCACCAGCCTTCCCGTCCCACTCTCAACATCCCCTTCCCTCTCCCCATCCCCATCCCCATCCCCATCCACCGAATTCCCCGCCGACGCCACCACCCTCGACGACTGTTTCGACCCGACCACATCCTGCTTCCCCACCCTCGACAAATTATACTCCGACACCATATACGACTCGCCCCCCGTCGTATCGCGATACCCCCTCCGGTGCTTCCGCCTTCGCACCACAAACCGCTCCCACAGCGGCGCCAGCGCCGGCACCGACCCGCACACCACAATCAGCGTGATCTCCACGGCCGCCCAAACCGCCAGCGCATACAAGTCCCAGGTCGGGTCGGCGGCCACGCCGAGGTTCTTGCTGGCGAGCACCGTCTTGATCACCGCCGCGATGCCCGTGAAGGTGGTCAGCCCCAGGAGGGCGACCAGCGCGAGCTTGCGCCGCAGGGGCATTTGTAGGTGCCAGATGATGTGGATGGGGAGGAGCGCGAGGTAGAAGTCGGCGAAGGCTTGGAAGGAGGCCGTGAAGGTGTTGAAGTTGTACACGGCCGCTTTGTCGAGGCAGGTCAGGGTGCCGGTGGCTTGGCCGACCAGGTCCCAGAGGTTGGCCGGGTCGCCGCATTGGAAGAGTACGAGGAGCACGTCGAGTGCGGAGGTCAGCGCGGTGAGGATGATGAGGACCCAGAGGGACCAGACGTGCCACTTGATGGAGGACTGGTTGATGATGCGGAGGATGGTGAAGGCGACGGCGATCTTACCAAAGGCCGTGCAGGGGATGCCGAACGCTTGGAGCACTACTTGGAGCTTGATCTGGTACTCCTTTTCGGCTAAGGTGAGGTAGGCAAAGTGCCGCGTGCCCCCGGACTCGCCGATCAGGATGGCGGAGACGCCCAGGGCAACGAACGTCAGCTATGGTTGTTGTTAGCGCTGCCAATAAGAGTATTCATGATGTTTGTTGGAGAGATAGGGAGTGAGTGAAGGCATCACGAACCCAGCAGGCGGCCATGTACAGATCGTCAGTTCCCAGGATGCGGCTATACGTCCGTGCCCAGATCCGCAGCCCCATGAAGATGGTAGAGAACGCTACCAGGGCTCCAACGACGCCCTCCAACGAGACACGGCGGTCCTCGTCCGGCCCAATAGCGGGCGTTTCAGGGATTGGATCCATGCTTCGTCTATTGCTTCTGTTGGTTGGGCCTAGTCGAATGCGTCGCGAGAGGTGCCAAAGCCCATCAGGTTTGGAAAAACGAAAGTGAGTTTCGCCTGCTTCGTCTGAGATGCTAACAACAAAGATGAGGACATAATCCTCATGGTCAGTCCTAGGGGCTTCGGAGACCAGATGCCAGGCTGCTGCCGAAACCATCCCATCGCCACCAGACGTTCCCGTGCTGTGCCTTGGGCGTGCCACTGAAGTGCAGCATACTCGGGCGTTTTACAGATTACATTATTACCGGCGGCGCGGCACAGCACTGGGGGACCGGACAAGTGTGGGAGGTGTGTGGTGGTACAGCGGTAAGTGTGCGGTAGCACTATTGGCTTTCATAGCTCAGCCACATGCAGGCCTAAACTACTTCTAACGCAAAATTCCCCGGGTGCATCTTGAGCTTGGTTGCTTTTTGAGCCGTGTTTCTCGCTGTGTAGGGAGTGTAAAAACCTGTCGACAGGAACCCCTGATTCGTGCATTTCCAGTCAGAACACGGATTACAAATGTCACACATGGTTGCTACTAAAAGGCGAGTTCTGGGACCTGCTGCTCCGCAACTGCTACCCGTTATATCCTTCCAATCTCGAGTCTGGTTTTCCGTGTCTTAGCCCGAGAAGTCAGGACGCACAGCACCCACAGCCTCACTGTCTCACCTCAGTCATACCCACCGGACCAGTAACGAATCAACGATGAGCCCCAAGGCCAAGGCCAAAGAGGTTATCCGCCCGTCCCGGGGTGTCTCGCTTTGGTTCGCTCTTGCAGCAGCGTTCGCAGCCATCGGCGTGGTCTTCGCTGCAGTCTGGCCGGGTCTCGGCCCTCATGTCTTCGACACTTTAGAATGGGCATCCAACAACCTCGGTTTTGGTCCGAACCCAGAAGCGCTTGCGACGAGTACCTGCCACCGGCTAAAGGCAAAGTTCGGTCCCCTCATCTCCCTGCCGTCGGATACGACCTACACGGCCCTGACCGAAGACAACTGGTCGCAGTCCTGCTGGCTGCCAGCCGCGTGTGTGGCAGAGCCCGTCCGCGCCGCAGACGTGCAAAAGCTCGTCTCGGCACTTGTCGCTGCCAAGGTCCCGTTTGCCATCCGATCCGGGGGCCACTCACCGAGTCCCCGCGATGCATCGATCGGCCGGACCGGCGTGCTGATCGCCTTGGACAAGCTGAACCAGGTCACGTACGATCCGTCGACAACGCAGGTCACCCTCGGCGTCGGCGCCGAATGGGGTGCCGTCTATACGGTACTTGACACCCACAATGTCAGTATGGTCGGTGGCCGTGTTATGCCTGTCGGCGTCGGCGGACTGACGCTGGGCGGCGGCTTGTCCTACCTATCGGACCTACACGGCTTAGTTTGTGATAATGTCGCCAGTTTTGAGGTGGTTCTGGCTGATGGCAGGCTCGTGGAAGCGAGTCGGACTTCGCATTCCGATCTGTTTTGGGCGCTCAAGGGGGGTTCCAACAATTTCGGTGCGTTCTCAGTTCCCCTCTTTTTTGCTCCCCAATGCTTCCCTAGGACCCCATCGCTACCAAGTCCCGGTGCATAAATCGTCTTGTGTAACCCCCCTGCTTACTGCATGCTTACCGTGCTCCTGATAATGCAGGGATTGTCACATCGTACCGGGCCGCCACCTACCCCATCAAGGACTGCTGGGGCGGCATGCTGGTCTTTGGACCCGATCAGCTTCCCGACGTGCTGCAAGCCTACAACGAGTACCAGCACACCGCGGACAAGGATCTGCATGCCAACCTGGTGCTCAACGTCGCTGTGACCAATGCATCAGTGCTCCTGACGCTAGTCTACCTGCAGCCCGTTGAACGCCCCCCGGCATATGCCCCCTTCTACAAGCTGACCCCCGCCGCCGACCTTACGGGCTTCTACACGCTGCATGAGATTATGGGCATGTTCCCGCTGCCGAACGTCCAACGCAAGATGTGGTACACCAGTTCCTTCGAGCCCAGCCCGTTCATGTTCACGGGTCTCGTCGACATCTTCAAGACCGCCCCTGAGGTATCTCGGCTTGCCGAGCTCACGGCGGGAACCATGGTGCTCACTCTGCAGCCGATCCACCCCAACGTTGTCCGGCAAGGGAAAGCCAAAGGCGGCAACGCGCTGGGTCTGGAGGCGCGTACGCAAACATGGTTCGGCCTCAACTACGGATGGTGGAATGCCGAGGACGACGCCACAGCCCTGCGTCTGGTGCCGGCCCTCCATCGGCGCGTACAAGACCTGGCGAAGCGCGAGCACGTCTGGTTGGACTACATCTTCATGAATGACGCCTTCCACCGGCCAGCCGGTTATTGAGTCTTACGGAACGGGACAACGTCCAGCGTCTCCGAGCGGTCCAACGTCACTATGACCCAAAGCGGATCTTCCACAAACTTGTCCCTGGTGGTCAAAAAATACCCGCGTGATGTCCGATCTGTATGTAGGTACATACTGTGTAAGTACCCTACCTTTGCGGGGTTGGGTCAGGATGGAGTTCATCTCGCAATCTCGGTGGGATTCATTCCGCACTAGGCATACTCTGAAGTCAGAACTAGGACCCATAGTCTTACTTATATACGCGTTATAGTGCCGTGACTTTTCGTAGTACCCAAGGCCGGCAATCCAAGTCCGGCACCCCGTCCCCGGCAGTCCATGCATCGCATAAGTTCCCGCTCCCGCACAGACTTCAGCCCTATTTTCCCGTCCAGTCCAGCATCTGCAATGGAGAAGATGGGCACTACCACGGCCCGGCCTCGGCGCTTGCATCGTCCCAAGCCCGAACCGGAAGAGCCGGCTCACGCCGAGGCCCCCTCCGTCTCTGTACAGTACAGCAGCGGCCGTGTACCGGCT